TCTTGGTCCAATCTTAATTTCATTGATTTCATTAATTTTCAATTATATTTTTGAATTTGATATAAGTGGCTAAACTTATCTCATTGTTTCAATACCAGTGTCTATTAAACCACTTTAAATCAATTTACATAACTCACCATATTAAATAGGTAGGTAATTTGAACAAAATTTATTCATAATACAAATTGGTAAACATATATAACAGCTTGCCTAAGTGTTTTTTATCTTTGTGTAATGTGAATTGGCTGATCACTATGAACATGATTTCATAGTCAAATAAATATTGAAAAGGATAGTTTTTGAAAGAAATTTTTTAAAATTTCAATGACAACTTTTTTTTAAGTCTTGACAACCCAGACTACATAATTTTGTTTATTTTGAAAGTTAAACAAGACTTGGATGCTAAGTCTCCTTAAATGATGTTTATTTTGATGATAATTGTTTTGATTTGATTTTATGCCAAGACTGACACTAATTACATTAAAAAATAAGTATCAAATCATGATAGCTTAATTAGTAATGACAGCTTGCCAGGCAAACTGAATAACTATGATACTAGGAAACAATACAATAAGTGTCATTCATTGATTTGAAATATATCATGAATACATTTCATATAACATTGCATACTGCATATCTATAATTATTTTTATCAATATTCACCATACAGTACTGCACATATTATATTGTCATTAGACTTTCAACCATAATAGTCATGTGATATTAGGTTATATTGTAAACTGGTCACAGGTCAAAATATAGGAACATGTAACCAGATTTGAACTATTATACAGGCCTACTTCTGTATTATCTGTTTTTATTTGAACAATATATCCTATAACAGAGCAACTAGATCTAACACAGTACAACCTTCAGCCATAACAACTTGTTTTTCCTCTCCTTTTTATCCTTCTTATTCATTCAGTAAAAATCTGTGTTGTTTGGCTTTCTAAAACTTAATATTGTTATGTTCATTTATCATATTGTCTGTGCAGAGTAAAAAGGTTTTCGATTTTGTCCTTAAGTTTTTTTTTAGAGATTTGGAATATCAGTCTCAAATAGTACTGATAGTCTTAGAATGTCTTTGCTTTGATAAAAATATAATGTTTTGTAAGTTTACATTGAAAAGAAATGCATTTCTCTCCTGAATATTTTCAAACCCAAAAGGTCCCAAATTTTGACTTTAAACTGTCCTCTGTAAAAACAAATTTTGAAGACATAAAGTGTGCTCATGTTAATATTTCATCAAAAGGCATTCTTAGACTAACATTAGTATTTTGAGGCTGTTATTCCAGTTCCAGAAAATAATCAAACAACTTTTTACTTTGCTCAGACAATAGTCTTGACACCCAATATTTATTAAATAGAACTCAAATGTTATTACTTCTGCTCGTACTTTATCGCAGCTTGCTTATCTTTATAGCTTGCTTACAAACCACAAGTCAGAGTTTCACGCTGAAAAGTTGTATGGACTGCAAACATTCAGCTTTTAAGCTAGCGTAGGAAAATAATCAATATAGACGATTTCAACAAGCAAGCATCTATTGCACCAGGCTTCAAGAACTCAAAACCACTTATGTAAAACGTGATCTATCTAGTTCAAGAGCAAATGTTAGTAGAAAACAGGACAATGAACTCATAGCCATAACGTATCTTGCACATTGAATACAAAATATCTAAGCTTACTTACTTGATAAAGCCCATACTTCTCTCTCAGTGAGTGCAGCAATAAATCTTCCTGTATCATTATTACATTTCTCAGATACAGTAAAATTAGGTCCAATTATACCAAAATTATCAGCAAGTAAACCATCTGGTCTTAGTGTTAACAATTTTTCAAATATTGAGAGAAAATCTTGAGAATAAATAGAATTGATGGTTGATTCAGTATCAGTCCACTCTTCCCTTAAATATTCAGATTCCTGAAGTTTTCTGGCTGGTGTATGTAGGAGATTAACATAATCCAATTGTTCGCTGAAGACCTGCTTTGATAAACTCAACATGGTAATTAACACCAGGAAACTGTACCAAGCCATCAAGGCCTTTTTTCTGGACTGATTAACCATTGACCAGTGGTCTTCTCCTCTCAGTAAAACAATGTCTTTTTCTGTATTAAGTCTATTCTAGTCTAATCCTTCTCCTCCTGAAATGTTATGTTACCAAAGAAATAGAATTGTTATTCTAAAAATTCAACGTTAAATATAGTTACACTTATAGACTAAAAAGTTTGAGTGCAAGCATGGCCTAGAGTCTTGAGTCTAGAGTGGTCTAGCTTGTCTAATTTCATAGTAGGCTACTGAAACTTATTCTCTCAGTCAAATATTCAAAACTCGATCACCTTTATTTGAACTGGACTTGATCGGTTTACCACTTATGTTGTATTGGTCTCCTCTCGTGCCTAACCCAAGCGTGGTTGGATGAAAAATAAGAAAAGGGGAAAAAATAGGACATCTAGCAAAACCGATGTCAATGAGTTCAATGAATTTCGTCAGTGAACTGTTTGTCATTCCTATATTTAGGCCTAAATGAAGAGTTATCAGATTTTGTGGGTAGATAACAGTGCAATCATCTTACTTACCCAGTCTCGATGAAATTATGACTTGTTCAGTCACAGTTTTTGACCTTTCATAATCATTGTTTATCGCAAGACAGAGTTATCTTCTCTTGAACTTATTTTTAGATTTTATGGCAGGCGATATTTACCGCGCGTAGCCATGAGACATTTTTGTGGGAGCTATTTTCCTGGTTTATCTATTTCCTTGTCTGTTAAATCTTAAAGGGATGGAAAATAGGTTTTATATCATAAAAGATATAAAACGTGGACATCGATGTCAACAATTCTACTTTTCACTCAAACATCTGTGTTTCTTGCAATTCCACTTAAACTATGCGTTTTATGACTTCACTATCGCAAATTCTCACTTTAGTGGAATTGCAAAAGCCACAGACGTCTAACTGACAATTGAAGTGGTGCAAATCGATACACATAAAAAGTTAAGTTATAACATCTTTACAATCCCTTTACATCACACAAATTTGAACATTTCAAATAAGATCATCACAAAGAAACAAAAATTACCGATATTCAGTGGTGTATTTACAGGAAGAGTCATTTGGCCATGTCCCTCCCCACAACCCTGTGAAAGGTCTTATTTTGAAGTGAAAATTAAGCCATCTGAAATCTCAAAATTCATTTCAGGCCATCTGAAATCTGCTGGTTTCGGAGGGCCGCTGGCTATTTATGTGAACAAAACACCGTTTTAGAAAAACAATTGATAACATTTTTTTTTAGATTTAGTAAATTGCCTTGATCATCAAGTAATTTTAAAAATACATCCGGATTTATGCGATGAATAAAAGTGGGTGGTGTTTTTGTATAGGAGTGGCAAGCTCTAACTATGAGTAATTTTTTATTCAAATTTTATAAAGTATTATAATATTAACATTCCTTCAATGATGTAGTTATATTCTGTGGTCTGAAAAATGCATCGAGTTACTTCCCTTACATAATGCTCACATAAGAAAGAAAGATGGAAACAACTATATTTTACAAGGATAACAACTAAGGTTCACAGTTAAGGATACTTTCTACCAGCTGGCATTGATCTCTCCCGGATTATCCGTACCCATTTACAGCTGGGTCGACTGGAATTAGTCATATTCATTATTTACTCTTAATTCCAGTCGACCCAGCTGCAAACGGGTAGGCTACTAATAATCCGGGAAAGATCTGTATTGCACACTGGGTCTTAGTTGTATTGTACACTAGGTCTTAAATATATTCCACATCAGGTCTTAGTTAAATTGCACATCAGGTCTTAGTATGTATTACAGACTGAGTTTTAGTTGTGTTGCATAATACATGGTTTAGTTTATATTTTAATAGGACATCGGGTCTTGGTTGTATTGTACACTGGGTCTTACTTTTATAGCACAGCCCTACAAAATGTCCATTGTATGCTCGACCGGTTGATCATACGAGGACATTAACCTAATTTCATAGAAAAGATTTCGGCTATTGCGCATTAATTCTAATTTATTAATTAACATCCTGTTTTAGAATGCTATACATGTATAGTAGATCATTCTGTATCTATTGATTAATGTTATACTATAGGGTTCTGTTGGAACTCTTCAGATTAATTGTGTGGTCGCAAACATTAAAGGTGCACTGGATGCGCATAGATATCGATATCGCCAATAAATGTTAAGATTTGAGTTGAGGAAAGTTTATTACGCACTTTATTTTAACCATGCATCTTAGAGAAGAGGATTGAACGGACATTTGCGCGTGCATTTTCACATATATATAGCTTTGACGATTTGTCAGTCAAAGGATAATACGTAGGCGAAAATAGTTTCTCGACGCTGGGCGGCAAGGTTATCAGTGCACTTTCAGTGAAGCGTAACTTTGATTTATTCAATTGACACGAAAACCAAATAGATGGAGATAGGTGTGAAATATAATAAATCAATACAATAAGAACATAAAACGCTTTTACGTGAATATGCGTATCTGCATTAAGGTGTGTATGCTTTAGACAATGTTAGGTGTGGATGTCAAGTAGGTTTGAGAATACAACAATTGAAATAAGATTAAGATTTATAGGGTAAGTCAGACTAAATAAAAGAACTATGTTTTGACTTCCTGTGATTACTACCTCACCCCTTATATAGTGTTCTCCTCAGCGCCCCCCACAGGTTACCAAGCCGGGGCCTTATTTTCGAATACTTAACTTAAAATTACTAAAATTGATTTTAAGGGATTTAAGTTTTCGAGAATAAGGCCCCTGGTATTAATGTTCAAGGATAGGAATGATTAGGACTGATTGCAAATCTAGGCGTAAAGTTGGCGTGTAATCAATGAAAAAGAAATCTGGACGTTTCGTACATATTGTATACCCCGGTTAAGGCAACTGCGCTGGCCATCCATGAGATGAGGTCGTTCTTTAAATCAGGAAAGTACAGGACCCGTAAAAGAATTATTATAGTCTCAACGATGAAAATTAAACTAAAATATTCCTTTATTAAATACACAAAATAATTTAAACAATCTAACATAACATATTTAAAAATATAAAATTTATTTATATCACTTATAAAATATAAAAGCTTTGTAGAAATAAATATACTGGTTTTATCCTGAGTCAATAAACTATTGAAATAGAAAATATTATCTAAATACTGTTTAGAATTACAAAATGAGAAAATGAATAAGAAACTGGAACAACTTTTCAATAAAACTAGATCAGTGGCAGGAGTAAAATGGGACAGCATCCTGGAAGTTAATGAACACAATCTACAACGTCTATTGGGGCGTTCTTTAGCACATTGCGACGAATTTCCTTCACTATTTCTTTTCCCAGACATAACTGTATATATGGACAATCCGGGTACCATTTAGAATGTTCTATCCAGGGGTCGTCCCCTGCTACCCAATCTCTAAAAATAGTCTGACATGAAAAACACTGAACCCGATCTGAGTTACCCAAATAATAAAAACCAGCATGGGCTAATTGTCTAGGATCGACTTGACCATTCCATCCAATGAAACTTTTCAAACGATCCCTTTCTTTTGTGTAATCTAATTGTTGGTGTGTTTGTGGTATTGTGGGTTGCACTGGAGAAGAGGTCGGTGAATTGAGGTAATTATTTACTGGACGCCAAGTACCATTAACATAATACTGTCCCTGGTGTGTCGGGGATACTGGACATTTCGGTGGTGGTTGAGATGAGGCTAGGTGGATTTGCGAGTTGTTCAGAAGTTGTCTGTGATTATTTGATTCCTCGTTGGAGCAACTTTCAGGAATAGATTGATCGTTGGTGACAGTGTATCTATGCGAGTTTCCGGTATTGTTTTGTCTACAGCAAGTACTTGTTTGAACCCAACCCGACTTAGACTCTTGAGACACTTTCACGGGTTTATAACTTCCATCAAGAAACGGACATAGAGGAAGAAGTCGTATATGTTCTTTTAATGGATTATCTGTAGCTGACCAATTATTCAGATCGCCATTACAATAAGCACAGCGGACCCGATCACCAGGTCCAATATAATAAAATCCTGCTCTGGCTAGATCCAAGGGATAGGGTGTGTGTCTGTGTGGCCAACCAACAAAGGTCGACAATCTCTCTTCTACTGTTGAATATTTCATTGAATAAATTAACCTGTTTCTGTAATATGGAAATTAAAAACTAATAAATCACCTATACCGGTACTCAGTACTGTAATATAATATATTATTTGGCTTATTTAAATGCAGAATAACATTAGCATGCCGATTGTGCTGCACATAAAGGCAGATATCTGTGTCAGTATGATTCAAAGGGTGTAAATGCAGTAAATGCTCTTCAGGAGCCCTTTGGTATCAACGTTGATCTTGCATAATATGTAATTTGAACTACTGCAACTAAACGGTGATCGAAATGTAGCCTTATCTATATAAGAGGCAGGTCGTTTTGCAATTGATGTATATGAACAATATATATATATAGGCTACAGAATCAATCTGCTAAAATTTCTGTTGAACATTCATAATAAAAATGAGAATAAAGGAAAAATAATCAAACTGACCTTTTCACTTCGACTTCGCAAAGTATTCCTTTAAATATCTTTAAATTCTTTATTTCAAAATTGAAGTATACAGGCTGTCGATATGTATAGCTCTGTAGTTTAACTTGATCTGACTGCTAGTTTGTTAATAACTATATATATAGTCTGAAAGCAGGTCTTCGTTAACTTTCTAGTACATTCCCCCGTAAACAACCTTCCACCATTAAAAAAAATGTCGGTGAAATATAATGTTAAGAATAGCCTGACCGAGATATTAATGGTGGAAAATTTGATAGCGACGCGTTCGATACAGTACTTTGTTGCGTCCTGTAGCAGAATACAGTGACCTTATTAACAAACATAGGTCTATATATCATACTAGAAGATTCGCTCTATACTACAATAATATACCAGTTTGCTCTACAAGTATCGTCTAGTAGCCTATATGGTTATGCTGTTGAAAGCAGGTCATTATTGAATTAATCTACTCAAAATGTGCGTAAATCTCTCCAAAAGTAGGTAATTACTTATCAACTTGATGTATTCCAACGCTGAAATCCACAGTCCCTACTAATTGTGACCTATATATAGGCAAGTACTTCTATATGAGAGTATCTCTTATAAAACCTTATACAACTCTTTAGTATTGCTTAGTTTAAACGGAATGGAAGAGTTGTGTGATATGTGTGTGCAAACCAGAGCGCTAAATATATCCTTATTTATGATATTTAAAATGGCTGGTTTCGAATACAGTGCTCAAGGCTGGTAGTAGTAGTATTAGGCGCACTGGTACTGACATAAAGCGATGAACCCATAGAGTTATCTATAACTCTATGGCTGAACCAGATCTGAGTCAGATCTGGCTTAGGACTGGCAATGATCCAGCAATCCTTTTCCAGATGTACAAGATATGAACCAGAACTGGGGACCTCCGCAATACCTCTCTATGTTAAGTAACTCTTGGTATGGCAATTTAATGGTAAGAGGGCCTATGTGAAAATCACATGTCCCAGTTTTTTGGGGAAAAAATGCTCCAGAAAATTAAATTGCACACTTTAAATAGATGTCAATGATTACTCCCGTAGGAAATGGAAAACCCCTTCTGACGTCATAGTTAAACAAGAAACATGGCGACCAGTACGATCTTTCGACCTTGTATTGGCCGAGCTTTATCTTCGGGTCTGCGGTCTTTGACTGTAAGTATTCTCGACCGGTTACTGATAAATATATAACCATTCTTTTAGTTGCTTAGCTTGAAATCGGAAATTAAAAGTTATCCTGGAGGCCATCTGAAGCACTCTCATTGAGTTTTAATGTTGATACTGACTGACTACTAATTACTTCAGACGTTCAGTAACTAAGTAACAAGATTTGAAGAACTGAATAGTGAATAATCTTGGAGGTGGTTGAAAATGCTAGCAATGAAAAAAATATTATATGGTGTCATAATGTTACAGAATGTCACACCAGACAGTAGCTGACTGAGTAATGTACTTCAGTGACAGTACCGGTACTTGTGCTCTTGTAGCTTAATTAATATAAGTAATGCTTAGTTATAGTTAGACTTATTGTCTATAAGAAGGTCATAAGGGGCTGAATGGAAGACAGGCCTTTTGTTGGGTACTCAGGATCTTATCTTGATGCCTTCTGGATAGACCAATTACAAACAGTTGTACCTAACGGCCTAAATATACAGCATGACAATCAAATTATACCTTTCGTTGCTACCTACAATTCTACAGCTGAAAATGCCCCTGTGATTGTCAAACACTTTTATAAAGAACTTCAAGAGGAATTCTATACTAAACGTTTGGTGACTGCTTACAAAAGGAATAAAAAACTAGAACTGTTCAAATAACAGTACTGATGCAGGTACATACGAAGATGGTCTATTGCAATTACATTGACGTTAATACTTTTCTGCATCTCTAAATGAAAATATACGAAAGTGCGTGGAGTTTAAAGTATGTTGACTAAGAATAAGAGAATGTTTGTCAATTAATAAAGACCAAGTTTGATGAAATTCGGACAAGAAATAAGAAATTTAGTAATCCATGTGTAATAATGTGCACCAGAAAAATTCAATATTTCCATCAAATTTAGAATTGGATTATACACATACATATCAAGTTTGATGAAATTTGGATAAGAAATAAGAAAGTTGGTAATGCGCATGCGCACCACGCAAATTCGATATATTCATCAAATTTAGAATTTGATTATACACATACATGTATACTCAGTTTGGTGAAATTTGGATAAGAAATAAGAAAGTTGGGAAATTAAGTGGAAGTATAGCCTACCTTTAAGGTGCTTCCATAAGCTCAAATTACAGTATAACATGGTTCAATCCATCCCAGAGCTTATTCATATATTATAGCTGGACATAAAACATATTAAACAAATATAAAAGGGGATGTGGCATTTTGATTTTAATTAGAGTTGACAGACCGATGACAGCGTATTTAGACTACAGTAATTACACCATGTTAAGTGAATGGGATTTTGAATTTGCATGTAAGGCATACATGTTACATATCACTGGAAAGCTCAGGATCTCAGCATTATGAATCCGAAAATAATATTGCTCTATCTGTATTAAGTCACCTGTTTGAAGGCTTTAATGATGCAAACTAAACTTTTAGTGACACCCATAAAACCAGAACCACGTATCGGACATGAAAAATATTAATATCATCTAAAAGCTGTAGTCGGTATTAATTATTACTGTAAATATCAACATCATCCAAGGTACAGCTCTTAAGATAGAAGCGTTCAAAGTTTTATGAAAATTGCAACATTTTTTTAAATATGGCTTTGACAAGTGCGATATTATTTGAAACCATTAAATAATCTGAAGGTGGTAGCATGCTAATACAATTAGGGATTAAGATACAGCACTGCAAAAGTGCAAAATTGGCCATATTTAGACCCCTATAAAACCAAAAGGTGTGGTTTGACACCAAAGGTCAAAAGGTCATAAGAAGGTCAAGGTCAGCTATTATCATCATGGTAAATATTAAGCTCATCAAAGGTCAAGGTCATGAGATATGAGCCTTCAAATTTCGAAAAAAATTGAACCGAAAATTCAAAAACGGGCTTCCTACAGTTTTCTTCAATTTTTGTGTTCTTACATTTGACACCAAAATTATCAAAATCGGATAAGCCGTAATCTCTGAATAAAATTTTTGATAATTTCAGCTAGCACCTTGATTTCGCACCAACCGGAAGTGATGCAAAATTTTTGATTGAGTCAATTTGTTATCTTTTGTGATCTGTTTTCGCACCAGAAATTTCAAATCAATCGGACGCATAGCGGAGAAAATATAAAATTTGGTCTAATTTTGCGAAATTCGGCTAAAAAATGTGTGCTATGAATTTTCAAAATTGGAATTTTTTTAACTGCTATCACATAGGATATTTGGGTGAAATTCTAAAACTGAAAACCCGAGCAAAATCGCTCCAAAATTGCGCCTTCAAGAGTCAATTATCTACTTTTTGCACATTTTGCAATGTGCCACTATCCGTTTTGCAAAATTGTTCCAATTTATATTCATTAGTTAAAACACCGAATATGCAGATCGAATGCATTGCTAATCTTGCAGTAACTATTACCGTTTCTGCAGAGTACTCGACACAAACTCATACTTTTTTTTTGCAAGTACGAAAACAAAGCACGCCCTGCAAAAAATAAAAGTAATGTTCTTGTCCATGGTAGATTAGGTCCCCTTTCATTAAAACCCTGAAACAATTGCATTGCATTTCTGAATTATTTGTTTATCCTGAAATCTCTCAAGAAGCAGGTAATTTTTAATTGATTTATTCCAATGCTGTAATTCAGTCCCTATTTGTTACCTAGGCCAGTGCTTCTATAAGAGAGTTTCTCTTATAAAACCTTACACTCACAGTGTATGTATCTATTTTATTCAGTGTACTATCTTCAACAGTCCAACTTTTTTCATCTGCTACCTTTTCAGGCAAGTTCTACAAATAATAAAAAGTACCATGTTTCACCTATCTGCCAGGTATGTAGTCTTTTGGTCTAACATTTCAAGTTGCTTGTTTAATCAAGTATTGTTATGAAAAATACATACCAGTAATAAAGATTGTCAAGGTCGCTGCAACTTATTAATGTTTTCATTTGATTATGGACATTCTTTCAATCAATAGGCTACACTTTTTCAATTGATCTGGAATGTGTGACCTATCTAAATATTGCTGTATATAAGAAACCTTTGCCATATTAAAGTTGAGAACATACTGAGAATATGAATACACAGTATGTTCGTTTATTAGATTCTTGTATTTAAACTATTCTGCTAAGATATTCTTTTCATTTATCTTATTAATTTGAGACTCCAAACTTTGTTTAAAGCAAATTATCCAAATCATTTATTTTTTTCAATTTTTGCTTTCATAGACTACTAGTAAGGTAAGATGTACAGTACATCATTAAGTAACTCTAGAGCTACATTTTGTTTGTCATGTGTGATTTCTAAGTTTTATGTTAGATGTTGTGATCACTCATTATAAACCTCATGAAATTTTTGACAAATTATTATTTTATTCAAAAATAGGTTAAGGCCTGTAAAGATTTCAAAAGCAGTATCTGTAAAAATTATGAATGTTTTATATGATTGAATCTATTGTCCCATTTCTCTTTATAAAATTATTGTAATAAATATTTTGACCATTAATTATTATAGTAGGTAGATGTCAAAGGGAAAGCATGTCCATAATAGTATTTGTTTACAGGCTGTTTTCATCTCTTATCACTGCTCTCACAAACAAATTCTTTTATACTGGTACTTGATAGAAAGTTGTCTCTTGAGTTTTACCTTATTTGTAGGCAGTGGCGGAGCCAGTTTCCCATCCTGCTGGTAGACATACCATTACAATGGTACCAGGAGATGGGGTAGGACCAGATCTGATGTCTAGTGTACAGGATGTCTTTCAGGCTGCTGGTGTGCCGGTTGATTTTGAGGAAATTTTCATCAGGTATGAATTCATCGAACTATAATATATTTTCGTTCAACAACAATGATTTAATCTTGCAAAACTCATTGCTGATGAGGGTAACTTTAAACTTGATATAGTCAGTTAGATATTTTCTTTACCTTGAAATGATGATCATCTTTCTTACACTCTTATCATTAAAGCAAGTCTGAAGGTGACTATTTTTTCAGTTATGGTAAGGTTAGCCCATTTGATCACCCTTTTTATTATCTGTATAATACAGATAATGTCCTACAGATTGTCTGTCTGTCTGTCCACTTGTCTAGAAGGCACAATTCTTAATGGATTTTGACAAAACTTTGTGAAATTATTTATTATTACAGAAGGATGAATCAGATGGAAAAAAATTGAGTTGATGCCCTTGCTATTTGAAACATGTTTTTGATCATAACCTCTCAAGAGGGAAATATATCCATCTTGCATTCAAATTTCTATTTATTTGATTTTTTTTTTTTTTTGTATACTAGTGAGGTGCAGCCAGCTCAGAGTGCCACTGTATCAGCTGTTATAGAATCTTTTAAACGTAATGGCGCTGGCTTAAAAGGAATAATTACTACACCAGCTAGTTTTAAAGGTGGAGTTCTACGGACCTTGAATATGAGAATTAGGTAAATAAATATGCAGATATTCATTTCTTATTGAAATATGTAACTTTTATATGGTTGTTCAAGGAAAATTATCGACTTTAACAATCTTTATTTCTTCATAAGTAGCTTACAACTCTTAAACTTTGACATCAAATTTCAAATTAATAATTTCTTTTACCTTTCTTTTTTCCAGACGAGAATTAGATCTGTTTGCTAATGTTGTTAGAATAAAGAGTTTACCTGGATTTAAAACTAAACATAATAATTTAGATTTTGTCATTATAAGAGAACAAACAGAAGGTGAATATAGTGCTCTAGAACACGAGGTATGCTAATTTTATTCTTACTACTAGAACATGGTGATTGTGATGTCTACTGTTACTGTTGTAGGTAAAACGTCATGGCCATAAACATACAACCCTCCTGCTGTTGATATGTATTTATTATATTCCAAGACCATCATCTCTCCAACATTTATAAAATTAGATAAATGGCTTATAAAACTAATAATTTGATTATATTCCTTTAAGGATTCTCATATTCTATTGTTACAGAGTGTATCAGGGGTGATAGAATGTTTAAAAATAGTAACAGAAGAAAAATCCAGGCGTATAGCAAAGTTTGCTTTTGATTATGCTATGAGATTAAATAGGAAGAAGGTGACTGCTGTCCATAAAGCAAACATTATGTAAGTTAAATATTGAACATTATAGTTATATAGGCTGCAACTTAAGCTGACTTCTATTCAAGATTTTGTTAGATAATGAACAAGCTATTGATAATGGCAGCTTTGAACAGTCAATTGATAGCATCCTTGAACAAGCCATCAATAGGCAACTTTGAACAAGTAATAAGCTGATAAGCATCTTCCATTCTCACTGTAAAGTCTATCAAAGCTCATTTCATAAAACATTGCATTGTTCCTTGATTTTCAGCCAATGCCATTCTCCCACTTTAGAACCTAACCTTCAAGCAAAATGTAATGGTGGTAACTTCAAACCAATATATGTAAAAAAAAAAACTGGATGTCTTAAATTCTCCATCATGCAGGTTAAGTGAAGACTATCAAATGTTTACATAATGAAATCTGATTTCAGTATGTGGAAATGTTGATTTGATATCAATATTATGAATTGTATTTTAGGAAATTAGGTGATGGGTTATTTTTAAAATGCTGTGAAGAAGTAGCAGCTCTGTATCCTCATATAGAGTATGAAGCTATGATCATTGATAATTGCTGTATGCAGGTATGTTTATATCTTGAAATGAATTCCCTAAAATGTTCCGACACCACAAGTAAAGTGTTACATACAAATGTTCAAGAACATTCACAATTTTGGATTTAATTTTTTTGTGTTTGATCTTGCTTTTGAATGTTTTTCTTCTGTTATATTCAGTCTCAACTGTCAAAGACACAGTAGGGAATAAGACCAAAAATTTGTTATTGGAATATGCAATTTTGATACTTCCATACAATGTAGGACATACATGTATTTGTTAGGAAATAGAGAGCTGATGTTAATTCAGTAGTCAAATCTCTCATTAGATGCATAATAAAATTAGTAGAGCAGTATTGCCAGAAGGTTGATAATAATAAAGAAATTACACAGACTATGTTTAAGTACTTGAATAAAATCTGTTTTAGCTGGTATCTAATCCTCACCAATTCGATGTTATGGTAATGCCTAACCTGTATGGTAATATAGTTGATAATTTAGCAGCAGGATTAGTAGGAGGAGCTGGAGTGGTACCAGGAGAAAGTTACAGTCATGATGTAGCAGTGTTTGAACAGGTAAAATAGAAACCTGTTTATTAAGATATAATATAACATTATAGTATTATGTATAGCCTAAATTACTACCATAAAGTATAACAGACTCTTTGAAAGGTTCCTTGAATCTGCATGAATACCATCCACCAACATAGAAAGACTGAAATACTGTTTGTTTTATGTTTCATTTGTGTAATCCTCATCCTTTTTCTTATATCATATATATTTCTAGTTCAATGAATTAATTGTTCTCTTAAAATTTCAAGCCCAATCTCCAAAATCAGCTTTCCTCATGATTGCTAGCATGAGTTGATATCTTTACATTTATCTTCAAATATCAAATTCTTCAAAAACTCTAAACTCCTGATAATTATATTATAGGGAGCTCGACATGCCTATGCTGAAGCTGTGGGAAAAAATATAGCTAACCCTACAGCAACCCTTCTAGGAGCTTGTAATATGTTAAAACATATTCATTTAGAATATCATTCAAAATTAATAGAAGATGCTGTACATAGAGTAGTAAAGGCTGGAAAGGTATCTTAACATTTTTAAATAATTGTATGTTTCAATTGATAAGCTGTGGTAATTAAATGAATTCAATTTCGTTGTCCAGGGTAATGATTGAATTCTTGATTCTCAGTCAGGCTTAGAATGAAATCACTCTCTGTATCACAAAGTTAGTATTTAATGATAGTATTAGATAGTATTAACTGCTTTTGTGATAGTGACGTCATGAAACGATTAGTTTTAGTGATATTACAAGTCCACGGATGTCAAAAATATTAGTAGTGCACAGCAATGATATCAGTGTCCCTTTAATTAATTATTCTCTTGTTATTTTTCAGGTTAGAACACAAGATATGGGAGGTTATGCATCTACTAGTGATTTTACTCATGCTGTAGTCAATAGTTTACATTCAGCATAGATTTGCCCTTCTTTCCAATCCCAATAGTTAGGTTATATTAGGCCCACCTCATTCAATTCATGTTAACAGATTACAGCTTTCTCAAACATGACATTTCAGTTTGTTATTAGACATGCCTGGACAGTACATTATTGAGCATAATATACTAATTGATCTATGGAATCTCAAAGCTCTAAAATGTATATTTTGCTCTAGTGATCAAAAACCAAACATATTATTCTAAGAACCTTGGATATTCAATATTTGTATTATTGGCATTCATTCATTCATATACCGTAAATGGTACTAGAATTTTTGTAGTGAATAACAATGTTCAGCTTAACTTGTAATTTGACCTAATTCATTTTAGTAAATTTTCATGAACATTTTTGAAGTATAATGCTCAAATGTGGTTGGTGTCAGTACTAAATGTTGTAAGGTTAAACATGTTAATTTATTTATGAGGATGTTGTAAACTAAAAGTTGTTGAAACTGTAAATATTTTGTTTATTTATGTTCTTGTCAATAAATAAATGTAAATGTTGAAGAAATTATATTTTATTTTGCTCAAAGCTAACATTATTCCAGCCAGTAAAGTAAGGTAACCCAATAAATTGCTCAAAAGTAATGAAGATGTACCATAGTTGCTTATCTATAACATATAGATATAACTCAAAATTTGGGAATGTAATTAAACAATTTGCCAAGGAACCATAGGTTCAAATCTTCCTTAATTTTTTTTTATGCCAGAGTTGTCTTAAATCTGCTTGCTGAAGAAAGATCTCACCTAGAGACATTAATAAAGAAGTTCCACAGCCACTCATTACTTGACACAGTGTTGTCTAGATATATAGTATGGACTCAAAGAAGCAACTTTAGTGATAACAATAGAGATAATACTTTTCATTGGTCAAAGAATAACAATAATGTTTACTGTGCATCCATGGCTAAGTATTATAATTAGCATGATGTGGAATTTTTTAGGATGCTTTAAGATTTCAGGAAAATCAATTTTGGAGACCAGGGCAATAAGTAATCATTAGATGATTATCTTACGATTCCAATATTAAAGATCATTTACACAAAGTTTGATAAAAAATCAGTTGAAATTCATACAGAGCACTGATAAGGAAATGTGATTAAGCAGATAGACATGGGTGACTCAAAGAGATATACTTATAACTGATAATATTCCAATGCAAAGAATGTTTATAATTTTATTATGAATGGATGTAGAATGGATTTCATATTACAATACATATAACAGTTATCATATAATCTTATAACTACAACTACCAACCTAAAGTATTTCCTTTACTACTTTCCTGAATAATATATAGTAATCAAGCCTGAATTAGAAACCTGGTACTGTAATTAAATAGAGCTTTTGGTAACATCAGTCTTTTCATCATTAGGAATTCTCTTTCTTTACATATATCATTCTCAGCCAAGTATAGTTTTTTTTTCTGAACTCAATCAACTGTTTTCATATTATACCATGGAAACTAAATTTGAATAACATACTAATGATTTCTGATTTTCAGGCTTGGCTTCAACTGCCAGTACAGAATGTGCTACAACATTCAAGGCCACATTTAATTGATCACATAGTAAATGTTTGGACATAATGGACGGAAAAATATTCAGAAATCTTTTTAACACAATACATCTATAACAGAGTACAATGAAAATTCTATTTTAAACCTATGCAAAGTAAAAGAGGGACATTTTGAATGAAAGCACACTAAATAACACTAACGCCCCATAACAACAATTGATAAATTTAGAAAATAATTGCAAAAAATTCAGTTACGAAACTATTTAGTTCTATTTTGACAACATCAAAAATACATTTTGTAGGTGCTAGCTAACTTGTGAACAATATCAATTATCTCAAGTTAAATAAAAATAAAAATTTTGATTTATGTGACAGGTCGTTTGTGTTGAATGAAGAAATGAATAGTACATTTAACATCAAGAATTCACTGGTGACATTCAAAGTAAAACAGTAAAATGTGAATAATAGTTCAATGATGATTATATTTTTATTTCTTTTTACCACATGTTTTAATAACCCATTCTAAGCCATCCTGAAATATATGAAAATTATATCTTGATTAAAATTGTGGGTTTTTTTTCACTCATCACAATTTCTTGCAAATAAGTAAAATTTATTTACATTTATTATAGGGTAGCTGGTTGAGGATGTTGAAAGTCATATCAAATTGTAGGCCACATTTCAGTGTGATTAGTATTTGGTTTCTATTCATTACATCAATTGTACAATACTTCCAAATATATAAAATCTCACCTTAACTCCCTCTCCGCTTTGAGCAGAACATGGTTGTATATGCCATTCTCTATCTCTTATTTGGGTCAAATTCAAACCATTTGATATATCAGTTGCTGAGGCAGCAGACACTAAATCTTGTTTATTGGCAAATATAATGACAGGTACACCAGCTAGTCTTTCTTCTTCTAATAAATCATTTAATTCCTATAATTATACAGAATCAAGGTTGCTGACTGTGTTTTAAGATTTTAACAACATAACATTTTGATGCACTTAATTTGTTAACAAATTTTGTGATATATTTGATGGTCTGCAGTTACCAATTCATTTTAATGGAACATATCCAGCACAGTTTTAATGTCAATACCAGTAATGGTCTGCTTTTCTATTAAGAATTCTTTGAGTTCCTTCAGAATACAATACAACTTAAATTGAAAACGTACAACATTAACAGAAAAACTAAACTTACCTCGCCTGTTTCTTCGAATCTCTTTCTATCCGCACTATCTATTACATAGATCTGAAAAATAATCCATAATACTTATTGGATTTTCATTCAACAAATCTCATTTACATCCATTATTTTATTTATGTTTGTGGATACTAAACTTACTTCAGATCTGCTAACATCATTAACATAAGCCTGGTGATTCAATTGGTATAATAGGCCAAACTAGTTAGAAAATAATGAGTTCATACAGTAGTCAGTTTGTTCATTTCTAAACTTTTCATTTTTCATCTAGAACTAAATCCTTCATCAATACTATTATTAACAGTGCAAACAAAATACACAAAGAACAAAGCAATTATTTACCAAAATATCTGTATTTTCAAAATAATTTTTCCAGTAAGGACGGATACGTCTTTGTCCACCAATATCCCAGACATTGAGATTGAAACCAGCTGATTGCACTGTTTTGATATTAAAACCTTGAGTTGGTGTGATATGTGTAACATCTTCAGAAGCTAAAGTCTTTAATAAAGTTGTTTTTCCAGCATTATCTAAACCTAATAATAATATTCTCAATTCTTTCTGTGTATTTCCACGTAATCGTCTTAATAAAGATAACAAACCCTGCAATAGAAATATACATATACCAGTATTTCCTATAAACTTAGCCTATATATGCAGTCTTTCCTATGTTATCTTGCCATTGTATCTTTTTGTCTCAAGTTCTGGTTATCTGCCTCCAATCAAGGTTTTAAGGTTTTAAGAAGAAAAAAACTGATAATGGTACCTGATGGCAGCATGTGACTGACTTAAGGCCTCCACCTATTGTCTTTGTAGTGCAATTAGCCCAGGAAAGTACACTATCATGTATGCAGACTATCATGTATGCAGTAGTGGAAGATGGATATATGAAGAAGTTACATCATAGATCTAGATATTAACATTTTAAAAATCACAGATCGTATTCATCATGAACTAAACTGAAGATGGATGAAGTCATAAAAATTGAAGCAGAAATCTAGACCCAGAATAGGATCTAATATTTGCTTTCCAGAATGAAATTTAGTGTTAAAAACTAAACGAATGGTGGTTTGAAATGCTAAGTGTTCGTTTGACTTCAATTTATTTAATCAATTAGGCAAAGAAGCACTTAAATGAATAGAAAAACTGTCATTATTTTTTACCATAATTTATGATCCGGTGAGGTATTTGCTTGCACGTAACTACGTGTGACGTCACGATTTGTCCGTATTTGCCTCTATTTTGAAGATGTTTTCAGGGGAGGCAATTCATAAAAAAAAAAAATATTTTGTGGATCGAAAGCACTGAAGCATCTATATTTCATACTTATAAACCAACAAAAGTTGGAAATGTAAGTAGGGGTTAAATGAATGATATTATAATGTTGTCTTCTACTAATTTGTTATTATATGTTGTCAATAATTGTAAAATAATGCAACCACCTGTTTTACATACACTTTTACGACAAGGTTATATTTTTGTATGGAAGGCAACCTGTGCCAAAAAAATTATCTTTGGTAAGAACTTGGCATTTTGACTCTTTTAATATGTTAAATAAGTGTAGTAATCAATATAGATGCTTAAATAAAAAACAAACAAACGATTCAAAATGCCTGTCCTGACAAGTTTCACACACAGCTGTAGGTTCCATAGGTTATTTAATTAGGCTAGACTATGTCTAGCCTATAGTAGATGGCCTGGTGGAGGTCAAATTCGAGAAAGTTTTACATTCTTGAAATAGAGATATTAAATAGAATAGTATAAACCTAAACAACCAATATCACAAGAGTTTTGTATTTTGATTAATCTTATGCATTTTTTCTAAAAGAAATGATTTTCCTTCTACATACTAATGGACCAGGGTCATTTGCTCTTTATATAATGGTGAATATCAAATATATTCATACACATGAAATAAGATAGACTACATTTATTAACATCTTGGGACTATATGACTTTATACTACACACAAGTATGTGCTTATCTATTGGCCTAAGATTTTATTGCACTGTCTTTGTCTGTAGATAATTTAATCTGAAAATTGCTGTTGCTTCAATAAACTACTTTAAAGTTTGATATCAATTTCTGATATTTATAGAAAAACAGAGAGCTATTGACGTTTATGAAAATTATGTCCCTTTGACTGCAATCATTTAATATTTTTTCAAATATAAAGTCAGAATATAAAGAAATATATTTACCGTATACAATCTTATCAATATTTTTATTCTTACTTTATGAAATATACCGGTACAGAATTTTACAGTTACGTCACATTAGGACAACACATTTAAATGTATAAAAAACTTTCCATATTTGGATATTTGTTATTAAAGAAGTGTGTTATACCATAACATATTCCCTTGTGTTTTTTGTTATTTGGATATTTGTTTAATGTTTCAGAGAATCTAAAAAGGATGGAAAGTGGAAGAATTAATTTAGATAGACCTAGATGGAATCAAGGAACATTTTATGGAAGATTGAAATATTTTGCATGGATAACAGATCCCCGATTAACTATAACTCCTACCTCAGAATTAATGAATGCCAAAATTCTTCTACAAAAATATAGGTAGGTATTTGTTACTACTTTATTCTCTCGGATGGGCATATCAACAAGCAAATTTGCTAATATACCCGAGGTGCCTAATTTTGGTCTGTTTAAAGGTAAACTACCTCTTAAATTGGACATAAATTTTCCATCTTGTATATATTCATCAGTTGGGCTTACCATGTGCCATGACTAAAGAATAAAATTTCTATATAAGACGATATTAAGCTAAGTAATTCTAAGCATGTTTCAAAATTACTAAGTTTAATGAATTATTACTTTTATGGATTGTTGAATTATACAGGGATTTTGTTCATATATAGTTTTAACACCAGATAAGTCCACTGATTAAGTGCACTGACTCTTTTAGTCAAGTTTAAAAATTGGAATTTTTTGGTCATCCTAACCTAGTATACCTTTAAGTACCTTTTAGTAAAATTACCCGGTAAAATATGGTTAACATCTGATATGAATTAGAACATTTAATATTGATTTGTATTATATTATAATTCATGGATTTCGATACATTAATGATAATTGGCAATTCTGCATTTATTATTGAATGGTTTTTCCTTAGTCATTTTTTTAATTAAAAATTAAATGAATTAATGTATTTATTGTTAGTTCTATTTCTCTATCAGATTAAAGGGACAGTTATAGAAATAAGTATCACATAGAAACATCTGCTTTGGTTAATATAATAGATCTCATTGAACTAATCTTAACAGATATTACATCAATTAAAATTATAATAGAACTCAAATGATTAAACTTGATTTTGAACTTAAGATGATAGATAAACTACACCTGTGATTTCAGCACTAAATAAATCTCTTGCTGGCCTCTATTTCAATTTGCTTCAAGAGAATTGCAAACATCTACTTGCCATTGATGAATGTTTGTGTTTTACTATAATACTCTGCAATGAAACCACAATTTAAATGTAACAGAACTTTTTCTACAGAAAGAATGTACATGAATTAAGCTTAAATCTTTAAAGTGAAGCAAATTTCTTGATGTAAATGAGATATGAAAGATGATTTGACACTATTATGTAAAATAAAAATTGAAAGTTTATATACCTTATTACTCTAGAAATCAACAAGAACCAGCAGGTACCACTATCAATCAGATAAGAAGAGCACAACAATTATATTTATCAGCTTTCCACCCAGATTCTGGTGATTTACAGAATGTTATTGGTAGAATGTCTTTTTTTGTTCCTGGTGGTATGATACTGGTTGGTGCTATGATATCATTCTATAAGTAAATATAGTTTCTAATTGCTTGCTAATCTGGAGGTTTGGATCTCCATTGTAGTATATGTAGAAGTAGTAGTATAGGTTTTTCCACTCAGTTTTCACCTACCAGTGATATATGAAGAAGTAATAGTTTAGATTTTATGATGTGGTTTCCTGCTGCTAGTGATACAGATCACGTAATATAACATAGAAAAGTGTCATGTTGTTATAGAGATTATAAAGAGGTTTTCTAAAATTTGAATGTGTATCGAGGACACTGATAGCATCAACTTACACCATTTCAATCTGATGTCTGTTGTTCCTGCAATTCCACCAAAACCAAGTGTTTGATGACATCACTATTCACGAAAGGCCTTATGTGGTACAAGCATATTTTGCAGCCTTTGAGATATAGAAACTGAAGCTATTTCCATAAACTGTGCTCAAAATTCTCTGACAGTTGCAAATAGAAGCCTTGTGCCTACAGCCTTGAAAAATTTACCTCATTCCACACTGTCTATTTTGTTTCAGGTCCACAGCAGCTGTTATATTTTGGCAATGGGCTAACCAATCATTTAATGCATTAGTCAACTATACAAATAGAAACGCTGCTTCTGAAATAACAACCAAGTAAGTAGGCTCTATAATTACATTGGAGTCTCAGTGAAATCTTTTTTTATCATGTTTATATTATTATGTTCTTGTGGTTTAACTCACTAAACGCAATTAGCTATTGAAAAATGTCATTTAGCTACAGTTGTGAAAACTAGTTACATTTGTGAATGGTTGAATTCCAAGATGTAAAGATTTTAAACTTTTGTTAAAACTAAGTTAATATTTTAGACATGAAATTAGAAAAATGCCATTTTATCTTGAAATGTTCTAAAGATCTGAATGATCATGATCATACATGATTACCTAATCAAACTTAATGTATTTCCAGGCAAATGGCTGCAGCTTATGTAAGTGCCACGTCTTCTGCTCTTGTTACAGCTATTGGTTTGAAGCAGTTGTTAGCTCAGGTAAGATAGCATTAGAAATAGCAGGCTAGTTCTGTATCTTATTCTCAGCTTACCAACTAACCAAAAACAGTTTTTTTGTCCTCAATTGGAGTTGATGATTATACTTACCGTAATAATAAGGAATCTTACAATGATTCTAAAAAAATGCTTTTACTGATAGTAATTTTATATCAATCAAACTTACAGTGTTTTGAATTTCCTGGATTAGTTTACTATCTTGTGATCATTAGATTTTTTCAGTTTCAGCACTGACATATTGTTTTTTTTCTCTTTTATCTATACAGAGAGCAAGTCCTTTAGTTCAACGATTTGTACCATTTACAGCTGTAGCAGCAGCTAATATCATCAATATACCATTGATGAGACAGAGGTATAGATTTATATCTTTCATGTTTTATATAGTATTTTGAATTGAATGCTTCTTAGAAATAAAAAAAAGCTTATCATTTTTATATGCTCATATTTAAATGTGAACTTTTATTATTGTTGCTCTTTCGGTCTGTCCTACACATTTTTTGTCTTTATTAATTTATGTATGTGTTTGAGGCTAGAGCTTTGGATGAGAAATTTCGTTGCTTGAATTTATGTCAAAGAAAATGAGATGAAAATTTTGAAATATTTACAGTGAACTAATAGATGGTATAACTGTTTATGATGAAAATAACAATAAAATAACACAATCTAGGGTAAGTGATATTGTTACCACAATCTAGGGTTTGTAATTATGTTTCCACAATTTAGGGTAAACGATTATATTACCACAATCTAGGGTAAGCGATTATATTACCACAATCTAGGGCAAGCAATTATATTACCACAATCTAGGGTAAACGATTATATTACCACAATCTAGGGAAGCAAATTTGTTACCACAATCTAGGGTAAACGATTATATTACCACAATATAGGGTAAGCGATTATATTACCACAATCTAGGGTAAGCGATTATATTACCACAATCTAGGGTAAGCAATTATATTACCACACTCTAGGGTAAGCGTTTATATTAGCACAATGTAGGGTAAGCGATTATATTACCACAAACTAGGGAAAGCAAATTTGTTACCACAATCTAGGGTAAGCGATTATATTACCACAATCTAGGGAAGGGAATTTGTTACCACAATCTAGGGTAAGCAGTTATGTTACCACAATCTAAAGTAAGCAATTATGTTACCACAATCTAGAATAAGTGATATTGTTACCACAATCTAAGGTAAGTGGATTTGTTACCATAGTCTAAGGTAAGTGATATTGTTACCACATTTTAGCGTAAGCGATTATATTACCACATTCTAGGGTAAGCGATTATATTGAAGATATGGGTACAAGTGAGTTATCAAAAATAGTTAATACATTCACTATTCATACCCTATATATCAAGATCTAATAATGGATTTTTCACTACATGAAACTGACCTGGGAGAGAAGTAAATTGTTAAAATCTTATTTCATTTGATTTTAATTTCTAAACCTGTGGAGTGTTTCAAGTCTCTTATTTTTTTCATTATTTATTTGTAGTATGCAGCAATCAAAGGTATTTCTCAAGTAGTGCTTTCACGAATAATTATTGTGGTTCCCAGTATGAGTAAGTATTATATTAGTTTATACAAAAAATTACTTTTATTTATGACAGTTATTAAATATACAATATGATAAGCTATATTTCTTTTTCTTATGCGATGTTGAATTGATCCCAGTACCTTAATCTCTCACATTTGTTTTTGTTTTTGTTTTTTTATACTATATTGTATATTTGTATTTGCAGCTGTATTACCTATATTAATAGAAAGATTAGAGAAAACTAACTGGATGAAAAGATATCCTGTTGTTAATGCTCCATTACAAATAGCTTTAGCTGGTCTAACGTAAGTTTTAATAAGGATAGTTGACTAGTTGTATTACATGATGCATGTTAATGTGATGCATCAATACACTATACCATAACAAGGTGTTTAAGGATCTTGCAGTGACTAAAGGATTACTTGCTGTAATGATATCCTATTTGCAATCGATCAGAGCCGTTACACTAACTTTCAGTTTATTTTTGTCTTTACAACAAATATTTCTTGTGGTTAAATTAGATTACATTTAATATTTTTTTATGAGATATATGGTTGAATTTCATTGTGTATCAATTATATTTTTACAGAATGTTGTTTATGGTGCCGATTGGTTGTGCTTTATTTCCTCAAACCTGGTAAGTTAATTCACTTTCTTTAAAAAAACAAATTACAGGTAACACACAAAATACTTCCATAACATTCAGGTGTATAAATTATCAATACTTCCCATATTATCAGTACAATAAAAGTTTATTTAATGTTGGTGACTTAAATGTTTGGTATGAGGAAGAATTAGTCAAGAAACTATTATTATATTTTACTATTTTACTTCCTTCATTTACTTGTTACTTCCTTAATAAGCCACACATTGAAATATAAATTGTTTAATGTCATTTAATCCTGTATATTGATGTCTAACATTAGAAAGAAATTTCATTTTTTTACAAGAAAAACAACATAGTCTCTTGAAGATCCTTTCTTCCAGCAGGTCCTTATCACATCTCTTTGCATTGAATTTTCCCGGATTTGCTATGCTTGTTAACGTCTGTGTATGGTGTCAGCTATTCCTTTCAGATTCACTTATAAATAAAATATATTCAAGCTCTATTTTTTTTAGAATATTACACTTAATACATGATGATAAATTTATTTCCTGATTGTAACCTGTATTTACCTGTAGTGAATAATACAAAATATTATGTATCATAGCTACTACTATTATTGTAACTAGATTCTGAGTTTCCTCCTACTAAATGATAAAATTTCCATTATTGGATCCCATATATAGTATTTCATATCTAAATTGTCTTGACTCACAACCTATAAGTATTAATGATTCATATCTTTAAGATTGAAATTAATGAAATCATATGAAACATTACTCAGAAATGACGTAAATCGAACAGCTCGATCAGCTGATGAAATAATTATTTAAATTACTTTATATCGTTAATTTTTATTTCTATTTAAGTTTATTTTGTTGTGTGCTATACAAACAAAAAATTGTCAAAAATATTGCCTACTTCCTCAAAAGACCATAAAATATAATTTGGAATAAAGGAAGTTTGAAAAGTTTATAGAGTATCTTTCCAAAAGAATTAAATTATTAAGTGTGGGTTATAATCAGATTTACTGGGTTTAACTGAATAGATAATCAGATATGCCTCACTGGTAATTAGTGTATGAATAATTAATTTGATTTGAATTTTGGTCCTTCAATGTATGTATCAACTGATTTCTAGTAGTGTATTTCTTTTGTAACTGGTTGAACATAAACGCACATTGACCAGGAAGATTTTCATAAATTCTAAATAAGGTGACATCAGATGATTTCTGAAGAGACATTATTGAGGTTTGAGGTAACATTTGGTAATTGAGAAGAACCATGGAACTGACATGACCTGCTATTGTCGAGGTAGTAAGATAGTATTTGCACCATTTGATTTTTCAATCAAAAATCTGTGGTTCTTGTAATTTAACTTTATTGCGTCAGTATATAAGCAGCTCAGTTTTAGAAGAATTACAAGAACAACAGAATTTTTGAATGGTGGAAATCAATGCTATCGTTGTCCCTGATACATACAAAGTTTAGAGAACCTTGAATCTTTTTGGTAATGCTATTTGAAAGTGGGTAATTGATTTAGAGACATTACATCTGTACCCCTTCTGTAATAGCCTAGGTGCCATTGCTTTTCGCTGATGTGACCTTTGGGAATAGATCAGGACACAGAGAATGACAATACATACATGGTAACCAGACAGATATTTATTTAAAAAGACCCAATAATTTCTTTATCACCAGGTTCATTATCATTCTCTTCTCTCTAGTTTTATCACTTATCATCTACCATTGAAGTTGTTTAGGTGGAGGAGTTGGTAAACAGAAAGCCAGCATATCACAGGTTATTTGTGGGTTGGCGAAGTTGGATACAAAAGTTAAAGCCGAATGAATCAAAGCAATTACCATTTGTTTACACTGGGCCTCAACAGAACCAACTAAAGCACATCCCATATCTACCTGGGAAGCTATTTGAGCAGCGAAAGGTTGACTGGCCATGACAGTTTTGATATCACCGATAAATTTCAGACAATCTGTACAAGCTTTTTCCTCTGCAACTCTGGGATGGAACAAATTCTTGAAAAAATCAGCTTCTTTACTCAAAACACTCTCACTCTGAACTCCATAAACTGAAGCCAAACCAACAATCATGAGTAACATTAAAGGTGCCATGTCGTCTATTATAGTTGAGATGATTCTCTGTATGGTAAGTTGATAGAACTGTGTAGGGTGTAGAAACACTCCCAACTTTTATATCAAATACAAGAAGGTGTCATCTGGATTCATTATTTCATGGACTATTAGATGATAATGAAAATCAATGTATGAATACTATTATTGAAGCTGGTCAAGGCTGACCAAATAGCCCTGTTACATTTTTAAATTGGAAGATCCTTTCTTTCAGAAGCCCACCCACATCAGCGATATCTAAACTTTACTCTTTCACAAATTATGCGAATGTTACTGCCTCTTTAAGCATATAAGATTAACATAACAAGCCATAAAATTATAAAACCACAGACATTTTTTCTATTGGGATCAAAATGATCCACATTGATCTTATATACATGCTATATACTAATATATCTGTTATATAACGGTATATACAAGCTATAGAATTATATTATTGTAATGGTATATACAAGCTATATTATAATACATTTGTTATATAATGGTATACAAGCTATGTAATAAGATATCTCTTATATAATGGAATACAAGCTATGTAATAATATATCTGTTATATAATGGAATATACAAGCTATAGAATTATATATCAGTTATATAATGGTATACAAGCTATTTGATAATATATCTGTTATATAATGATATGTACAAGCTATATAATAATATATTTGTTATATAATGGTATACAAGCTATGTAATAATATATCTATTATATAATTGTATATACATGCTATTTGATAATAAATCTGTTATATAATGATATATACAAGCTATATAATAATATATTTGCTATATAATGTTATACAAGCTATGTAATAATATATCTGCTATATAATGGATATATACAAGCTATATAATAATACATTTGCTATATAATGATATATACAAGCTATAGAATTATATATCTGTTATATAATGGTATATACATTCTATATAATCATATATCTGTTATATAATGGTATATAGATGCTATATAATAATACATCTGTTATATAATGGTGTATACATGCTATATGATCATATATCTGTTATATAATGGTATATACATGCTATATAATCATATATCTGTTATATAATGGTATATACATGCTATATGATAATATATTTGTTATATAATGGTATATACAGGCTATATAATGATACATTTGCCATATAATGGTATATACAAGCTATAGAATTATATATCTGTTATATAATGGTATATACATGCTATATAATCATATATCTGTTATATAATGGTATATACATGCTATATATTAATACATCTGTTATATAATGGTGTATACATGCTATATAATCATATATCTGTTATATAATGGTGTATACATGCTATATGATAATATATCTGTTGTATAATGGTATATACATGCTATATAATCATATATCTGTTATATAATGGTATATACATGCTATATAATCATATATCTGTTATATAATGGTATATACAGGCTATATGATAATACATTTGCTATATAATGGTATATACATGCTATATAATAATACATCTGTTATATAATGGTGTATACATGCTATATGATAATATATCTGTTGTATAATGGTATATACATGCTATATAATCATATATCTGTTATATAATGGTGTATACATGCTATATGATAATACATCTGTTATATAATGGTGTATACATGCTATATAATAATACATCTGTTATATAATGGTGTATACATGCTATATAATAATACATCTGTTATATAATGGTGTATACATGCTATATAATCATATATCTGTTATATAATGGTGTATACATGCTATATGATAATATATCTGTTGTATAATGGTATATACATGCTATATAATCATATATCTGTTATATAATGGTATATACATGCTATATAATCATATATCTGTTATATAATGGTGTATACATGCTATATGATAATATATCTGTTGTATAATGGTATATACATGCTATATAATCATATATCTGTTATATAATGGTATATACATGCTATATAATCATATATCTGTTATATAATGGTGTATACATGCTATATGATAATATATCTGTTGTATAATGGTATATACATGCTATATAATAATATATCTGTTATATAATGGTATATACATGCTATATAATAATACATCTGTTATATAATGGTATATACATGCTATATAATCATATATCTGTTATATAATGGTGTATACATGCTATATGATAATATATCTGTTGTATAATGGTATATACATGCTATATAATAATATATCTGTTATATAATGGTATATACATGCTATATAATAATACATTTGCTATATAAGTGTATATACAAGCTATAGAATTTTTTCTCTGTTATATAATGGTATATACCTGCTATATAATCATATACCTGTTATATAATGGTGTATACATGCTATATGATAATATATCTGTTGTATAATGGTATATACATGCTATATAATAATTTATCTGCTATATAATGGTATATACAAGCTATATAATAATATATTTGCTTTATAATGGTATACAAGCTATATAATAATATATCTGCTATCTAATGGTATATACAAGCTATAGAATAATATATATGTTATGTTATATAATGGTATATACATGCTATATAATAATATATCTGCTATATAATGATATGTACAAGCTATAGAATAATATATCTGTTATATAATGGTATATACAAGCCATAGAATTATATATCAGTTATATAATGGAATATACAAGCCATAGATTAATATATCTGCTATATAATGGCATACAAGCTATGTAATAATATATCTGCTATATAATGGATATATACAAGCTGTAGAATTATATATCAGTTATATATAATGGTATACAAGCTATGTGATAATTTATCTGTTATATAATGGTATATACATGCTATATAATAATATATCTGGTATATAATGGTATACAAGCTATGTAATAATATATCTGCTATGTAATGGTATACAAGCTATGTAATAACATATCTGCTATATAATGGTATATACAAGCTATGTAATAACATATCTACTATATAATGATATGTACAAGCTATAGAATAATATATCTGCAATATAATGATATACATGCTATATAATAATATATCTGCTATATAATGGTACACAAGCTATGTACTAATATATATGCTGTGTGCCAAATACAGAAGCTCGAGTCGGAATTTTACTTTTTTGAAAACGGGAAATGAATTGAAAGAAGACAAGAATTTCCTGTAATTATTTTGTCCTGTTGATTCAAGATAATGGAAGTGTTTACTATACGGTTATATATTCATGCAAATTATTGGGCAATTGATTTGTGAAAATTAGTTTTACAACAACTACAATATTAGTGGAATATACACTTTTTAAGACTCAGATGAAAATTTGTTTTAGAATATGAAAGACTGCATATTGACTAATCCCTCCAATACTCACATTGTAAATACGACTCATTAATTTTGGTACTAATTTTGAAAAGGCATGAACTACACAGATGTACTAAAATATACCTAAATCATAAGTGTAAGAGATATGGCGTGGAGTATCGGATGTTGCATGTAATTAATATATAGGACTATTATTCATACAAAAAAAGCTAATGACCACCCTAATGTTAATTTTATGGTTATCTAATAGTCCATGAAATAATGAATCCAGATGACACCTTCTTGTATTTGATATAAAAGTTGGGAGTGCTTCTACACCCTACACAGTTCTATCAACTTATCATACAGAGAATCATCTCAACTATAATAGACGACATGGCACCTTTAATGTTACTCATGATTGTTGGTTTGGCTTCAGTTTATGGAGTTCAGAGTGAGAGTGTTTTGAGTAAAGAAGCTGATTTTTTCAAGAATTTGTTCCGTCCCAGAGTTGCAGAGGAAAAAGCTTGTACAGATTGTCTGAAATTTATCGGTGATATCAAAACTGTCATGGCCAGTCAACCTTTCGCTGCTCAAATAGCTTCTCAGGTTGATATGGGATGTGCTTTAGTTGGTTCTGTTGAGGCCCAGTGTAAACAAATGGTAACTGCTTTGATTCATTCAGCTTTAACTTTTGTATCCAACTTCGCCAACCCACAAATAACCTGTGATATGCTGGCTTTCTGTTTACCAACTCCTCCACCTAAACAACTTCAATGGTAGATGATAAGAGATAAAACTAGAGAGAAGATAATGATAATTTGTGAACCAGGATAATGTTATATGGACTATAAGATAAATAAACTTTATATTTATTATAAAATATAGATTCTAGACATAATTATAAAAATAGCTGTATATTGTAAATAAATTTTTGTAGCATTAATTTGTAAAACATAATGGTTTGTAACCCGAAATTCTGGCCTTATCCGTTCCACGGACGCCATATACCCGTATTTCACGTCCGAGAAACTGGAAGGGCCAGATTTGTCGATGTAGATGGTTTACGATAGCGACTTCAATTGATCTTGACCAGCGCACAGATATTAATTTTAATTCCTCAAAGTTTCTTTTATGGTTACTATAGGAAATGATTCAGCTGCCAATCAAACGTATGCATAACGAGCGGAACATATTCATACCATATGATTAGCGTTTGGGTACTGTATAACTAACTTACTGGTAACGTATTACAGCGTATCACTGCGTATTTCTAGTGTACTGCAAGCGTATGCTTAGCGTATAGAACTTATATCGAGGGTATGAATAGCGCATTCACAGCAGGCTGCAATTTTTAGCTCGTGAAAACTTTAGAAGGCAAATATTCAATCTTCAGCCCGGGACTGAATAATAAAACCAAGTTTTGTCAAAATTCAGCAAGAATCATGCCTTTTAGTGTTAAAAAGCTAAATTTGAAAGCGTTTTCAAGAACAAGGGCAGTAACTCATACTAAATATTTTTCAATTCTTCTGATTTTCAATAGGGTTCATCCTTGGGTGATTACGAACATTCACACCAAGTTTCATCAAAATCCGTCAAGAATTGTGCCTTCTATAGAGTGATAACGAGCTAAAAATTGAACGCGTTTTCAAGAGCAAGGGCAATAATTCATACTTAATATTTTTGATTTCTCTGATTTTCAATAGGGTTTATCCTTTGGTGATAACAAACACTCATGCTAAGTTTCGTCAAAATCCGTCAAGAATTGTCCCTTTTAGAGTGTTTACAAACTAAAAATTGAACGCGTTTTCAAGAACAAGGACAATAACTCTTACTAAATATTTTTCGATTTTTCTGATTTTCAATAGGGTTTAACCGTGGTTGATAACAAACACTCATGCCAAGTTTCGTCAAAATCCATTAAGAATTGTGTCTTCTAGAGTTTTTACGAGCTAAAAATTTAACGCGTTTTCAAGAACAAGGGCAATAACTCATACTAAATATTTTTCGATTCTTCTGATTTTCAATAGGGTTATCCTTTGTTGATAACAACATTGACACCAAGTTTCATCTAAATCTGTCAATAATTGAACCTTCTAGAATGTTAACAAACGTTTTCAAGAACAAGGGCAATAACTCATACTAATTATTTCTTTTTTTTTTATTTTCAGTTGGGTTCATTATTGGGTGGTAACAAACTCTCACACCGAGTTTTGTCAAAATCCGTCAAGAATTGTGCCTTCTTGTTCTACAGTGTTTACAAGCTAAAAATTGAACGCGTTTACAAGAACAAGGGTGATTACGAACACTCATTCCAAGTTTTGTCAAAATCCGTCAAGAATTGTGTCTTGTAGAGTGTTTACGAGCAATTGTGGACGGACCGACGGACGGACAAGGGTGACAGCAATATACGCCCCCATTTCATGTGGGCGTATAAAAACATATCTAAGCAGCAGCCCCAATAGAGACCATCACGTCCGCTGAAAATAATTTCTTTCACAAATATGATGCAAGCAGACAGTATATCCTACAAGGTAAGGGGAGAGGGTGTTTTGCACGCCCTTTATCTCTGAAAAATCTATCTTGAAATTTTTTATTTCATTTTAAGTCACGCTTTAAAGTACGAAGCCTTTAAAAACTTTAAGGCGCCTGAGGAATTTTCTAACTTAAAATGTGATATATGTTTAAATTTTCTTCAAAGTGTTTTTTCAATGTAGCTGTACCTGTAACGCAAAATTTTGTCCATGGCTTTGTTTATCGATTCCCAGATGTTCTCGATAACTTTTAAGTCTTTATATGACTAATTAGTCTTATCACATAGGGATCTATTCCAAAGACCAAAGAAGTGAATTTCTCGGTATCGTCATCGTGAAGTTTTATATCACCACCACTTGACATTGAAATATTTAGGATTTATCGTACGTCAGATTTATCGAACGTCAAAATTATAATTATAGATTTTATAGGGATTCTGTATGACACCAGGTAAGGTCACTGATGAATATATACTCATATTGACCATTCTTGAGAATTAAATTTTATGTTCATTCTAAGACCTAGTATCACTTTAATATAGCTATCAGAGGCTGGAATACAGATGTTTCGGTAAAAGAATCACTACGTCAAGCGAATGGCTCGATCCTTATAACTTAGGTTACATTAATTACTTGCTTCAAAAATTTATTTACAATATACAGCTATTTTTATAATTATGTCTAGAATCTATATTTTATAATAAATATAAAGTTTATTTATCTCATAGTCCATATAACATTATCCTGGTTCACAAATTATCATTCTCTTCTCTCTAGTTTTATCACTTATCATCTACCATTGAAGTTGTTTAGGTGGAGGAGTTGGTAAACAGAAAGCCAGCATATCACAGGTTATTTGTGGGTTGGCGAAGTTGGATACAAAAGTTAAAGCTGAATGAATCAAAGCAGTTACCATTTGTTTACACTGGGCCTCAACAGAACCAACTAAAGCACATCCCATATCTACCTGGGAAGCTATTTGAGCAGCGAAAGGTTGACTGGCCATGACAGTTTTGATATCACCGATAAATTTCAGACAATCTGTACAAGCTTTTTCCTCTGCAACTCTGGGACGGAACAAATTCTTGAAAAAATCAACTTCTTTACTCAAAACACTCTCACTCTGAACTCCATAAACTGAAGCCAAACCAACAATCATGAGTAACATTAAAGGTGCCATGTCGTCTATTATAGTTGAGATGATTCTGTGTATGGTAAGTTGATAGAACTGTGTAGGGTGTAGAAACACTCCCAACTTTTATATCAAATACAAGAAGGTGTCATCTGGATTCATTATTTCATGGATCATTAGATGATAATAAAAAGAACTATTAGAGAGGTTATTACTATCAATGTATGAATACTATTATTGAAGCTGGTCAAAATAACCTTCAATGTGTGACCACATCAATGTACAGAGCTTCTCAGGACTTTTGCTTTACATTAATACAATGTATGGACGAGCTGGAATATTAGCCCCAGTTCTCACAAATAACATTAAAGTAAAAATTTCCATAAAAAATAAAACTGTGTACGTATACATTTGCCGTTGCCCTCGGACATTCGTCCGATAATTCGCCCATCCTTCCATCCGAACTCCAAAGGTTTTTTTTAGCGCTATAGAAGCTATAGTTTGTTTCAATCAAGTTTGATAGAGCTTGTGTGGAAATAGGTTAGAAGATTATGAACGATTTCGAATAAATTCATCACAGTGTTTGTATAAAAGGACCTTGGCCCTTATTAAAAAATCCATAAAATTAGATTAAGATAGAACTTTTTATTCTTTTATTTCAAAGAGATTTTCGACGAGATATTTTTGAAGGAATTAAGCGATTTTCTTACATTTCTAGTACTTCTAAAGACTCTTTTTCACGACTCAAATCAACCCCTCTCCAAATGGCCCACAAATCTCTTTAACCTCGAAATAATATGTGCTATATACATCCACGTATATTTCTAGCTCTTCTTAAGACTATTTACATATATTCAAGACCCAAAGACAACCCCAAAAAATGGCGATCCTTGGCCTTTGACATTTTAAAACCATTCTCCTTTTTTTTTCATAAAGTTCAATTGAGGGAGTAATCCTTGTTTCGTGACCTTTTTTCCTTTATACTTCTACAAATAATTCGACTTTCAAAATATGTTTGCTATAATATTCAGTTTGAACTCTTCTGTTGAGCTTTAGGTAGTCATTTCAAAATATACCAATAACATCGGAACATATAAACGCCCACTTCAGTTTTGCAGAAGTCTAACTTATTTGGACATAAATCAGTGGAATCACTGGACTATGCTGTGGTCAGATATGGAAGTTGTTTACTATACAATAACTTAATACATTTGATGAATTGCAGACTTGACCAGCTTCAATAATAGTATTCATATAAAGATAGTAATAACCTCTCTAATAGTTCTTTTCATTATCATCTAATGATCCATGAAATAATGAATCCAGATGACACCTTCTTGTATTTGATATAAAAGTTGGGAGTGTTTCTACACCCTACACAGTTCTATCAACTTACCATACAGAGAATCATCTCAACTATAATAGACGACATGGCACCTTTAATGTTACTCATGATTGTTGGTTTGGCTTCAGTTTATGGAGTTCAGAGTGAGAGTGTTTTGAGTAAAGAAGCTGATTTTTTCAAGAATTTGTTCCAACCCAGAGTTGCAGAGGAAAAAGCTTGTACAGATTGTCTGAAATTTATCGGTGATATCAAAACTGTCATGGCCAGTCAACCTTTCGCTGCTCAAATAGCTTCCCAGGTAGATATGGGATGTACTTTAGTTGGTTCTGTTGAGGCCCAGTGTAAACAAATGGTAACTGCTTTGATTCATTCAGCTTTAACTTTTGTATCCAACTTCGCCAACCCACAAATAACCTGTGATATGCTGGCTTTCTGTTTACCAACTCCTCCACCTAAACAACTTCAATGGTAGATGATAAGAGATAAAACTAGAGAGAAGAGAATGATAATTTGTGAACCAGGATAATGTTATATGGACTATGAGATAAATAAACTTTATATTTATTATAAAATATAGATTCTAGACATAATTATAAAATAGCTGTATATTGTAAATAAATTTTGGTAGCATTAATTTATAAAGCATAATGGTTTGTAACCCGAAATTCTGGCCATATATCCGTATTTCACGTCCGGGGAACTAGAAGGGCCAAATTTTTCGATGTAGATGGTTTACGAAAGCGTCTTCAATTGATCTTGACCAGCGCACAGATATTAATTTTAATTCCTCTAAAAGTTTTTTTTCATGATTACAATAGGAATTGGTGAAAAAAAAACTCAAATTAATCCCATACGCTCGCAAACGTTCAATGATTCAGCAGCCGACCTGAATTCTGTGCCAATCAAGCGTATGCATAACGAGCGGAACGTATCCATACCATATGATTGGCGTTTGGGTACCGTATAACTAACTTACTGGTAACGTATTAGTCACCGTGTATTTCTAGCGTGCTGCAAGCGTATGCTTAGCGTATAGAACTTATATCGAGGGTATGAATAGCGCATTAACAGCAGACTTGGTGCGTCCACGTGACGGTGACGCTCATCATTCCGGCAGTAAACACCTACCTGTAAACATGCCTCCGAAGAAAACAACCTTCAAGTCAAAAGTGACGAAAAAGAGCAACCCTGTTTGTGACCGTGGCAAAAAGAAGGCACCATCACCATCCCACTCACCTCCATCTTCATACTCGCCATCAGATGCCTCCCCTGCCCGAGTCGTCCACCGCTCACCGTCTCGATCCACTGACCACCGCAACACAATCCCTACTGCCTCCCAGACAGGTAGAAAGAAAAGGCGAGCCAAGAAAACATGCTTGCCTTCTTTCCATTGAAGAAGAAGAAACAATACTTGAAATCCTACACGATAATGAAGTATTATGGAACGTAAAGGACGTATAGGACGGACAAGAGCCAGATCTTGGAGGACAAGGCCGCAGTCATGCGTAAAACCAGTGCCAAATCTCCAGATTCGTACACTCGTATAGACAAGAATAAGAGTTATCGTTGGAATTACTCTCACCAGCAGCTCGTCGAGCATTTCTGTGGGCATCTGCATAATGTTCTGGAAATATGTTTAGTTCTCTTTGCATAGTTCTACTAGAAGCTGGTCGTACAGGCCGATGCCGATGCCTTTCGATCCATGGTCTGACCTATATCTTTCTTAGATTACCTACTGCTTCGCCTTAGGACACGCAACTTGCAAAGCGCTAATTTATTAATTTATTAATCTATTTATTTATTTATTTATTTATTTATTTATTTATTTATTTATTTATTTATTTATTTACATCCTGTGTATACGCCAGGTATACGCAAATGAAACGCGTGATGTGCGCTAGAAACGCGTTTAATACATTACTCATTACTTATACATCGAATACGTCAATATGCGTTACAGATACGCTAGATATACTAAGTACGGTATTTCTCAATTTTCTTCAAAGTGTTTTTACAATGTAGTTGTAACTGTAACGCCTATTTTGTCCATGGCCTTGTTTATCGATTCCCAGATAACCTTTCTTTATATGACTTATTATTATTTGGATGCTTTGGTGATTGAGTAGTTCCTCATTTGAGATTGGGACACATATTGATGAAGACTTGTACCTTGCTGTTCAGGCTCTCAGACTTGACGTTTGACAGTCTGAGCTTGTGTACTTTTCGCATTGTACTAGAGCAGTTGCGCATGAAATTTCAAACAAACGTTACTGAATGATCTGTTTCAGACACTTTGGTTGTACTTTATATTGTGGTTGACCTTTAGACCCCAACTGTGGCACTGACATGATGATAAGGTTGTTATTGCAAAATGCTGCAGTCTTTAATAACAACTATAGAAAGAGTCATATTATAACTCTATGGATGTAACATAATTGACTTTGAAAATGGATTTCATTTGGGACTGTTTCATATGATGAAAACATATTTTTAGATCAATGAATTATTTAGATGGACTATGTCTCCGTTGATTTATAAAGCTGTTTTTGTAAGAAAGCGTAACACAACAATGTTGTCGGGTGAATGTCTGAATCTCTGAGTAATTTCACCATTCATATTCTGATCAAGAAATAGAATAAAGAATTAAGATCTGTAGACGTTATTTTTACCAACCAATTAACCTACCAGTTCCTCTGACGTAAAATACGGATATTATATATATCCGTGGAACGGATTTGACCAGAAATGTCAGGCTACAAACCATAATGTAGTATCCCCTGTACAAAATACAAAATAGAGACACTACGTCTTAGAATAAACATAAAATTTAAAATTTTTAAACTTGGCCAATAAGAGCATATATTCACCAGTAGATATACCTGGTGTCATAAATAACATAACAGGAACCTTATATAATTCGATAAATCCAAAAAAATGCAATTAACTATTGAAAAACGCTTAATATTATGATTAAGCGTTTTTCAATAATTACTTAGTTTTATGAATTTTCCAATTTTCTAGATTTTACAGGAAGGTGTCATCTGGATTCATTATTTCATGGATCATTAGATGATAATAAAAAGAACTATTAGAGAGGTTATTACTATCAATGTATGAATACTATTATTGAAGCTGGTCAAGTCTGCAATTCATCAAATGTATTATCATCTAATGATCCATAAAATAATGAATCCAGATGACACCTTCTTGTATTTGATATAAAAGTTGGGAGTGTTTCTACACCCTACACAGTTCTATCAACTTATCATACAGAGAATCATCTCAACTATAATAGACGACATGGCACCTTTAATGTTACTCATGATTGTTGGTTTGGCTTCAGTTTATGGAGTTCAGAGTGAGAGTGTTTTGAGTAAAGAAGCTGATTTTTTCAAGAATTTGTTCCATCCCAGAGTTGCAGAGGAAAAAGCTTGTACAGATTGTCTGAAATTTATCGGTGATATCAAAACTGTCATGGCCAGTCAACCTTTCGCTGCTCAAATAGCTTCCCAGGTAGATATGGGATGTGCTTTAGTTGGTTCTGTTGAGGCCCAGTGTAAACAAATGGTAACTGCTTTGATTCATTCAGCTTTAACTTTTGTATCCAACTTCGCCAACCCACAAATAACCTGTGATATGCTGGCTTTCTGTTTACCAACTCCTCCACCTAAACAACTTCAATGGTAGATGATAAGAGATAAAACTAGAGAGAAGATAATGATAATTTGTGAACCAGGATAATGTTATATGGACTATGAGATAAATAAACTTTATATTTATTATAAAATATAGATTCTAGACATAATTATAAAAATAGCTGTTATATTGTAAATAAATTTTTGAAGCATGTTCTCTATTTTTTATTAGGTCTGGTTGTTGGCTAATACATACACGATTTTTCTAACGAGTCCTAACGAGTCGCCAACACATAGTCAACTGCATGCATCATACGAGTTATTGCCATATATTTTACGGCAAAATTCTATTGTTGTCACGATTAACTACGAGCATATAACGGTCATTTCACGAGTTGCTTACTTGTTTTAAGAATTGTTACGAGTATTTACAGTCTATACGATTCTGTACTTAGATTCATAATAAGTCAATTAGGGATTGTATGAGGTCAAATCTTTTTAACATTGACATTTTTTATTATAGAATATTTATTCTAGACATTATTATAAAAATGGATGTATATTTGAAGCAAAATATCTAATACATAATATTGTATGAATAGTAATGATAAATGTTTATGTTGAGGCTTGTGATAATTTACAATTTAATTCAAATTATTGAAAAGGCTTCCGTGTCATCTGTGTGACAATGATAACTCTGATACATATAGTTATGAAAAAGAATGGAATATAACTTCAACTCTTTCATTTGAAGAGGTAAAAAATCAATGGTCATTATAAGCATCATCGTGACGTTATCGGTAATACCTGTAGGGGGTTATTACTTGGATGATATGCCAATTCGAAGGTTAAAAATAATTATGAAACCTGCCTGGGACTAAAGCTGTCGTCATTTCCGCCGGTACTTTTTAATTAAGTTGTGGAAAAGCCTACAGGAATTTTATTTCAGTATGATAAGTAACGCCGATAACAGAAATTATGAAATATTAAAAAATAACCCCTGTAATGTTCTAAGAAAAAATCATACCACACAGGCACACAAAGGCCTACCCGCAATTCCAAAATTCAAAGATATTTAGATCACCTGACACAAACAACTGTCAATTAGAATATTTTTTTTATCGCATTAAGCTATAATGTGAAAAAAATTCCCATGACAAATCTGGGAATTCCAATTTCAAAAACAAATAGTCAAGTTTCCACTTCTTATTTTTCTTTTAGGTTTTTAGGTATGAGTTTTAGTTTCGAAATGAATTAAGTAGAAACGCTTAATTCATTATTTATATAATGATTATTTTAAACAAAAACAAAATTGTTCTTTGAACAATAAGTAGAGAATTGTAAAATATGATTCAAACGATGAATGAAAACTCATAGTAGTATGTTAATACACCACGTGACGTTTCGATTGACATGAATCGTAGGTCGGTGACATAAATAGTAACATAGCATGCATAAACTTTATCCTTAAGAAACAGTATGGGGACTCTACAATATTATTGAACTATATCATGCTTAAGATCAAAGTCTTCTCTTCTTTGTAAGGAAGGTCTTATACCACGCTATTATTTAAAAATGAACTAAAAATAAAATAAAAAGATTGGGAAAACCCCAATTAGGCTACTTCACTATTTTTAGACGGCGTGGTATTATAAAAAGACGGTATCTCCACTCGATAATTAGTTTGCGATATCAGCATCTACTGGAAGAGAACTAGGCTATATCCAAGGTATGTACAGTAGGATAATTTTTACTCGGACTGTGGTGGAGTTATTTGAAGCCGACAGTGGACCATCGTATTACGAATACGGATTTTGACATGGTCTTATTAACCTCACGGGTTATGACATGAAGTACGATGAATCGGGGTGTGGTTTGTACTCTATGACATACTCTCTTCAGGGCTTTGTTTGTAAATGAAAAGTGCATTTTCTTATAACAAATTCTGATCAACTTTTTCTTTCACGACCGCTGGTTGCATTTTAAAGTGAACGACATGAGCACATCTCATGAAAATCGTGTAAATTTTGTAACTCAATGTCGTATTCGACTGCGCTCATATCTATGATCCGATTACCTGTTTTGTTGACACCTTTGACACCTTTGACGGATCGTTTAATGGAATACTAACTCTTAAATGGACAAATAGTAAAGTCTCAAACTTGGTCAATAAATGTATGTATTCATCAGCTGGACTTACCAGATGCCATTACTAAAGAATAGAATCTCGATATTAGACGATATTTTTTTCTTAGTTTAATGAATTATTAGGTAGTTTTATGGATTTGTTGGATTTTAAGGGGATTCTGTTGTATAGTTATGGCAGCAGGTAAGTCCATTGATGAACAAAGACTCATTTGGCCAAGTTTAGAAATTTAATCCCAAGAGGTAAAATTTAAATTTACTGTTTGTGACTTAGATGATACCTTTGGATTTCATTGATCATTTCAATTGAGTTACAACATTGTTGTGAAATTGAAAATGTGTGACATAATAATTCTTCATTTATTGTAGCCTCATAAGACTTGAACGACATTTAGAAGTGAGGAGTAGGCCTACAAATCACAATCACATGACAATATTATGGAATAAGCACACTTCTTGTATATATATATATAATAGATATTATATATTTCACATAACGTGTAACTTGTGTTGCAGTCACCCAGTCCGTCGGTCCGTCCACAATTGCTCGTAAACACTCTATTGTCTGAGCAAATCAAAAAGTTTTTTGAATTTTTTCTATACTTTTTTAAGAGAATTGGAATATCAGTCTCAAAATAGTACTGATAGTCTTAGAATAAAAAATATAATGTTTTGTAAGTTTACATTGAATAGAAACACATTTCTCTCCAAGAAATGTCAACCCAAAAAAGTCACAAATTTTGGCTGAAAATTGTCCTCTTTAAAATCAAATTTTGAAGAGATAACGTGTGCTTATGCCTATATTTTAATCAACGCAAAGACATTTTAAGACTAACAATACTATTTTGAGGCTGCTATTCCAATTCTCATGAAAATAATGTGCAAAATTGATAAAACGTTTTACTTTGCTCAGACAACAGAAGGCACAATTCTTGATTTGAACCCTAGTGAAAATCGAAAAAATCGAAAAATTATTAGTATGGGCCTTGTTCTTGAAAACGCGGTCAACACTGTAAAAGGCACAATTCTTGATTGGTTTTGACGAAACATGGTATGATTGTTTGTAATCAGCAAAGGATGAACCCTATTGAAAATGAGATGAATCGAAAAATATTTAGTATGAGTTATTGCCCTTGTTCTTGATAACGCGTTCAATTTTTAGCTTGTAAACACTGTAGAACTAGAAGGCACAATTCTTGACGGATTTTGACAAAACTTGGTGTGAGAGTTTTTTATCACCCAATAATGAACCCAACTGAAAATCAGAAAAATAAAAAATAATTAGTATGAGTTATTGCCCTTGTTCTTGTAAACCCGTTCAAATTTTAGCTTGTAAACACTCTAGAACATGAAGGCACAATTCTTGACGAATTTTGACAAAACTTGGTGTGAGAGTTTGTTATCACCCAATAATGAACCCAACTGAAAATAAAAAAAAAAAGAAATAATTTGTATGAGTTATTGCCCTTGTTCTTGAAAACGTTTGTTTACATTCTAGAAGGTTCAATTATTGACAGATTTCGATGAAACTTGGTGTCAATGTTCGTTATCAACAAAGGATAACCCTATTGAAAATCAGAAAAATCGAAAAATATTTAGTATGAGTTTTCCCGTTCCAATTTTTAGCTCCTCCACACACTAGAAGGCACAATTCTTGACGGATTTTGACGAAATTGTTTTTATCACCCATGGATGAACACATTGAAAATCACATTGAGTTATAGTTTGAAATATTTGAAAGTTAAATAAAGTTAGTGACCATCATTCGTTTTATCTTTCAGACAGGTCAAGCTTAATATAATTATGGTAAAATGTAATCAATGAACGGAATGACATTTATTTCCGAACGGGATCGGCTCGAAACTTTCAGAACTTGGCCACCATTAGTAAACGTTTACCCAGTTCAACTTGTTCAAGCGGGATTTCATTATACAGGAACTGATGACGCTGTTGCATGTTCGTTTTGTAATGGTGCAATAAGGAATTGGAAGCACAGAAAAGATCCTATATCAGAGCACCAAAAACTTTCACCGAATTGTCTGTATATCCGGGAATACCTTAAAATAGAAAACAGTCCGAAATCAGCTCCGAGGATAAATGTTAGCGATGATTCGAACTTAAGGAATCCTGCTAATTCTAATGAGTCCATACTAGTAAACCCAACACAGATCCACGTAGCCTGTACCAGTCAAAAACGACCACTCTCACAAACATTGAGCTCCATACAAAGACCTTCATCTCACAGTCATATTACTTCAACTCACAGCCACACAGCCCCAACCATTCAAAACCCATTTGTACATTATTACACCAAAGAGGAACATCGTTTGAAAAGTTTCATTGGATGGAATGGTCAAGTCGATCCTAGACAATTAGCCCATGCTGGTTTATATTATTTGGGTAACTCAGATCGGGTTCAGTGTTTTTCATGTCAGACTATTTTTAGAGATTGGGTAGCAGGGGACGACCCCTGGATAGAACATTCTAAATGGTACCCGGATTGTCCATATATACAGTTATGTCTGGGAAAAGATGTTGTAAAAGAGATCCACGAGCATATGATGCGACGGAGGGAAAATAGAACGCATGGTGCATTCGATGATGTTGTTGAAGGCTCGAATCTAGTCTTCTAATTATGCATGATAATTTTATAAATGTACATCTTCTATCAACCACTTTATGTAATAAATTTTATATCTACTAAACATTTATAAAGGTTTATCCCAAATCCGGTCCATCTATATCAAATTTATCAGAGGTTTTTCTTTTATGTTTATTTTGTTTTGATCTTATTCATAAGTCCCTGTTCGTTATATATTTATTCAGTTATTTATTTTATTTTCCTTATAGTTTAATAAATTGATAAATGATAATAAATTTCTAGTGTTTAAATAGTGTGAATTAATTTCTTAAATATTTATTTACATAACAGTAAAGTATTTCATTTGTAAATAATGTAAAGCTTTTATATTATGAACATTTTATTTTGCTTACCAGTCTGATCTATATATTATTTCCGTTTGGGACAATCTGACTCTGCATAGATCTCCAGAAAACTTTCAAGTATAAGGCCGATAATGATCTCAATATTAATAGGCCAGGCTATATTACCAACTAAAACTCATTCAAACATATGGGGAAGGTAGCCCCAATGAAACTGTCGATCAACCAAACGATTTCGTGGAGTTAACCATATTTGCCAAATAATGCCACATGAAATTAGAAATAAATGCACCACACTGTTCCAATTCATCGATATTACCCTGTAATAAAGTTGTATATGCTCTCAAAAAGATTTAGCAATACTAGAAAACATTTTTCGTATTCTCTTCAAACATTTTGCTAATTCCAATCTGAGACTTACCGAAAAATATTGCTGTATTTTCAGTTCCATCCAGACTGAAAAGTTAAAGATTATGGACAAGGTGCAATATGATGAGGTACAGAAGAGATATGGAGACAAGGTACCAGATGTACTGTATTTTAATAAAGGCTTGTAGTACACCTGCTTAGTGGTAAACAATGTTAATTGATTGTCTGTTTGGGAGTTTCAAGGTAAATGTGAAACCCTCATATCGACTGCTAACAAAAGGACACACATTTTTTATAAAATGGTATCCATACCCCAAAAAATCAGCACATTTGTCATTTACATTTCGTGCAATAAGTTATTAGAATTACCAATTATTGTGCAATTAATTTATTTTCTTTAACTGATGAAATACAATGAAATTATTTCGATTTATTGCACAATCATAAAGCTGGGAATAGATAAGGTATGGTGTTCGATGCGATGTACGATTTGACTATCGGATTATCAGTACAATAGAAACCGGAAGAAGCAAAGCGTATCCGATATCCACATTGTTTTTGAGTCCTTGTCTCACGTTTTCGCTTCTTCGATTTTCTAATATCATAATCCTGCACACAATACATCATACCGGATAACGTGTCTCGGCTATACCCACCTTGAAGGGACAGATTCGCCATCCGGTTGACTAATCGTATCTTAGTCTCAGAAACGTGGATTTTTTACGCTAAGCCAACCAGTAATAGTGTTCTCAGCTCACCATCAAAAATTGAGATTTCAAATCCATGTGTAAAAGTATTTCGCGAAGTATTGTGATTTTCACATATGTTCAAGACCCAAATTAACCTGCGAAAATCGGACACTTGTTCCAGATATAGGTTAAAAATAGAACTTGAATATAGAGATTTGAGATTATTGAGATTATCTAATTTGATGTTTTTTGTATTGTAGACATGTATATTATTATCGAATATTATATTATATTTATTGTGGCAAAAAGCTAAAGTGGGCTAATATATCATTTCTCTCAGATGATAGCCCAGTATTTAGATCTGATCACCTAATTTCTATTGTGTAGTTTTAATAAATTTTCATGTATATTTTATTCAGTCTCTTTTTTAATCTGATATAGCCTACATAGATATCGTTGTACCGAAAATAATTACAGCCGTAAATTTCTTGCACTCATCACTGTCATTTTTGAATAAAATAATAAAAGTTAATAATAATCTGTAGAATTTAATTTGCCCATGGAGTAATAAGACAATAATTTTAGGTAGTGGTACATGGGTAAAATAAAAAAATTCGTCAGTACACAACCCACTTTATTTCAGTCTCATGTACAATGGGAATGTTCTGTTTTATTATCTGTACTATCTGTAAATAAAGTTTTATGATAAATTATATATACATCCATACATTATAATTAATGAGTACTTGGCTAAACGTTCTTTTCATTCTCAAATAATCAGGAAATCCTTGATCAAGGTTAGAAATATTTATTTTTTTTGGGAACAGCATTAATAAATATGTGGGTCATCTATTCATTTAATTTAATTTAAATACATACAATTAGAATTTAACTGAATCGTTGAAATAACAAAACCAGTAGCATATTGCTCGCCATTGTTTGCTCGCCATCTTCTAGTTGGACTTAAAATGCGCAACAGTCCTGATATATTTCATGCGAGTTGTTCTCGAACTACGATTATTATTATTTTGATTTTGATCTAAATTCATACCTGGCCAGACTGTCGTATATAGTTGTCATCAAGCTCCCTACCATTTATGGTTACCTTTTGTGGTAATTTATTTAAACCATATATCTCTATAGTGGATATCTTCAAATTTTTTGCCTCTTCATAATTATGTACTCTTGGTTTCAGTCGCAACTCCGCACTCTATATTTAGACATGAAATGAAAAATTGAAATGAATGGATTTTTACGTCCAACTCTTCTGCACATAATTGTGTTTTTTCGATTTCCAACTTAACGTACTCAGCCTATAGCACACAAAGCCTTGGTTTATTTTTCCATCCATACGACTCGACGCTTTTTCCATGTCAGTCTCTCCAACCAGCTTCACTGACAAGGGGAAACCGGGTTGAAAAATCTAAAGTTATTATCGACCTATGCCGGGATTGAAGGGTTTCTCATTCTGGGTATTTTTTTGCAGTTGATTCATGACAAATCCACATGATTACAGCTTGGTGATAATGAGCAAAGACACTCACAGTCTGTTGAAAAATAAGTACACTAAATGACTGAGTTACTACCCTACCAAAATATCGATGAAAATAAAAATATATATGTACCTTCTCCATACTGAAATCTATTATAGTTGACTGTCCATTATCGTGGGTATCTAGGAAGAAATATAATAACAAAACAAATTCAATTTTTAATGACTGCATAAATTATGACATTGAATTCTTTTTTAAATTTACCAAAATTACTATTGTCTTTTATGAATATTGTCTAAAAAGTATACAAATCTACTCACTTAAACCCTCTCCATCGTCCAAAAACAATTCACCATTAGCTACATTATGTTCATCTAATGCAATCAATAAATCCATTGAATTCTTTCGGCTAGAAAAGAAAAACAGGTTTATGTATTAGGTTGCTGGTATAATATAGACTGTATACTACTTACCTCTTGTAAGAAATTGTATCTTGTTGTTGTACTGGTATAATATAGACTGAATAACATTTACCTCTTGTTAGTTGTTGTATCTGGTTGTTGTACTGGTATAATATAGACTGAATAACATTTATCTCTTGTAAGTTGTTGTATCTGGTTGTTAACTTCTTATACTGGTATAATATAGACTGTATAATACTCACTTCTTGTAAGATGTTGTATCTTGTTGATGTACTGGTATAATATAGACTGTATGATACTTACCTGTTGTAAATGGTTGTATCTTGTTGTACTGGTATGATATAGACTGTATAACACTTACTTCTTGTAAGTTGTTGTATCTGGTATAATATAGACTGTATGATACTTACCTTTTATAGGTTGTTGTATCTGGTTGTTGTCCTGGTATAATAAAGACTGTATGATGCTTACCTCGTGTAAGTTGTTGTATCTGGTCGTTGTACTGGTATAATATATCCACCCCTGACATGTAGATTAAATTTGTGTAAGGGTGTATATAAATTGTGGAATTGAGCAGCTGGGACTATTTCCTCTCCCTGAAATTGTTTATGAACAGATTAACTACATATCATTTTCGAAAATTTAAAAACGACAGTGATATAAATTAGGTTTATTGACAATGAAATTCTATTCAAACAACTGAGAAATTGTTCCAGAGTAGATTCATGTTCAATCATGTAAAGTCAACAATTTTTTAAAATTAAAAAAAGGGTAACTTACTGTCATATAATCATACCATCTAGACTGTGGAAAGTATGCTTCAACTTTCGTTTGATTCTACAATAAAACACAAGTATTCAATGTATATTTTAGATAAAACTGTACCTGTTTTAATACTGGTGATAATAATAATTTGATAAAACTGTACCTGTTGTAATAGTGGTGATGATAATAATTTGATAAAACTGAACCCTTTTGTAATACTGGTGATAATAATAATTTGATAGAACCGTATCTGTTGTAATATTGGTGATAATAATAATTTGATAAAACTGTAACTGTTGTAATACTGGTGATAATAATAATTTGATAAAACTGTATCTGTTGTTATACTGGTGATAATAATAATTTGATAAAACTATACCTGTTGTAATACTGGTGATAATAATAATTTGATAGAACCGTATCTGTTGTTATACTGGTGATAATAATAATTTGACAAAACTGTACCTGTTGTAATACTGGTGATAATAATAATTTGATAAAACTGTACCTGTTGTAATACTGGTGATAATAATAATTTGATAAAACTGTACCTGTTGTAATACTGGTGATAATAATAATTTGATAAAACTGTACCTGTTGTAATACTGGTGATAATAATAATTTGATAAAACTGTACCTGTTGTAATACTGGTGATAATAATAATTTGATAAAACTATACCTGTTGTAATACTGGTGATAATAATAATTTGATAGAACCGTATCTGTTGTTATACTGGTGATAATAATAATTTGACAAAACTGTACCTGTTGTAATACTGGTGATAATAATAATTTGATAAAACTGTACCTGTTGTAATACTGGTGATAATAATAATTTGATAGAACCGTATCTGTTGTTATACTGGTGATAATAATAATTTGATAAAACTGTACCTGTTGTAATACTGGTGATAATAATAATTTGATAAAACTGTACCTGTTGTTATAGTGGTGATAATAATAATTTGATAGAACCGTATCTGTTGCAATACTGGTGATAATAATAATTTGATAAAACTGTACCTGTTGTAATAGTGGTGATAATAATAATTTGATAAAACTGTACCTGTTGTAATACTGGTGATAATAATAATTTGATAAAACTGTATCTGTTGTAATACTGGTGATAATAATAATTTGATAAAACTGTACCTGTTGTAATACTGGTGATGATAATAATTTGATAAAACTGTACCTGTTGTAATACTGGTGATAATAATAATTTGATAAAATGGTACCTGTTGTAATACTGGTGATAATAATAATTTGATAAAACTGTACCTGTTGTAATACTGGTGATAATAATAATTTGATAAAACCGTACCTGTTGTAATACTGGTGATAATAATAATTTGATAAAACTGTACCTGTTGTAATACTGGTGATAATAATAATTTGATAAAACTGTACCTGTTATAATACTGGTGATAATAATAATTTGATAAAACTGTACCTGTTTTAATACTGGTGATAATAATAATTTGATAAAACTGTACCTGTTATAATACTGGTGATAATGATAATTTGATAAAACTGTACCTGTTATAATACTGGTGATAATAATAATTTGATAAAGCTGTACCTGTTTTAATACTGGTGATAATAATAATTTGATAAAACTGTACCTGTTGTAATACTGGTGATAATCATATTTTGATAAAACTGTACCTGTTATAATACTGGTGATAATGATAATTTGATAAAGCTGTACCTGTTGTAATACTGGTGATAATAATAATTTGATAAAACTGTAACTGTTGTAATACTAGTGATAATGATAATTTGATAAAACTGTACCTGTTGTAATACTGGTGATAATAATAATTTGATAAAACTGTACCTGTTGTAATACTGGTGATAATAAGAATTTGATAGAACCTTATCTGTTGTTTTACTGGTGGTAATAATAATATAATATGATAAAACTGTACCTGTTGTAAAACGGGTGATATAAGTAGTGCAGGACCTAATAAAAACTGTTTATCTAATGACCATGTTTGTTTATCTGTTGGAAATCTAAAAAAAAAATAAGGACCAAAAGGCTACTTTTTGAAAGGCACGTTTTGTTCTGTATCATCAGTGACGTCGCTTATGAAAAAATAGTTTCCTTTACGAGAATAAGAATATTTCTTAGGACGAACCTCCTCTGACCCTCAGTGGACGGGTTGCATATTTTCCTTTCCGCATTTGAGATATCCACACAGAAAGATATCCATTAATCGGTCACATATTTGTTCTCCCAGTTTCAGAAAGTTGGTATCGAAATCTGCTTGTGTGTTCTTTCATTATAAAGCAGGTACCTTACTTATGACTAAATAACTAGGCGACTTTCACTTACTCAAATAACAGAGCTTTCATAACCATGTCACCATACTGATGTGCTTTAAACATTAAAGTATATAAATATGGTAGTAGACGATATCTGGTCATTAAAACAGGTTTAACTATATCTATAAATCTCTGGTCCCACGCTGCTGGATCTTGATGCTGATAAAAGAAACATAAAAATTCACAGAACACAATTTTTTGGGTAAGATATTCATTCGTTCGTAAATCAGTCTAATAAAACATGGACAACGAATACATACCCTATACAGGATTTGTCTCTTTCGGCCATTATGGTTTCTAGCAAAAGGATAAAAAGCTCCAAGTTGATGCCACCTTATACACATTTCATATTCTGCATCTCCTTGAAAACCACAGATATCTACACCATTCTGAAATATATTGAGATTCATCTTAATACAATGATGTAACCTATATTCGTGCATATAAGCATTTAACACCGAATTTCGAAAAGATTAAAAAATGGGAAAAAAATTTCTTATGTCTTAGATGTTATTGAAATATTCTTTAAAGTAATGAAAATTGGTTTGTTTCGATTTTCTTCATTAATCCTTCACCTTGACCCATATTTCATGAGAAACCAACTCGACAACGGCTGCAAAATGCGTCACCTATTTTCGTGCTTAGAATTTGTTGTTATATCGGGTGGACCAGAAACATTTTTCAATTCAGGCTATTTTATAAAGTATCAAAAGTATGACCAGAACAACTTTTGAATCCCAGTTTTATAAAAATTCCTTGTAAAAAAATATTATACCGAAAATAATTACTACAATATTCTTACTTACCAATGAGAACCCAAACATACTGAATTCCATTATACCTGCAAATTTAATATCAGACCTTCGTAAAACATTGATTCTTTTTTTTTTTCATTTTTTGAATGTTGTTTTTAAACATTTGTATTCTTTTGGGGTTAAATTGTGAGAATCACTTTTGAAATTAATATTCAGCTTTTTCTATTTTCTATTTTGAGTGCAGCGCTATATGCAAAATATGATAAAACAATTGATATACAAAGAATTCTCCTTCAGAAAGATCAGTTAAACGATACTTACTAGCTATAGACCAGTGTAAATTGGACCATTTACTCTGATTATCTCCCATCCATTTACTAGCATATTTACCAGTTCCTACAAAATTAGATCTCGTTATCGCCCAGGGGCGTTTTTGGGGGTGTAATTTCAACAGTGCACTGAAAATAAAGATGATGGATCATTTACATGGTCATGTTACAGTGTTAATATTCATTCCATTCATTGTTGAGGCAGATTCAGCTTTATGGAAACTTGTTGAGGGTTACCAAATGCAATCAGTGAATTATCTCCCTTTGATTCAGTATAGGACAACATTTTCTTGAGGGTTTTTAATGTATTTTTGATGCAAATTGCAGCTGTGATCACCGCTCACGATGACAATACGATCTGAATAGGAGCTGAAATAATTTCAAGATAAATTGAACAGCTGAAATTGTAGCATACTTATAAGTTTGTATAGCTTCACTGTGACCATATAAACTATGTACATCATAATGTCGTCCCCAATGTTGTTGACTGTCCATACATATTGTTTTAAAATTCAATGAACCATATTGTGACCCCACTATATCTGAAAAAAGGTATTTTTAACTTTCAAGATATAAAACAATCCAAAATTGCATTGAATTGGATTTGAAATTCAATTAAAATTTCTGGAAAGGAAAGTTTAAGGGATTTTAAAGATGTTTGCTAAATTTTTTATGTGTATCGGGGCCACTGGTAGCATCAATTTGCACCATTCCACTTTACATTCTGACCTCTTGCAATTCCACTAAAACTAAGGCGTTTTATGATGTCACTAGATGGGAACTACAATATGCATTCATATATATCAATAGTAGCTTCCGGTAGCTACCCTCTAGTGACGTCATAAAAAGCGTTAGTTTGATTAGAAATACAATGAAAATAGGAATGGTGCAAAAAGTTTAGAAAACCTCTTTACAATTCCTTTAATGATTTTGATAATTTGTAGTAAAACTATATTACTTGGTATGTAGGGAGGATTGTTCCATCTGTTTTTGATACAACCATCTATTGATCCATTAACAAAGTTTTTTGGTTCATTCAAATCCTACAAATAAGAAAAAAATGTTTACGCCATTTTGGAGTTAGTCATTCTTATCGATATCTGCTTAGACACTGGGAAAGCTGTAAACATCAATTGCTTTTGCAAAAATGTAACCAACGTTTCAGTTAAGGGTTCCTAGGTTTTTTTTAGTACACTCATTTTCTGTATAGAATAGTTTTGAAAGCCTTAAATCGAAACTTGCGATCGTTGTTTATTATAAAACGCAACTATATTCATTAATTTATCCTGTGGAGTTTGCAGGTATCCATGACGTTAGTTTCCCATGATGGGAACCAAGGGTTGAAGTTGTATTTTACCTTTAAATGTTGTCAAAGCTAATGACTAATCTCAATGCGCTATCACTTCTATTATTTCTGGGTTTTTTTAAAAGGTAGAACGTGATTAAAATCGACTTACTATCCATAGTGCATCAAATTTGATATTTTCATCATGATACAAATAACTCATCCATTTATACCACCAGTTTTCTGTTTTTGGGTTGGTAAAATCGGGGAAAGCTGAAATACCTGGCCATGACTGGAAAATATATATAAAAAAAACTTTGAAATCATCCTGATCTAGGCTAGGTTCAACGTTAAACCAAAGAAAAAAATGAGTAAAACCAAATCACAGGCGAAAATCTATTTCTATCCAACACTTTGGATGAATTTCTCACCGGATTGACGATGTAATCTGTAAAATTGATAGTGAGTGGCAGGCATTTAAAAGCAATTATATCTTCATCAAACGCCTAGCCACTTAAAGGGATTGTAAAGAGGTTTTCCAAAAAAAAATTATGTGTATCGAGGACACCGATAGCATCAACCTGCACCATTCCACTTTTCAATTAGATCTCTGTGGTTCCTGCAATTCCCTAAAACCAACCGTTTTATGACGTCACCAATCGGGTATGGCCTTATGCGAAAAAGCATATTTTGCCATTAATGACGTCATCACACACTTAGTTTTCTTGGAATTGCAGGAACCACAGATGTCTGACTGAAAACTGGAATGGTGCAAATTGATGCTATCAAAGTCCCCGATACACACTTCCTTTTTTTAGAAAACCGCTTTATAATCCCTTAAATTAAGACCGTACACATGGGAGAAAAGTCAAGCAACACACATACTCACTTTACCAATTAACACTTTGTTAGAAGAGTTTTTAATGAAGATATCTTGTCGAACACCATCATCATACATATCGTAACCTGGACTGTTTATCTTAGCTTTTTCTATCATCTTTGGATCAGAACCAACAGCAGGATCCTACAATGATAATGAAGTTCTGTGCATTATTTCTCACCTATACAATGCCTGAGTGTGAAGATTGATAATACAGCATGCAGTAAAAGATTGTTGTCAACTATTCGACAGGCGACTCCACACGCTAACATGGAGATTCCAGATTCGATGCAGGCACCAGTCTAGACAGGTAGGCACCAGTCTGCTCTTGGCAGTCCAATGGGCTGAGATGAAATACATATCAAACTATCAAAGTACCTCTGATTTTGGGCTTTCTAAACCATAGTGTTGTATCGTCAGAGTTTCGGACTACCTACGTCGTAAAAGATATCATTAGTGTTTACGTTATACGACCCTACAGAGGTAGGGGAAAACCTAATTAAACTGGAAACCTCGAAACAGGGTAACAAAACATTCATCTTGTTCTATTCAAAATTTGCTAGCAATTCTCATTTCCTGTGAATGTTATTGTTTTGAATTCTCAAAAATATTCATACTTACAATGATAACAATAAATTTTTGATGATGGTTATGTAGGTCCTCAATCAGTTTTGGTAAATCTACCCAACCTTTTTTATCATACGTATAATCATATAATTTATACATGTACTCAATATCTACCCATTGGCCTTCCTACAATCAGAGTAAATACGTATAAATTAGTCGAAAATATATGAAACATATTGCATTTAATACCATGATACATCAGGGGCGTGAAAGGTGTCTGTTGGAGGCAAGGCCAGAATGGCCGAAGCCCTTTTAGAGCGGGGGTTTCTAGGCTCCCAGTTGCCCCTGGAAGCAAGCAGATACCAAATGGCCTGAGTTGACATTGAGCATTGAGAGGACTTAATCTTCAAAGAGGTATGGGGCAGGGGCATAGCCCAACAAATAACGACTAAATACGCAAATGGTTGGGGGCATAAAATGTACCCCAACATATCACTCAGATGCCCTCCCAAATATTATCGAGCAACGACCGAAAAACCTGTTTCCGTAGACTCTCGCCTTCGGTGCTTAGAGTGGTGCTTTGCCTGACATCTCAACCGTTCAAAATTGTCGGGCACACAAGCCTGTGCCCCAAACAGGCTTTCAGTCCGTACGCCTTTGATGGAAATCACAGTCTCGGAATCGAAAGATTACAGTCTAAGGTTATTAACTAAAACTTATGAACGAACTGTGTGAATTGATGTTGAATTTCCTAACAATATTAACTCACGTATGGTATACCAGACTCTCTGTTTCTGGACATAACATTGTGGACATCAGTAATATTCAAATAACCCCATCTACATAGATGGTATCCTTGAGCCCAGTAGGGTGGCATCATTGGTTTACCTATAGCCTTCAATATTATACAATAAACTTATTACAAATGCAGTATACAATACAATTTCAGGTACAATATACAATACAATTATGGATATGATATGCAATACAATTTAAGATGCAATAAAAATACAATTTTAGATGTTATATACAACACCATACAATTGTATATGTAAAATGCAATTCAAATGTTGACGTTATATACAATTTTAGATGTACTATACAATACAATTTTAAAATGGAATATGCAATGCTTTTGCAAATTTTGAAATTATATACAAGAATGATCAACAGTAACAGATAAAGATTTTAGACATTATACAAATTCAATTATTAATTAAATAATTCAGTCGCATTCTTTAATAATATCTTTAATCAAAGAACTTACCTGAATATATTGTTGCACAGCCTCTTCTGGAGTTGGTCCCATAAAAATATAGAAATCTAGGATACCACCAATAACACGGTATGTTACAGCTGGGTAAGGGTCGGGTTGTAATACTACATCTATAAATATAGAAATTAGAATAGGACTAATAACACAAGCAATAATAGAGTGGCATTAGGTGTGCTGGTAGAGTGAGCACCCACCGTTTCGACAATGAAACTTACGACTCAGTATTTTGTGGAGATCTAATCAATTCAGTTATACAGTGTACAATATACAATGCTTACAGAGATTATTGCTTACCCATAGCATTACTGTTTTTCAGCAAAACCATTGTAGCTTTACCATCATTTTCTAGATTCATATAAGTTGGCTGAACCCCATAAACATTGATAGGCTCCTTCAATGTAATATAAAGACAAATTTATGTTTATTTGCCATTCAGGAATTTACAGCAAACAGACTACAGAAACTGTTAGCACTCATTTCACAGTGGTGTGGATTATGTTCTCAACACCAAGGAAGTGATTGTTGACAAGCAATTGTCTTGCCAGTGATTGTCTACGGAGTTTGTTTCAAAATCAGGTAAGAAATTTTAAAAGCAAAAAATAAAAAAAAAAATTAACAGATCTCGTTCTTACAATAGGCAGTCCTCCTCCTGCGAAAATAGACCATGTTTTCCAGTTCATATCGTGTTGAAATCTACGATGATTATGTTCACCAAAACCATAAAGATTAGAAGATGGTAGTCTAGTTGTTATCTGTAGAAACTGATCAGTAAATGTTAAACCAGGTACATCAGTAGAAAATCTGAGGACAAAAATAATAGTTACACAATTAGATGGTACAATATAAGTGGTACAAAAGAGCAACAGACATACTGCCACCATTCAAACCAACGAATATCATTCCAAAAAGGAATTACCGTGATCATTTCACAGCCGTTTAACCCGACCAGCTCGGTAGAGCCGGACATGTGACTAAACTCACAATGGTAGAAGAACCACCAATATGAAAACAAAATGTACATACACTACTGTAGAATCCGATCTTCTTTTGACCACCACTGCAAACCTTGGTGGACCTTTAATGATGGAAACGTCGTACAGCCTGTCTTCTGTTGTTCGAAAATCATCTGAAATATCTAATGCTTCCTGTGGGACTTCATATCTCGGAACATCTTTGGGTTGGATCTAATTGATATGATATAAGAAAGAACCTTGGTTCAATCTACCTGTTGTACAGAGCCCTCCAGAGGTAGGCCAAAGCAAACTGCAATGGGGGGGGGGGGGGGTGGGAATCAGGACCCCTATGCATTGTTTCATTGCTTCACGCCAAAGAAGATTCTCAAGTTCTCCTGTGTTTGTGGATACTTGCTGGTTAAGAATTTAGGGTGCTGCATTTTCCAACCAGCACCCCCCAGCACCCCCCCCCCCCCCCACACACACACACTCTCCAAACACTGATTCAAGTATACATTTATATTCCATATAAATGAGAGATGTCGACCTACCAACCTTTATTCTGACTCTGTGGTCAGTTTGGTATTGTACTGTTAGTAAAAGTCTATTGAATATTTCCCCGGCATATATCTTGGGTGTATTGATTCTTTCTAGTTCCACTTCTAATTCCGCATTCCAAGTCTCAGTTACCTCCCCTGTTACTATGTATCCATGTTGTTCTGGGTATATACACCGTGGAACTGGAGTGGAATGGCTTTCTTCCCAAATACAACTGTAACAGAAAGAATTGTTGTAGATTAAATGGATAATAAAGAGGTTTCTAAATCTTTTAGGAACCTCAGGAACCACAGAAGTCTGACAGAAAATTGGGATAGTGCAATATGATGCTGCCAAGTGTCCCTGATACACATGCATGTTTAGAAAACCTCTATAATCCATTTCAGTTGTATACTGATTCGGTTGATCTCTAAGAGTTTGGTGAGCTGCATTCTGTCCAAACCACGCCCGTCATACTTCCGTTAATAAGACAATTGTTGAGCTGCTGACCTTTAGCACTTGAGATTTTGATCAAAGTATGCCTATATCATGGAGTCCAAACCTAAAACCACATCCCCATTCGTAATATAAGACCATGTCCAAACCCCATATTCGGAATACAATGTGCCCATAATGTGCTTTATGTAATATGAGAATGTATTATTTTCGTTCCATTTGAGTTTTTACAAACAAAATTTCTCACCCTCTTCTCAGGCATTTTGCTTCATCCACGCCAGATTCTGGATAACAGTCGATCAAGTATCCATCTCGCCTGTAAATGTTCCTGAAATAGATATAACTTGAACTTTTAAGTAACAAATACTTTGTGGGGAGAACCGAACTCTCCCTTTTCATATGCATGGAGCAGTTTTGCGTCGTTCTTCGAGGTGTTACCACCGGCATTCTACCTTCAACAAGCTCTTTAGTTTGCGTAGGCTAATAATAAATATACCAAATACAAATATTATATATGTGGACTCTCCGACAGGATGTATAGGTCAGGTAATCCCTGGGAAATTAGCATGCTCTGCTTTGCTTGCTACGCCAACCACAGCACCTATTCCATACTCTGAAGGTTTACAAATTTCAAATGACTTACTCACTGCTGCCACAAGACTCCACATTACCATTAACACCACAATATTCCCCGACTTGAGTACTACAAAACAATGTCATTTGTATAATGTTAGGGTTCATAGCATCAGGCATTTGAGCCGAGTAGGCTACAGACAGATGAAAGGCTGAATAATTTTTATTGGATCATTGATATGCCAATGTCTTAATTATTCAGTGCTTAAATTCTAGCATAGGTAGAATTAGGAGCACATGTTTTGTTAACCGACCAGTGGTTTAGGTCTGAAGGGTTGGGGTTGGAGGAAGTTTTTGGTACTGACAGTTGGAAATGAAAAAAGTAGACGAAAGCCCGTGCAAAAAAGTAGGACATTTCACACGATCATTGTCAAACTGACCCAGAAGTACAAATTGTTGATTAATAAGAGCACATAGATTAAAGCTGTCTATTTACAAGCTATATATAGGCCTATATACCAACCTTGAAACATCGTGTGCTGATATGTATAGAAAATCTAACACACACAAAACCAGTACAATATAATGATCAATTGTATGCATTTTCACTCCACTTATTTCAAACGAAATACAATTGTAAGTAACCCTGCCTGTATTTTACTACAGTATTTTCAATCGATGACATCATTTATTACCAAAGTAGTTACGCCATATTGAAGTCTAAAAATAGAATAATATCTTTCTCCCTAATTCAATAACATGTTGTTTGCCTTTGTCAGTGAATCCTTAAAGGGATTGTGAAAGAGGTTTTCTAGCCTTATATGTATCGGGGACACCTTTGATTTCTATTTGGAACAGTCAAATGCTTCGTCTTATGCCCGTGGTTCCTGCAGCCCCGTCGTCAGGAAAGAATTTGTGCTGGTGCGCATATTTTGTACTAATTTGAAGAATTAAAGGTCCAGAGAACTCATTTCTGACAATGAGGTGCTACAAACATATCTAAATCTATGTCTTTTCGATTTTGTACAAAGACACTGTAAATAAATCAAGAAGTTTTGCTGGTGCTTAATTCTCACTTGCTGGGGCCAAGCCTGCACGGACCCCATCTTAACGACGGGGCTGGCTTTCCGGTATTTAAATACAGCGAGGCGAACATTTTGTAAATGATAACAGTTATAAAATGTCTACAAGATATATTGATATTGTCTCGTGTCTCATTTCGGGTTTCGTTTTGCGGTTCAAATCATTAATACTTGTGTTTTTTTTTATTTTTATCATAAAGAGTTTGTTTAAGAATACCAGTAGACTGCTGTTGAATAATGTATGAATCGGATATATATTGTATGCTGTAATAATAATACATAAAATATTATTATACAATCTGATAGATTAACCTATCTGCTCTCCATCAGCATCAGTGGCAGCTGCAGAAATTTGAATTGGGTGCGGGGCCCCCTGTTTTAGGAAAAAGAAGCGATCACCGAACCCCCAAACCAATTTTTATAAATAACTTTAAGGACCTGATTTAAAGGAAAAATGGCATCACATAATTTATTCATATTATAGTTTGATTTTCTTGAACTATTTTTATATATATTTTACTTAATATTTATTTTAATCTTTCCTTTGTATTATTTTTTCTTTCAAGAATTCGATGTGTTTTCGTAAAGCTGAATCTTCCTCTAGGAAAATAATTGCCTGTTTGCTCCCATTACAATTCTGCGCTCATTTAAGATGAACCTTTGGATTCGTTAAGAACACGGTGTCCTTACTATTTGTTAGCCTATAATATATTCAATTACATGTTTGTTTGAACAAAAATTGACCCAAGTAGGAGTATTTTATGATATAATGTTTCAATTTCATATTCAGTTTTTATTTAAGTGATTTTTGATGATCATGGAGCTTTTTCATATTGTAGTATTTGAAAAGCAAGTCGGGTGCTAACCTGCAGGTTTGGTGTGCACATCGTTATAACTATCGGTACCGACCTTTGTGCTCAAAATGGATGCAGATTCTTATGTTCCAGGTTCTCAAGTAACATTCACTACACATCGTTCAAATCGCCGGCTGATAATAGTGGTTCTTAGTATTTTATTATTAGCTGTAGTAATTGGTGTAGTAGTGTATTTTTCTACCAATACTGATGAGAATTACAGGTAAGTAATGACTGTTATAATGACTACAAATTGTATTGCACACAATATACACATAAATAAGAGGCAATAGTGATGATGACCAAGTTGTTTCTCACCATATCAAGCCACAGATTTCTGATATTCCATGATTTTGGGCTCTCTTGTCAGTGAAAATTTATCTTAAAGGGTCATTTAATTCAAACGTATAGAACTGGGCTAATTATGCGTAATAATATATTTAAACATTTTGTTTAGTTTCTTAAGAAAGAAATAAGACCGTCTCTTTAATATGAATTCTAGATAATAACCCCATTTACATGTCACTATGAGTCACTAACGAGTCACTAAAAGTCCAATATGGTTATGTATTAAACTGTTTGCAAATCACGCCATATACTAAGCCATTTACCATGTTGTAAAATCATAGTTATACATATTTTCAGTCCAACTAAATTAGAAAAATCAGATAATAACAGTGACGCAGTAACCCCAGTATTAATAGATTGTTATCCTGAAAATGGTGCGAATGAAACCAGATGTGAAGAGAGAGGGTATCTATTTAACTTTATCTTATGCTCCTGAGAGCAAGTTAGTTGTAACAATGGAATGGGCTTTTATACTGTCGTTTTGATGGCGCTGGGATGAATGGAAGCCTGTTGTCGAATAGTTTATCTTTCTGTGCTGTTGAATGCGAATGTCAAGAGTAATTCTAAGACGTTTAGCCTGTGCAATGTATGAACTTTTCAATTATTTAGTAAAATTTAAACTGGAATCATGCCGTTCAAAGAATACAATTATTTATGACTCCTCCGCTCTCGTAATTACAGATCCCCTGCTAGAAAACAATACTATTAATGAGCTTTTATTGAATTTGTAGATGTATTTGGAGGGAGCAGAAAGGAGCTAGTGCTCCATGGTGTATTTATCCGGAAGGACATGGATATCTGTTGAAAGGTGAAATGGTAGAGTCAGATCAAGATTTAACTGGTGAGCTAACAAGGATCGATACACCAAGAATTTACCGAGGAGATATTTATGACACACTTGTAGTTTCTATTGAATATCAAACTGAAAGTCGGCTACGGATCAAGGTAACCTTGTCTTCTATTGTATTAACTGTATAATATATAAAACAAACAGCCAAACACTAGACTTTAAGTTACTATTACCAACGAATATCTTTCGTCTGTATGCATTCCTATAGTTTTAACCTGTATAACCTTGTAGTTTGTAGTATGCTGTAAATCTCGACAGTTGGATTCCAAAGAGAGTAGAATGATGTTCAGCCTAAATATCTCCCACTACACAATGTATGTTCGTCTTCATTTGTCCATTCTGATTGTAACCTACTTGCCAGCTCTCATGTCCTTGTAACTGTCCACTACAGACTACGCTCACCTTAGCCAGAAAGTTCTGTTTTAGATCTCGCCTAAAGGTATAAAGAGATATGAAGTACCAAAGGAAGCCTTGGATATCATCTCTCCCAGTACACCACCAACAGCTGATCAACAACTGTATGAAGTTTCAGTAATAAAAGGGCCTCCACAATTTGGTATTAAAGTGATGAGGAAGAATTCTAATGTCACAGTGTAAGTGTAATTGATCGTTGTTATAACTTCACCTTAGATTAAAAACATGTCCAAGCGAAACTACTAGCTTGTATCCAAGTCGGAAATGAAGGCAAGAAATCATTTATTTGAGATGCACTTCCTACTGCATCGCACAATATTGAAGTTGACAGGAGTAACCCTATACAATGTTAATTGACAGAAATCTGTTCTTTCAATCGTTTTAAGTTGCCTTTGACTTCAGTCCACACCTTCATCAATAAGAAATTGACGTTGTCAGTGTTCTTTAACTTCATCATATTTATAATGTGTAGGACGTACTAATACTTTGTTATATTCTTTCTTTCAGATTTTCTTCTGATGTACCTGGTTTAACATTTACTGATCAGTTTCTACAGATAACAACTAGACTACCATCTTCTAATCTTTATGGTTTTGGTGAACATAATCATCGTAGATTTCAACACGATATGAACTGGAAAACATGGTCTATGTTTACTAGAGATATTGGGGTTGGGGTAATTATTATAAATTTACAAATTTTTCGAAATACTTCTGGTTATAATCCACCTTATCCTCTTTTTACCTTTTAATTAGCCAATTGAATTGAATCAAATGTGATGAAATCAGAGAAACTGAAATGATGAATCTATAAATACAATTGTTCGCTTGTCAGGGACCAGAAAATCTATACGGAGTTCATCCGGTTTACATGAATCTAGAAAATGACGGAAAGGCCACAATGGTTTTATTGAAAAACAGCAATGCAATGGGTAAGTAAATAAGATTAAGATTTTTTATTTAAATCTGATTAAAATTCCTACCTAGATATTTAGTTTCGGTATCTTTCTGTAGGTTACTTCACTTATCATCCCTGATCTGACGACGAGATTGTTCTTTAAATCGTTCAAATGTTATTTGCATTTAGTATCTGATCTATATAATGTGTATCGACAGCATTGCCATATTTAATCATTAAGAACTTTCGTTTGACATCATAGTACCACGTGCGAATTGATTGCGTTTATTTTAATTTTTTTGGTAAATTTTACAACGGGTATCTTGGCAGTTCATGAAAGGATTCTAACGCAGGTTATTTATTCTGTTCTCTTAAGAGGATGACAACTGCTTTTCAGAGATAACATTACAACCAGATCCTAACCCAGCTGTAACATACCGTGTTATTGGAGGTGTTCTAGATTTCTATATTTTTATGGGACCAACTCCAGAACAGGCTGTTCAGCAGTATCTCGAGGTATGGGCATTATAATATGACTTGTAAACCATTACCAGAAATATTCAGAAATAGTTTAAATTACCATTAAAATGGCACTAAGGTACAACTCATTGATATATTGGTTTATTGCAACGCGTTTTCTCATATTAAATTGTACTATAAGACATAACAATGTTTATTTTCAAAGTATTGTATCATATGAAATATTGTATTCTATCTAAGGCTATAGGTAAACCAATGATGCCACCCTACTGGGCTCTAGGATTTCAACTATGTAGGTGGGGTTATAAAGATTTAGATGATATGAAAATGGTAATTCGGCGAAATCGAGAAGCTGGTATACCATATGTAAGTTTATGAGCCGTAAATCTCGTTAGAGTTTACATTATTCATGGTGTTTTCGTGGCATTTAATCATGACGTTTACATGAAAGTTAGTCATGGTGTTAACCTGGTATTTAGTCATGGATTTCACAAGGCATTTAGTCATGGCGTTTGCATGTCATTTAGTCATGGCGTTAACATGAAAATTAGTCATGGAGTTTACAAGAAAATTAGTCATGGAGTTAACATAGTATTTAATCATGGATTTAACAAGGCATTTAGTCATCCCCATCAATTCGAGTCTAGTCTTAATGAATGGGTCGTATTGATATTGGCCATAATTAATTAATCATGTCCATGTTGTAGGATGTCCAATGGGGTGATATAGAATACCTGTATAAGAAATACCTATTTACATATGATCGAGGATTATGGAAAGATTTACCACAAGTGGTCGACGATCTTCATGATAATAACCAATATTTTATAGTCATTGTCGTTAGTAAAAAATACTATGCAAGAACTAGACCTAGAACCCAAATTTAAGGAAACGTTGCATGATCAACTATATGTACATGTTCTATTAATGGTACATTTAAACTCGTTGAAGAAAAAATATAATTTAACTGCACAACAATTTTATCATCGGCCTTTGAGATTCTTAATGAGATTGACATCACCGAGTGGCATGCTGGCTATGATATCTCAGACAAGTCACATATTCGTTCTTTTCGATGAACCCTTTTTTATTACTGCTCTTGGCAAATCTAAAACATGCCAAAATTCGCGATAGGACATCCTGAGACAGCGATTGTATTTTTTATATAGGATCCTGCTGTTGGATCTGATCCACAGTTAATAAAAGAAGCTAAGATAAACAGTCCAGGTTATGATATGTATGATGATGGTGTTCGACAAGATATCTTTATTAAAAATGCTTCAGGTGATGTTTTGATTGCTGAGGTACGTTACGTGGATTCCTATTTATAAAAGTACAAGTTACACGTAATTGATTATTTAAGTAATCTACGCCATATCGAATATAATTTACGTGAATGTTTCTAATGATCGACTTACCACGAGAAATGTACATAGATCGCAGATGATGTTTAGGCCAGATTGCTTATACTGTAATCCTTATTTGAGGACCGACTGTGGTCAGGTGGTAAGAGCTTTTGAATCTACACGTCATTTGCGTCATTTACGTTAACAAATTGCGATGATTTGTTTACTTCTATTGTGAAAAATGCATTGAAAAATGGTATGGTACATTTTTCAAAACCTAGTCAAGAATGAAAGGTTTGGCAAAGAACGGATATTCAAGATGCTATCCATTGTCTCTTTTGTAGGTATGGCCAGGTAAAACAGCTTACCCTGATTTTACTAATCCCAAAACAGAAGATTATTGGCTCAAATGGATGTCCTTTTTCTATAGAAATGAAGACATTAAATATGATGCATTGTGGATTGTAAGTAATGATAAATTATATTTATTTGTAAAGCCCATCTTAACTGGCATTTTCTATAAAGGCAAAAAGATAAAACAAACCTACCAGTCATGGAATTAATCTTGGCCTTCATAAGAAACACAAGAAATTAGCCTATTAACAGATGTAGTGGCCTGGCATTACGAACCTCTTCTGCCCCCCCTTTGGCTCCGCCAATGTTACGAACTTTCATATTTCATTATCATTTTACATAACGAAATATTGACTGTGATTCCCCCCTTGACAATATTGTGGCCCCTATTAGAATCCCTCATCTAATGATTAATAGAAACGCCACTGAACAGATGACCTACATGGACACATTATTATTCTTTATCAGTTAATAGTTTTTGAGAAGAAAAAGATGCTGTTTTATTTGGTGGCATGTTATCTTAATGGTATAAATGATATTATATTTTGTAGGATATGAACGAACCGTCTAGTTTTGTACCAGGATCTATTTATGGTTGTGAAAATACAACATGGGATTATCCTCCATATGTTCCACGTACGTTTTAGTTTAATGTGTGCTCTGGTACTCAGAATATATATGATACAAAACATATCATGAAAATACCTTGACATACCTTTTAAAACCTGGTTTTACTTGAAAAACCTCTCAGAATATATATCTAGTATATTTAAGTACACTGTTAATTTTAATATACTTCTGGATTAATTTCATCATGTACAAGTTGAGTCACTTTATTAATATTTCTTATAAAGTTGGTGCCGTGACCGGGATCTTGAATATTTTTACAATTTATGTCTAACAGCTTTTAAGCCAAGGGTACATCGACCGGAATGATATCGAAATTATAATTTCAAATCTGAAGTAAACGTCTGTATGTGCTACTGTAGATGCTCGTCGTACCTTCAAATCGGTCTTTTTTGTTATAGATATATTCGGTGCTGGTGATGAGGGTAAAATGTATGATAAAACATTATGTATGACAAGTGAACAATACTGGGGGAAACATTATGATGTTCATAGTTTATATGGTCATAGTCATTCTATACAGACATACAAGTATGAGCGACTTTCATATTTTAATCATTCTTCGAGGTCCAATAACCACGACTACCTCCAGCTAATGTAATTCATATCTTTAAATTACGTAATAACGGTCATTTTTGGCAGTCATTCAAGGCAGTGATCAAAATGTGACCGATTTGATGATTGTGAATTTATCTGTAGGCTTTCTTGATCATTTGTTAAACTTAATAATTTCTGTATTCATATTGATCATTTTATGTACGTATCATATATTATGTATATGCAGCCTACTGAAAGTTTACAGGACGATTTTGTTTTATTTCAGTGCTCTTCTCAGACAGTTTCCTGAGAAACGACCCTGGACGATGACGAGATCTAATTTTGTAGGAACTGGTAAATATGCTAGTAAATGGATGGGAGATAATCAGAGTATTTGGCCACATCTTCACTGGTCCATTATCAGCATCATGGAATTTAGTATGTTTGGATTTGCTTTGGTTAGTAGAATAGTTATAAAAGCTATCGCTATTTAATTGAATTAACTTGATAAAGATCAAGATTAACTAAATTTTATTTCTATCTCTAAAGAATGGAGCTGATATTTGTGGATTTTGGTTTGAAGCAGAATATGAAATGTGTATAAGATGGCATCAACTGGGAGCTTTTTATCCTTTTGCTAGAAACCATAATGGTCGTGGTGATGATCCTGTTATTTTCAAGGTACTGTTTCTTATGCTACAAATTATTAAAAATACTAGAAATTCTAGCAATTAGTCAAGATTCTGTATCGTACGAATATTCAGCTGAAATTGTTGAATCACACAAATTGGAATAATCTTCTCTTAAAATAATGTGACATTCCATACAAAACCAACAATTTAACCCTTTGGATAAGATGGTTGACAATTTACTTTCATCTACAGCATCAAGATCCAGCAGCGTGGGACCAGAGATTTATAGATATAGTTAAACCTGTTTTAATGACAAGATATCGTCTACTACCATATTTATATACTTTAATGTTTAAAGCACATCAGTATGGTGACATGGTTATGAAAGCTCTGTTATTTGAGTAAGTATCTAGATAATGTATATACCTTAAGGTTATTCAAACCTATTGCAAGCTAAGATAATAGTAATTGATATTGATCTGTGTGTTGTCCATCCTCTGCCTTTTAATAAAATTGGATATTCAAATGTTTCTGGATTTATAACGTCTCATTCATTTCAGATTTCCGACAGATAAGCAGACATGGAGATTAGATAAACAGTTTTTATTGGGATCTGCACTACTTGTATCACCCGTTTTACAACAGGTAAAGTTTTATCAAATTATTATTATCACCCGTTTTACAACAGGTGCAGTTTTATCAAATTATTATTATCACCAGTATTACAACAGGTACAGTTTTATCAAATTATTATTATCACCAGTATTACAACAGGTACAGTTTTATCAAATTATTATTATCACCACTATTACAACAGGTATAGTTTTATCAAATTATTCTCACAAATATTACAAACCATTATACATTGAATATTTGTGTTTTATTGTAGAATCAAACGACAGTTGAAGCATACTTTCCACAGTCTAGATGGTATGATTATATGACAGTAAGTTATCTGGTCCATAATTAACAATTGCGCTCATTGAATTTTTTTTAAAAGTTTGCCTTAATTCTAAATATTAGTCTTTATGAAGAAGGCCAAGAATTAAATGGCACAGATACCGGAATAAAATTGGTCATATTTCATACACCTTTTATTTAAGGGAGAAGAAGTACTAGCAGTTGGTCAAATACAAAATTTATATACACCATTAGATAAATTTAATCTTCATATCAGAGGTGGCTATATTATACCAGTACAACAACCAGATACAACAACTTAAAAGGGGTGGGTATTATACAATCTATATTATATCAGTATAACAACCCGATACAACAACTTAAAAGGGGTGGGTATTATACAGTCTATATTATATCAGTGTAACAACCCGATACAACAACTTACAAGGGGTGGGTATTATACAGTCTATATTATATCAGTGTAACAACCCGATACAACAACTTACAAGAGGTGGGTATTATACAGTCTATATTATATCAGTATAACGACTAGATACAACAACTTACAAGAGGTAAGTATCATACAGTCTATATTATACCAGTACAACAACCAACTAATAAGAGATTGTTTATTCCAATGCAGTACATCAAACAGTATAACTATCGTGACTACTGGTTTATGCCCTTTTTGCTAGAATTAAGAAAATATAGGTTATTCTAGAAATCTCTGATATGATTTAAACTCCAGAATGACTTATATTTACGATTTTGTTGTAATTGAGAAACATGTGTGTTTTGATGTATGAAAATATATTTCAGTCGTAAAAATCCTATGGGTTTAATAATTGCACTGGATGAAAATTATTTAGCGAATGGTGAGCTGTTTATGGATGACGGTGAGAGTATGGGTAAGAATTACAGTAGAAACATTGTTCATTGCACAAATTTTGCCTGGAGATAGCGTTTACGGACTTCTTATTCCTATAAAATTCCCTCGCAATATTTCTCCAAGCCCCCGACCACCAAATAAAATCGCAGCATCGTCAACTATTAATCTTGTTTGATCAAGCTACATAAGCATGGGAGGGGGGTTCTTACGTACCCCCACTGGTGCCGCCACTGTGTAAGTAAATACTATTCTTAAATCATAATAATTTATAATATTACAATAATAAAATATCTTCAGTGCTCAATACATCAATTGTAGGGTGATTTACAATTATTCCTAATTCATAATCTTATATGAAAATGGAGTTTCGAAAAGAAACAAATATGATATGAACATCAGAAACTTCAGTTATGAGAACTTTTATTCTTCACTCCTGCCACATGTGAACATTCTTCTTAACATTTTTCTAGATCTTCGTAAGAGTCTACGTAGACGTGCGGTGTTGTTGGAGGGATCTGTAAAGACAAGACAATGAAATATGGTGAAATATGGCAATGCCTTTTTCTCTTCGTGTTCATTGATAGCTGAATGTTACTGTAGATAATTTAATACATTCTGGACATACTGGACATACCGGACAGAAAGTAAATCACAAATAAACAAGACCGTTGCGTGGAAACCATGCTTGAAAATAACCAGTGCGTGTCCCAAAAGTCAGGTATAACGAAAGTCAGGTATAACAAAAGTCAGAAAAAGAGAAGTGTCCAGAGTGTGTCAGCCTTACATAATGTTCGAGAAAAACAAAAATAAAGATGTTTGTATATAATAATATGTATACCCACCAGTTACTTTAGTTTCCACATCATCATTTCCAGGCTTTGTTTCTTTATTTCCGTCACTTTCAGACAATGGTTCAGTGATGCAAGTCTTTTGATGTACTCTTTCTGGAAGCTTTACTAATGTTACTTGGTATCGAGATGGTTTCACCATTGTCCAACCTTCTTGTAGCAAACTATTTATTTCTTTTTCATGAGGATTCAATTTCTTAGACTTTTCATCTGAAAATAACAATAAGTTTTTGTTTGTCTTTTTACATTAAATACATGAAGTGTTAAATCATCATAACAGTGTTCTATGTCCTCTTGAAGCAAAGTAAAATACAAGACAATTTCAAACTGTATAACGAGCAATGAAAATAATGTTTGAACATCGTACGTCTAGTTGAGAAGGTATGAAAATAAAACATGCTATGATTATCAATAGCATACCTTCATATTTACTTTCAGATTTGTCTTGATCGTCTAACAACATATTATCATTGTTCTCACTAATCTCAGCAGGTTTATCAACTGTGGTAGTTATGAAGTTGGACTGATTTGGCTGAAATTCTGGAAGCTTAGTTCTTCTGTCTCCAAATCTGTCAAATTCCCCTTCTTTCCAAAAATTACAAATATCGTGATCCGTCAGTTTTGGTGTAGCATTATAATCTTTAATATCATCTGATTTACTTTCTGGATCAGCCAAATTTTCTTTGATAGTGGTTTTTGTTCTATTTATATCACCAGTAGATGTACCCTCTATATCATTGTTATCAGTTGGTGTTGATTTTTGTTCAGCAATATCATCGGCATATTTTCCTTCTGGATCAGCAATGTTGCAATTATAATGGACATCTTTTGTTTCGTCTTTAGAAATGTGTTCGTTACTTTCCCCTTGCTGCCCTTCTGAACAGGAAATGTTTTCTTTCTTGTCGACAGATGTTCCTTTAGGATCAGCAAAGTGTTCGTCATGTAAACAATCAGGGTTGATCACGAAGTTTGTATCCTCATCTGGTTTTGATGGAAAATTATCAGTTTGTCTATACCAGCCTTTCAAAAGGAGATGTTCTCGTAGTTCAGTTTTACTCATTGCTCCTGGAAAATAATAACCCTAGTTGTAAGTTTAGTAACAGTTGATGATTGACAAAATTCAAACCACAGAAACAGACAGGGAAAAGATTCCTAAACGCCAAAGGGTTTTCTTTACGTTTAAATCTGCTTGATTTAATATAGAAGTTTGGACATTTAAATGTACAAAACTAAAAATGATGTTTGTGGATGCCATTGTACGTAGACGTATTTAGCGTTTATTCCATGTCCATACTTATCTAATATACCATTTCTAAACATAAACCAAACCAACCCTACTTCTTACCTCGATGTTTCGCTGGATGACTTAATCGTTTTTTTCTTGAAACCATGTTCAATATTTGTTCAACATACTCGGGTTTGCCGTCCATATCACCATCAAGCTTACGGACGTCATGTCCAATGTCGACGCCTGCAGGATATTCTCCTTCTCCCTCGAGAGATACAGATGCGTTTGTATTGGTTTTAACAGGTAAACTACCAGTTGTTGAATACCAGCCTTTGGATAACAGATTCTTTCGAAGTTCTGCTTTGTCAACCACTACTAAAATAATAAATATTGCTCTTTTAGCTTGGAAGATAAAGATAAGACAGTTTTAGCATGACTGATGTAGGTTTTAGGTTCTAAAGTGTATATCAATATCCATCAGAAGCTTAGTTAAAGTTATAACGTTTTGGGCAAAAATTAGCAGAAATTCTTCGAGGTGATTTTAGAATCCTATCAAATACCTTGCTGCCGTTTTCGTGGTGAAACAGTCTGCTCCTTTCTTTGTACCCATTCCAGTATTCCAGCCACATCATCACCTACAGTAGATTTAGTATCAGATGTTTGGCTCAGTTTACCCTCATGGTAATTATTCAACCACACCTCAAGGTTTTCAGTGCCTTCAGAAACTGGCTCGACCTTGTCAGTGGATCGTAGACCATAGATTACAACTTTATTAGTCTTTTTAGTCCATCCAACCTTCAATAGGCCATCTTGAATATTGGTCTTATTAAAAATACCTGAAACACAATGAACTATTGATGAAACAACCGCTAATTTGAACACAACCTTCAAACTAATAACTGGTACCGGTATATCATTGTATATATTTGTATTGATTCATCATTGGCGATGAAATTGATTTACAATAATGATGACTCGTGCGTTAGAACTAGATTCTTGATGTCTTGATTCTACAAATTGTCTTACCTCGACCATTGGTTGGCTGAAAAGCTTGTCTCGTGGGTGTCATTAAATTAAGTGCGGCAGCTACAATGTCATTAGTAGCTTGATCATTGGTTTCCAACGCTTTGCCACCCAGATCTAATTTCAAGTCTCTAGTAGCTGGACCTGAAGACACAGCACAAGGACTAGAATTATCTGTTCCATTCTGAACAACAGGAGCCGCTATTCCAAGTGGTTTCTTAAACCATCCGTGCTTCACCAATTTATCTTGAATATTGGCCATGTTCATCATACCTTAAAAACATGAATAATGAAATACATTCATCAATTACAATTTAAGATTGCAGGGAAAAAAATTTCTTCAACCGCGCTTTAAATTGATCAATAGTTGTTACTGAGAAATAGTCAAAACTCATTTACTTACCAAGTTTTACCAGTAGAGTAACACGCAAACAGCTGAAAAACTTTAAAAATTTGCAGAAGTATGCAAAAACGCGTCTTGGAATTTCAGTGAAATTGTCAAGACTATGATTATGAAGTAACGTTATTATGACGTCACAAGCAAATTACAATCGCACTTCCAGTTGAAAACAAAAATGCATAATAATAATAATAAACTCTTTATTTTACATGGGTCAGAATTAGGCCCACATGGTTCTGTCGAATTTATCGTAATTGTTCGTTTTGCTTTGTAGATCTCTGGTTCCCAAAACCTTCTCTTTTACCATCACCTTGTATCCAATCGTCCACGTCCATGAAAATCAGTATTGATATTGAATTGATATAAGTATTGCTACAGTTGAATAATAATTTGAATTTAAATAACTTTGTACAAGCCTTTAAGAATAGATAGAGCTAACCAACAACAATTCTTTGACAGACTTCTGTTAGGTTTAAAGTTGTGAATTGTATTACTTTTGCAGAAGCGAAAGGTATATGTCTAAATGTTTCAACAAAATATCCAACAATTACGCTATGATTATCAGGACATCATATTTTAATAAGTGACTGTAATCTTTTATAATCGAGGTATCGTGTAAGCAGGTCCTGGTAAACCTAAATAATACGCAGTTAGGTGGCCCATGAAGAGCTTCTAATCAAGTTCCTTAATTTCCACAAGGTTGGGAGGATTTCTCATTTCCAATCTGACAATAATCATCAGAGTGTGGCGGACATCCAGCATTGACCTAAATGTAGTAACTGATCATCAAATTAGTTATTTGGTGTGGAAATCTATTATGAATAACTTCTAGAGGTGTTGCGATATCTGTTTCCAGATCGCCTAGCCACACCCACATTCGTAATACTAAGCTAAAAATGACAGAAATGTTTTCTGGACAATGCCATTAGCCTACTCTTTTCCGATTTCTAACCGCTATATGCCATGTTCTTTCTATGTATTAGATCAAGCTACATAAGCATGGGCCAGCCGAATGAGCTTGGTCAGATAGAAACTCTAGCATTTACTATGGACATGTCAGAGATCAATCCACATATACATAGTGTACTCTTTTTCAGTGGCAGAGCCAGCCTCTCGAGACAGGGGGTACAAATAGGGGACTGACTTAATGGTCAGACAAATGTCGAAGTTGATTTCAAATCGTGGCAACTCTGTGTAGACACCATAGTTGCACTCCTCTAATGGAGTGTCTGAAAGGGTTCTCCCGAGAATTTGGTACATATTTGGGGATAAAAACGCATATAAATCGTATTTAGAGGCAAATGTGTATGTATTTTTTTTTAATTTGCTCAAAATAAAGTGGGGTATAAATCACTTTTCAAGTGGGACAGGGGGTGGGGGGGGGGGGGGGGGGGGGACGTACCCCAACTGGTGCCGCCACTGTATAAGAAATATACCATTCTTAAATCATAATAATTTATAATATTACAATAATAAAATATCTTCAGTGCTCAATACATCAATTGTAGGGTGATATACAATTATTTCAAATTCATAATCTTATATGAAAATGAAGTTTCGAAAAGAAACAAATATGATATGAACATCAGAAACTTCAGTTATGAGAACTCTTTTTTATTCTTCACTCCTGCCACATGTGAACATTCTTCTTAACATTTTTCTAGATCTTCGTAAGAATCTACGTAGACGTGCGGTGTTGTTGGAGGAATCTGTAAAGAAAAGACAATGAAATATGGTGAAATATTAGTCATATGGCATAAATTGCAATGCCTTTCTCTCTTCGTGTCCATTGATAGCTGAATGTTACTGTAGATAATTTAATACATGCTACGGACATACCGGACAGAAAGTAAATCACAAATAAACAAGACCGTTGCGTGGAAACCATGCTTGAAAATAACCAGTGCGTGTCCCAAAAGTCAGGTATAACGAAAGTCGGGTATAAGGAAAGTCAGGTATAACGAAAGTCAGGTATAACAAAAGTCAGAAAAAGAGAAGTGTACAGAGTGTGTCAGCTTTACATAATGTTCGAGAAAAACAAAAATAAAGATGTTTGTATATAATAATATGTATACCCACCAGTTACTTTAGTTTCCACATCATCATTTCCAGGCTTTGTTTCTTTACTTCCGTCACTTTCAGACAATGGTTCAGTGATGCAAGTCTTATGATGTTCTCTTTCTGGAAGCTTTACTAATGTTACTTGGTATCGAGATGGTTTCACCATTGTCCAACCTTCTTGTAGCAAACTATTTATTTCTTTTTCATGAGGATTCGATTTCTTAGACTTTTCATCTGAAAATAACAATAAGTTTTTGTTTGTCTTTTTACATTAAATACATGAACTGTTAAATCATCATAACAGTGTTCTATGTCCTCTTGAAGCAAAGTAAAATACAAGACAATTTCAAACTGTATAACGAGCAATGTAAATAATGTTTGAACATCGTACGTCTAGTTGAGAAGGTATGAAAATAAAACATGATTATCAATAGCATACCTTCATATTTACTTTCAGATTTGTCTTGATCGTCTAACAACATATTATCATTGTTCTCACTAATCTCAGCAGGTTTATCAACTGTGGTAGTTATGAAGTTGGACTGATTTGGCTGAAATTCTGGACGCTTAGTTCTTCTGTCTCCAAATCTGTCAAATTCCCCTTCTTTCCAAAAATTACAAATATCGTGATCCGTCAGTTTTGGTGTAGCATTATAATCTTTAATATCATCTGATTTACTTTCTGGATCAGCCAAATTTTCTTTGATAGTGGTTTTTGTTCTATTTATATCACCAGTAGATGTACCCTCTATATCATTGTTATCAGTTGGTGTTAATTTTTGTTCAGCAATATCATCGGCATATTTTCCTTCTGGATCAGCAATGTTGCAATTATAATGGACATCTTTTGTTTCGTCTTTAGAAATGTGTTCGTTACTTTCCCCTTGCTGCCCTTCTGAACAGGAAATGTTTTCTTTCTTGTCGACAGATGTTCCTTTAGGATCAGCAAAGTGTTCGTCATGTAAACAATCAGGGTTGATCACGAAGTTTGTATCCTCATCTGGTTTTGATGGAAAATTATCAGCTTGTCTATACCAGCCTTTCAAAAGGAGATGTTCTCGTAGTTCAGTTTTACTCATTGCTCCTGGAAAATAATAACCCTAGTTGTAAGTTTAGTAACAGTTGATGATTGACAAAATTCAAATCACAGAAACAGACATCCCAAAGGGTTTTCTTTACGTTTAAATCTGCTTGATTTAATATAGAAGTTTGGACATTTAAATGTACAAAACTAAAAATGATGTTTCTGGATGCCATTGTACGTAGACGTATTTAGCGTTTATTCCATGTCCATACTTATCTAATATACCATTTCTAAACATAAACCAAACCAACCCTACTTCTTACCTCGATGTTTCGCTGGATGACTTAATCGTTTCTTTCTTGAAACCATGTTCAATATCTGTTCAACATACTCGGGTTTGCCGTCCATATCACCATCAAGCTTACGGACGTCATGTCCAATGTCGACGCCTGCAGGATATTCTCCTTCTCCCTCGAGAGATACAGATGCGTTTGTATTGGTTTTAACAGGTAAACTACCAGTTGTTGAATACCAGCCTTTGGATAACAGATTCTTTCGAAGTTCTGCTTTTTCAACCACTACTAAAATAATAAATATTGCTCTTTTAGCTTGGAAGATAAAGATAAGACAGTTTTAGCATGACTGATGTAGGTTTTAGGTTCTAAAGTGTATATCAATATCCATCAGAAGCTTAGTTAAAGTTATAATGTTTTGGGCAGAAATTCTTTGAGGTGATTTTAGAATCCTATCAAATACCTTGCTGCCGTTTTCGTGGTGAAACAGTCTGCTCCTTTCTTTGTACCCATTCCAGTATTCCAGCCACATCATTACCTACAGTAGATTTTGTATCAGATGTTTGGCTCAGTTTACCCTCATGGTAATTATTCAACCACACCTCAAGGTTTTCAGTGCCTTCAGAAACTGGCTCGACCTTGTCAGTGGATCTTAGACCATAGATTACAACTTCATTAGTCTTTTTAGTCCATCCAACCTTCAATAGGCCATCTTGAATATTGGTCTTATTAAAAATACCTGAAACACAATGGACTACTAATTTGAACACAACCTTCAAACTAATAACTGGTTATAGTAAATCATTGAATAAATTCATCAGTTTTGTATCATTGGCGATGAAATGTATTTACAATAATGATGACTAGATTCTGCTAGATTCTTGAAAGTCGAAGATTACAGAGTGTCTTACCTCGACCATTAGTGGGCTGAAAAACTTGTCTCGTGGGTGTCATTAAATTAAGTGCGGCAGCTACAATGTCATTAGTAGCTTGATCATTGGTTTCCAACGCTTTGCCACCTAGATCTAATTTCAAGTCTCTAATAGCTGGAACTGAAGACACAGCACAAGGACTAGAATTATCTGTTCCATTCTGAACAACAGGAGCCGCTATTCCAAGCGGTTTCTTAAACCATCCGTGCTTCACCAATTTATCTTGAATATTGGCCATGTTCATCATACCTTAAAAACATGAATAATGAAATACATTCATCAATTACAATTTAAGATTGCAGAAAAAAAAATTTCTTCAACCGCGCTTTAAATTGATCAATAGTTGTTACTTACTGAGAAATAGTCAAAACTCATTTACTTACCAAGTTTTACCAGTAGAGTAACACTCTTTACACACAAACAGCTGAAAAACTTGAAAGATTTGCAGAAGTATGCAAAAACGCGTCTTGGAATTTCAGTGAAATTGTCAAGACTATAATTATGAAGTAAAGTTATTATGACGTCAAAAGCCACATTCGTAATCCTAAACTAAATATAATTGTGTTTGATACAACGATTTTACGTCCTACTTTTGCTTTAATAATAATAGTAATAATAATAATAATAATACTCTTTTGGGTCAGATTTATGCCAAATACACAAGGATATGGGGGGAGGGGAGAGAGAAATGTTGTCTGGACAGTGTCATAAGCCTACTCTTTTTCAATTTTCCACCGTCGAGGGAGCTATATGCCTAATCTATTTATCAGACTCTCCGAGCTGCATCACTGACAGACAGAAGCAGTGTTGAAAGATTCTTAAGTCTATTGAAAATTGTCATATGAATTATTCTCTATCGTTTGATGTTGTATCTGTACCTACTTTTGTGCTCTTTATCAGTCATTACTCGGTATTTATTCCGTTTTTTTTTCAGATACCTTTAGCAAAAACCAATCTACTATTGTGCGATTTAGAATGAAAAAGGTAGGTTAACAGATTTTGGTCATCTGATAGTCAACATCAATTTGCAGGTACCAAATTCTATTATTGGGTCTGTTTGGCTCAAGACTCAAGACTCAAGTTAAACATATTCGGGTATATAATAGTGTTTTATTGTGGAACTTCAAATGTGCGTCAATCTCATCACATAAAATCAAGCGATAAAGGTGCGACATTTCATTTTCAGGCCGGTGAGCTATTGATTTACTCTGAAACGAATGATTACTCCCCTACAGTGTCTATCCAAACACTAGAGATCTATGGTTTGAAGAAAATACCTAATATAGTACAGGTTAATGGAATTCGAGTTAACGATATATATATTAGACAGTCTAGACAGGTAGGTGTTCGTTTCATAATGTCAAGCTATTACAACCGGCGTCTATTAAATTGACTTTACAAGGCGATTTTCTTGTATCACGGAAGCAAATGCAGCAAATTGATTGGATTGTACGCAACCGAATAGTCAAATAGCACCCTCGACGGTCGGTAATTCATAAGCTGTAACGTTTACAGTCTTTATGTCGAGGGCTGGATGGCAAGCGTATAATCTAGTCAAACCGCTACACTCAATGATACCAGAAAAGAGACAATGAAGTCAAGGACTTGGACGAAGTTCGTTATAGATTGACATTGTGAAGATGCGGGGCATAAAGGAATAATCTTGAGACATTAAGGCAGCCTGCAATATTCGAATCCCCACAATTCCATTTCAGATGGTAGTACATGTGTTAATAGTGAGAAAGAGATTAGTGAAGCTTTACTCTGAAGCTGTGAATTATACTGAACCATTTGTTTCTTTAACTTTGTTAATATACATTATCAATTTGCGAGGGAAATAAAAGAATACTCATAATTGCTCAAAATTTTTATTTGTTAAACATTAATATATTATATTCTATGTTAATAATGATTTTAACATAATATATTGATTAAGTAAAAGTTTTGCATGCTGCGTCGTCGAAATGACGATATGTGATATGAGAGATTATAGAATAAAGTTTTAGCACAACGTTGTACACCATGTTACAATTCTTGAAACAAAAGTTTCACAGTATAATAATATATCAGCTCTCGTAAATGACAACGCTTTCCTCTTAAAAAAACAAAAGTAATATAGTCCCAAATCACTTGTAATCAAAATCTTGCACTCTTTGGAATGAACGTTCGATTTTATATCGCATTAGCTTACCAAAATATAATTGAGACAATAGTTAACTATATACACTATTCAGAAATAGTCAGTGATGTCATCCGCAGAAAGAATAAACCAATCGAAAGATCCTTAACTACTCAGATTGACCAAAGTTATCAATTAATTTTATTTTCGTCGTCTAAAATACACCCGCTGATGCTTCCACCTTATTTTTATATGGTGAACAAGACATTTCCGATCAAGAAATAGAAGTTATATGGTATACCGGTACTTACAAACAATTGCGATTGTTGATAATTGTTTTATTTTATTTATTTTATGAATAAACACTGTTTATTTATATTTTAGATTGTTCAGATAGTAGAACAAGATATAAAGCTGATTGGGGACAATACAACAATAACCTGGATGCTGTATTAAAATAATACCTTGTAAACTACCACAGCGATAAATAGGAGTCACATATTTACATAAATTCGCCGTACAGTTGCTTAAAGCAGAGGATTTGTTTTTTTTTTGTTTAAAAGCGAGAACAACTCCATTGTCATCATGTATAACCATGTACAATTAACCACGAATCATATATTAAAACTCCTGCCATCTAATACACTGAGGAGTATCATAACTTAATAAATCATTCTGGTGTACTATTTGTACAATCTGAAATGAAGAAAATAAAATAAAGTTTTAAGTAATAGTTATATGGTCAACGACTAAAATAACATTTGCAAGAACTTGTCAGAAACATTTAACAATCATACCTTTATATAATCCTCTGTGCTTTTTTAAAGCTCGAGTGTTCTTGTAATTGTATTTACTTTATCATAAATCTAATATAAATCATTTGATTCAATATTCATCTCTCAAATAACAATTCTTTTAGGGTAAGACAATGACATCAGAAGCAAGTAATGAATATTATAGCTGTCGTAAAGCGTAATTCATGTATATGGAATAACATTCGACATTCCATACACAGATGCTGTCATTGGTATCAGCATGTTCCTTTAGCAACTGTACGAAATTATCCATATCTAACTAGATATTACATTGGGTTCGTTTGTGATTGGACTACAGGAGTAGTAACATTTAATTCTATAATATAAAATCCAGAACGCACCTTTCCAGATTGACGTATGTGTTCATCCTTGACTCGTCTATTATCAATATGGACAACCTGGGGTATATAATCCAAACCATAGATTTCTATTGTTCTTAATGTTCTTAAATCAAATTCGGGATAGTAGTGTATGGGACTGTAGATACATAATTCACCAGCCTGTAATGATAATTAACGTGGGGTGATGGGCTTGCTGTTCTGGATAGTCCCAGCTTCTCTTGGTGTACTTTAAGTTGTCAGAGCTTCTCTTAGTGTGTTTAATATTGCCGAGCAATGTCAGAGCTATTCTTTGTGTTCTCCAGGAAGCTTCCAAGAATAATATCAGAGCTAGTCTTTGTTCTCCAGGTTGTCCAAGAACAATATCAGAGCAACTATTAGTTCTCTAGGAAGCTTCCAAGAATAATATCGGCTTAAGTTGAAGTCAGCTACAATGTCAGAGCTTTTTTGGCTGTATTGTAAATCGGAGGCAAAACAATTTCCGAGCTAATCAAGCAAATCTGTCTTACCCTTTTCATAGTAAATGTAGTAATAGATGATTTGTTATTTTCATGGGTATCTGAAAAGGAAGAAAATATGATAAACTGTTATTGTAAGATGGTGATATGTCTTTAGAAAACCTCTTGGATAATGGTAGATATGTATTTATTTGTTGTGGCAAAGTTTTGTAAAATCTTAATAACGTTTTCAGCGTAGTTTGAAAATCAGAATCGAGAGATCCACAATGAGAACCCGACAATAGTCCGTACATATCCAAATCCAAACCCAAATGTCAAAGTCCACACGACAACAATTTAATGAGTTTTACAGTACATGAGTCCAATGGCAGTTAATAACCTAGCCAAGTGTCCGTGTTCAAGGTTTATCAGCTATAGCTCCTGGAGTAGCCCAATACCAATCATTTATTTCAATCTGAATAGACAATAAGCTAACCTAGACTTTCACCGTCATCCCAAAATAGTTCACCATTAGCAAGATGATTTTCATCTAGAGCAATTGAAATACCAAAATAATTCTTTCGGCTTTAAAAATATCAAAGAATCAGTGTTAACATTACGGAAAATAGCAGGTATTACATATACTATGGAGATTTGAATGACAAAACTAGATCTTGAGCATCAAAGTCAACTTCAAACATATCTTTTCAATATACAGATTACAAAGGGGTGACGACAACAAAAACGAAGCATTGTGTGTCTTTTTCTAACATACAAGTTTTATAGTCATGTAAATAAGATAAAAAGTTTTACTGTTGACCGAATGGTTGAGCTAACGATAAGGATGCACCCAACTATCTATCTTTAAATCAGTGAAGGGGGAGGGGTGGCATAAATATGGTTAAACTTGAATGTCAAGGGACAAAAAGTGAAAGAACTTACCTTTCATAGGTGGTATTACCCGGTTCATGCCAGGGTATAACATGCCCTCCCCTAATATGTAAATTATATTTATCTAATGGCGTATAGAGTTGGCGATAAGTCGGTGTTTCTGGTATTTCTTCTCCCTGTATAATAACATAATTATCTGGAATCGCACAACGAGACAGAATAGGTATAGCGTTTAGTTTTATATATACATATTAAAATAGAAACTGAAATTCGTTACTCACACTGTGTGATCTAAAGACAACTGATTTCCCTACAGAAGTTTGACAAGAAGTACTTGTTAATGTGTCAGCACTTTAGGATCGTTGGTTGTAAAGGGCATTTATGATGAAAAACTTCAGTTAACGGAGGTTGCATCGGTTCTGGAATGACTGAAACAATGAGCTTTGGTAACCGGTGGGTTAAAAACAAAGAGTTGATGTTAATAAAACAATGAACTAATAGCCTACCGTGTGATAATCATACCATCTTGCCCGAGGAAAATAGGCGTGTACATGAGTTTGGTTCTGAAACAAAAACATTGAATTGTATATGTATTTGTTTTAATGGGATTCTATATTGGAACGATCAGATTATTCCTCTTTCGATTATATGTTTATAATTATACAAGATGAAAGTTGAATGGGGAACAACTGAACATAAACCTGTATATGTTACATATGTGTATATAATACAATGGCAATGACGGCAATATTCCTACTTTACTGGTGCTATCCTCTACCCCTGATCTATACAACTGGTTTAACTATCAAAACCTAGATCTAATGTATTTTAGGTAACTTTACATGGAATTTACCGGTTCTAATACAGGAGATATAAGTAAGGCTGGTCCCAGTAAAAACTGATGATCAATTGATCTGGCAATCGTGTCACGTGGGAATCTGTAACAAAGAGCAAAGTTTGAACATCGTTAGATCCACCAAATTTGATATTGCCAATTTTAATTAGTTTTTATATTTCATAGATTTATCAGTTTTATCTAACTAGGATACTTGTTACATTAGCTTGCAATATGTATGGATATAGATTGAATATATAGATTAAATATATAGATTGAATATATAGATTGAATATATAGATTGGTAATTGAGTCTAACTTACTCAAATAACAGAGCTTTCATAACCATGTCACCATACTGATGTGCTTTAAACATTAAAGTATATAAATATGGTAGAAGACGATATCTTGTCATTAAAGCAGGTTTAACTATATCTATAAATCTCTGGTCCCACGCTGCTGGATCTTGATGCTGTAGATGAAAGTAAATTGTCAACCATCTTATCCAAAGGGTTAAATTGTTGGTTTTGTATGGAATGTCACATTTAAAAGAAGATTCTTCCAATTTGTGATGATTCAACATTCTTAGATGTCAATTCAATAACTCAAGAACCGTTCAGCTGAGTATTCGATACAGAATCTTGACTATTGTGTGGTATTTTTGCTGTTGTTGAATAATATAAGTAAATAATTGCTAGAGTTCAATAATTTGTAACAAAAGAAACAGTACCTTGAAAATAACAGGATCATCACCACGTCCATTATGGTTTCTAGCAAAAGGATAAAAAGCTCCCAGTTGATGCCATCTTATACACATTTCATATTCTGCTTCAAACCAAAATCCACAAATATCAGCTCCATTCTTTAGAGATAAAATTAATCATTAATCAAACGATGTTTTGCTTGTTTTTTTTAATTTAATCTGATTTTGAGTGAATTTCATGTGAGCTTCACTACAATAAATTCTGCATATGTCGCTACCGAGGCAGGCAGGGAGTATTTAACTTTCTGGGACACCTGATGCCTCCCTGTGAAGGTCAACTCAGCTTCTCTTTTGGGAATGACTACATGGCTTATATAATATTCATTCTGCTTTTTACATTCAACAAGTCTATTCTACTAACCAAAGCAAATCCAAACATACTAAATTCCATGATGCTGATAATGGACCAGTGAAGATGTGGCCAAATACTCTGATTATCTCCCATCCATTTACTAGCATATTTACCAGTTCCTACAAAATTAGATCTCGTCATCGTCCAGGGTCGTTTTTCAGGAAACTGTCTGAGAAGAGCGCTGAAATTCAATATTAAAATACTATCATCTAACAGTTACACCATAAATATAAAAGTTTAATTCAAAAGTTATGGGTTTTTAATACCATCGAACATGAATTTTTTTAACTGCAGAAATTGTTTGTTTCGTTGGAGGAAAGGGACGAAAACAGACACCATTTCCAATAATTTCCCCTAATCAAAGCATCTCATTGACGTTCATTGATCATGAGTAGAAACTTCAGCATACTTATAAGTTTGTATAGCTTCACTGTGACCATATAAACTATGTACATCATAATGTCGTCCCCAATGTTGTTGACTGTCCATACATAGTGTTTTAGCAAACAATTTTCCATCATTTTCAGTTCCAAGAATATCTGAAATGAAAGACATAAATAAACATAAATTATTTCTCATTATTTCTATATTTATTTTCATAAATATAAATTATTTTAGTAAAGTTATGAGGAATAGATATATAGATTTAATCAATAGAGAAATTGAATAAATACAAATAAATTAGATAAAAAATAAATTAAATAAAGATAGATAAATTAAATCAAAATGAATAAAACAAATTAATAAACAAAAATAAATTAGATAAAAATAAATAATTAAAATAAAGAAATTGTATTAAATAAAAATCAATACAAACAAATTAACAAATAAAAATAAGTAAAATAAAAAAAACAACAAAATACAATCAAAATAAATTAAATAAATGTAAATTAAATATATTACAAATAAAACAAAAAACAATAAATAAAACATGAATGAATGAATGAATGATTGACTGAATGAATGAATACATAAATAAATACATGAATAAATCCTTACTTGCTTTAAATAGTGGATAGTTTAGGGAATTATTTTCACACCCTGTTAAAGAACCATCAACAAAATTCGACGGTTCGTCCATGTCCTGAAAATTGTAATTCGCATGAAAATATTTATACAGAAAATGTGTTGTTTTATTATTCTAGCCAATGACACACAACTTTCATTTCTGTTTCATGGCATTGTAATGACCATTCTTCAAATATATCATTCGGCAAATATCGGCATTCTTAAAGCTGAATCTGAGCTCCATAGAAACCTTCACGATATACCGTTTGTCATGTAAGACAATGATAACAGAAACAGATAGGATAAAACTCTGTCATTTTAGCACTGTACTTTATGTAAGAACATTTACAATCCACAAAGCATCAAATTGAATAGATTGATTATCATGAAAGAAGTTCATCCATTTAAACCACCAGTCTTCTGTTTTCGGATTGGTGAAATCAGGATAAGCTGTTATACCTGGCCACACCTTAATACAGAATAAATAGAATATTTGACTACAATCATAAAACAAGGATCAACGCTGTCAACTATCATTAAAATGATATTTCGGATTTCATTGTACATGTACATAAATGACCCTTCTTCCGAGCATTAAAAAATTACATGATAATTATCAGTTATCCAAATCTTTCCACGAGTACAAACCTTTCCTATTAAAACGTCTCCACTTGAATTCTTGATAAACACACCTTGTTGTACGCCATCATCAAACATATTAAAACCAGGAGCAGATTTTTTATCATTATCTATTAAAGTTCTATTCGAAGATATTCCAGCATCCTTAAATTAAATAAAAGCTATCTGTGACAATTCCGTTCTAGTATATCTGTACATACGTTTATTAAAGAATTTCATTCATATCCGCTCCAAATTCTACAACAAGGGCCAAAGCTTGTAACAGAAAAGTCTAATTTTTAATTAACCAAACTTCATGTAAAACAATAAAATCAATGTAATTGATGTTCTTGATTTAATATATCTTAACATCAAAAAGTATGTAAATCAGCTGTCCGAAACCAATACATTCTGAATTCAGCCAAAAACAAGTCTTTTCTTTCTATCATTTTCTACGAGTATTATAATGTTCTTTTGTTATTTCTAAACTGACTGTTAGAACTTACAGTAATAATGACGAACTTCTGGTGCATATCATGGATCTCATTTATAACTTCCGGTAAACCAAACCATTTATTTTTATCATAAGTAAAGTCTTGATACTGATCCATATAATCAATATCTGCCCATTGACCATCCTGTCAAATTAAAAAAGGGCTGAAGAAGAGTTGAGCGATACTACGATATTATCGAAAAAACAGGCATGAGAAAAAAAGCGAACGATACTATATGGCATTTTTCGAATACCGATTTACAAGACTATCATGAGATTTGAGCACATCTGTCGTCGCGCGGAATTGCTGAAGGAACATAATTTTCTACTTGGCCGAATCTGAGGTTAAGTGATAATGAACATTGACTATTGCCGAATGTACAAATCAACCGGTTGAAAACATGAATTTTCCCAGGGTTTAACAAAGTACGGGTGAATGTTTAAAATAATCTTATTATAATAACATGGCTCATATCCTTCCTTTAAAAATGAAACTACGAGAATTACCGATTTCTCATCCAATAAGGAAAATTTCTAGTGAAAATTGAATTCTGCTATCTATAGATGAAATCTGTTGTTTAGATATGGTACCAGATAAATCCACTGATGAATATAATAATATACTATTATTGGCCAAGTTTGAGACTTTGAATTTAATGTTCATTCGAAGAGAAGTATTCCCTTAAACTGAACTGAAAGAACCAGATCCTATTATAACAGATGTTATTTACTGGGCATGTGTTAAGGTTAGTTCGACACTATATTTTCTATTTTCATATATCTTTATATCAAAACATTACAATAGAAAAACAAAACGATGAAGTATAAAAAAGGTTTAAAGTTATTCAGTGTAAATATCTTCTGGTATAGCAGGTTTTGTAATAGTCAATCAATTTATTCTTAAATTCAGTCGCTAATTTTATGCTGATCAGTTTTGGAAACACTTTCGGAATTATATCTTATAAAATGGGCCAATATGACCGATTAGAAACTATTCATAAAATAGGTAACATGGTTCCTTGAAGCTTTGCCATAAGACAACTACTTTCTATGACGCTAGGCTATTTAGTTACTGCAACTTACTTGTTCAAGTCTTTAGTCATTTAGTAAACCTTATACTAGGGCAATTTTTTGGCATTTCGTGGAGGTTGCTCAGCCTATGAATTCACTTCCTACAATGTATTGGTTCTTCGAGAGGTGTGCATGATGTGTTCTTTACATGTTACAGAACCTATATCTCATACTCTTGCATTTTGGTAAACGTTAGAGTTTGATACATCAAAATTTGACAATGTGTCCTAGATCTTGGTCTCACGAGCCAGTTAACAATAAACGACATACTTTATAACTTTACAAAGAGTTTATTTCCGGAAATTTTCTTTATCGCGATACATAACAAATCTAATAACGCCCTTCTCTAAGCTGGAGACATCAAATCTAATTCGGTGTTATTGTTGATTGGTTGTTTTGATAATATTTCATATTTCACAAACAAAACGTTATTGTCACTAAGAATGCTCTACAGGCAAGTTAAAAGTGATTTCCTGTTGGTAAATACATCGCAAGTTTTCATTCGGTCAGGTGATCTACAAGGATTCCAAAAAAGGCACATATGATACTCACATAAGGGATTCCAGCCTCTCTATTCCTTTTCATCACCATTTTCATATCATCTAACTCTGTATAACCCCATCTACATAGATGATAACCTAGAGCCCAGTAGGGTGGCATCATTGGTTTACCTATAGCCTTCAACGAAACAAATTACATAGCAATACAATATATAGCAATGGCATACAATGCAATAGAACAGGTACAGTATAGTACGATACGATACTGTACGATTTGATACCATACAGCACAATAAGATACAGTACGATGCGATATAGTATAATACGAATCAGCACGACACGATACAACGTGATACGATATAGTACGATATAGAACGATACGATACAGCACGATACGAAACAATACGAAACGCTATAGACAGTACAATGAAATATAGCACGTTAGAATACAGTGCGGTACGATAGGTACGGAACGATACATCACGATACGTTAAAGTACGATACAATACAGTACGGAACGAACAGTACGATACGATATAGTACGATACTATACAGTAAGATACAGCACGATACGATACAGTTCGATACGATACAGTACGATTCGATACTGTACGATACGTTACAGCACCATACGATACGATACGATACGATACGATACGATACGATACGATACGATACGATACGATACGATACGATACGATATCGCACAACACCATACGATACAGTGGATACGATGAAGTACCATATAATACGAATCAGCGCGATGCAAAACGTCGATACGTTACAGTACGATACGACACATTACGACACGATATAGTACGAAACGAAACGAAACAAAACGATACGATGAAATACGATATGATGCGATACAGCACGATACGATATAGTGAGAACGAAACGATACATCACGATACGACTTAGTACGATACAGTGCTCTATAGTCCTGGGTATCGTCAATCTTGTCACAATACGATACGTATCGCGATACACGGGTCACGATACGATACATATCCCTCTACAAAAATGCTCAGCAATGTACGATATGATACGATATTTTACACGATAGAAAATGTTTAAGATATTGTAATATGATAGGGATAAAATTGCAAAAAATACCTGAATATAACTTGCTACAACTTCATTTGGACTGTCACCAACAAAGATATAAAAATCTAGAACACCTCCAATAACACGGTATGTTACAGCTGGGTTAGGATCTGGTTGTAGTGTTACATCTGTAAATGAACGAATAAAAGAAATTCAATTGATCGAATATGTAGAGTGATAGCTAGGGTGTTTAACTAAACATTAATAAAAACTTCCGTTAGCTCCTTTTTTATTTCATCAATTACATGTACTTACTTATTTGTATAGTAACAGAGTTCCATTAACAAGAACTTGTACATACCCATTCCATTGCTGTTTTTCAATAAAACCATAGAAGCTGTACCATCATCTTCTAGATTCATATAAACTGGTTGAGAACCATACAAATTGATTGCATCCTGTAAGATAAGGATTCTGTGAAGGCGTCCTAGTGAATAATGGTTCCAGAACAAAAGTAAAGAAATATATGATGTTGGTTGTTGGATTGCAAAGATTTGAAATGATCTGTCCATAACAAGTTGTTCTTTGAACACATATTAGTAAAAGGTTCGCCAAATAGTGTACAGCATTCGGCTCCCCTACAACAATCATTGATAATTGCCCAAAACTGGTAAAACAGACTATGCACATGTGGTCAATACAAGAAGAGTATACTCCAGTAATGTTGAATTCTTTAGGACTCGTAATTGATTTATCTTAATAACGCACAAGTTGTTAATGAATTAAGTTACTAATTATGTTCATGACAATCTATCGTCTTACTATAGGGGCAGCATCTCTGGCAAACATAGACCATGTTTTCCAGTTCATATCGTGTTGAAATCTACGATGATTATGTTCACCAAAACCATAAAGATTAGAAGATGGTAGTCTAGTTGTTATCTGTAGAAACTGATCAGTAAATGTTAAACCAGGTACATCAGTAGAAAATCTGAAAGGCAAAAATGAGGTTTAAAAATTACTCTATAATACAGTGGCTCACATACGACATATTTCACTTTTAATTTTTAATCAAAAACTTTAATTTCCACCTACATAGGTGAAAATAATTTCCACCTACATAGGTGAAAATAATTTCCACCTTGGTGAAAATAATTATCACCTAGGTGAAAATAATTACCTCATAGGTGACAATAATTACCACCTAGGTGAAAATTAAAGTTTTTAATTCAAAGTTACAGAAATTATCACTAAAGTTTTTTATTTTCAAAATTAATTATCACCTAGATTAAAATTAATTTTCACCAATAAAAAAAAATCATCAGAAAAATTGCTATGGGATATAAATTGAATATATATTGACATAATATCTGAGTAAAGCAAAAAATATACCGATACCTACACAGTAGCATTGTTGCTTCGTCTCTTTACTATAACACCAAACTGTGGTGGACCAGCTGAATAAGATACATCATAATGTCTGGTGTTATCAGCAGGCGGGGTGTCTGGGCATTCTATATCTAATGCCTCGGGTGGAACTTCATATCTTTTAACAGATGCTGGATGAATCTACAATCAAATCGATATTTATCGTTGTGAATTTTTGACGAATGGACAGATTTTCAAGAAGGTAATTACGAGGCTCTACATTACTGAGAATCTGATCAAATTTATTCAGTTCACTGTACATTCAACTACTATGAATCACCTGTTGTTTGTGTCGGATCACTCGTTTTATAAAAGATCATACGGTATACCTTGACTCTGAGACGATGTTCTGTTTGGTACTCTACACTAACAGTTAAATTTGTATAAACTGTTCCACCATATATATTTGGTGAGGGTCTGGCTGTGATGTTATAAGTCGATCCTCTGTCAGTATTTACTACAGGTCCTGATATTTCATACCCGTGACCTTCTGGATAAATACACCGAGGCGCACCCTTAATATGCAGATCTAACCACAGGCAACTGTTAAAACATTATGTCACATACTGCTTATAAGAAATACAGAAATAGCCTATTGCCTTTTTCAAATAGGCAAAAGTAAAGAAGCACAAGATTTTAAGATATAAACTCTAATAATTGAGTCAATAGAATGTAAAAATAGCATATATTAAATGTGTTGTGCTTTTTTACAATGATATATCAACTGCACATCTTAGAAAAATCATAAAATAATAGAACGGCCTTCAAATTATTCAATCTAAGAGATTGGAGCAATATTATAACGCTAAGCTAGCCCTCCAGATATTAAAGCTACTGTGAGATATGAAAACTCTTTCTGAAGATCCACCCCGCCGTGTACTTCCTGTTGTACTATCAGCTTAGGAGGAGGATTGTGGTTTTGATTTAATTATCAAGGCTAAGATGGTGATAACATCCTTACCCTCTATTGATACATTCTGCTTGTGTTAGATGTTTCTGTGGATGACAATCAACTATAACACTGTTCAGTTGGGATGAATGATACCTTGTAGCTTTCTCTTCAATGGATAGACTATAAATAGAATAAACATTTATTGTACAAGACAGATTTCAAAAGATTCACTGAAAAAGACACGACACGTCGCTCTTCACAAGAAGGAATGACAAACAATCTACAGAGGAAGAACTACCGAAGAAGAACTACACAAGAATAACCCTACAGAGGAATAACTCTACGGGGAAGAGCTACGGAAGAAGAACTCTACAGAGATAGAGCTTAAGAAGAAAGAAGAACTCTACAGAAGTATAACTACAGCAAAACAACTCTACAGGAAAAGAGCTACAGAAGAACTCTACAGAGGTAGAAGGAAGAAGAAGTTTACTGAGGAAGAACTAGAGAATTCTCTCTATAGAAGAAGAATTCTACAGAAGAATAACTCTAAACAGGTAGAACTACAGTAGAAGAACTTTATAGAAGAAGAATTACAGAGGAAGAACTACATGAAAATAACTCTACAGGGGAAGAGCTACATAAAAATGACTCTACAAAGAACTCTACAAAGGAAGAACTACAAAAGAATGACTGAATTGAAAGTACTACAGAAGAACTCTACAGAGGAAGAACGATACAGAGGAAGAACTCTACAGAGGAAGAACTCTACAGAGGAAGAACTACAGAAGAATAAATAAACAGAAGAATAACTCTTAAACAGAGGGAAAACTATAGAAGAACGATAAAGAGGAAGAACTACAGAAGAAGAAGTCTAAAGAGTACTGCATAAGAGGAACTCTGTAGAAGAAGCAGAAGAAAAACTCTACAGAGGAAGTACTCTACAAAGTAAGAACTACAAAAAAAGAACTATACACAAGAATAACTCTACAGAGGATGAACTACAGAAGAAGAATTACTATTTTTTTTCACCGAAGCGGTCATCATGATATTTAACAAAACGAGTAGGATCAAGCATCACTTCGTCACTTTCTTAATCCTAATTCATCAGGAGAGTACCTTCAGTCAAGTTGCATTCAATTATTTGTAGACAATATACCCTATAAATGTGTAAAACTTACGGTGAATCCGACTCGGTTGGTCTGAAGGCAAAGTATAGACCAATAACAAGACCAATTCCAACCAATATAGACAGAAATATACCTCCTATTATTCTTTTTTTATATTTCAAATTTACACTCTTCACCGTAGTACTCTCATTTCCTTCCATTATTTATTCAAATATAATATGCAGTATAAACTACTTGAGACTGGTATAATTATATCAGATTGGAAATATAAAACAAGTCGTTTGATTGATACTCAGAGGGTTAACCTGAAATGAAATAAAACCTAGAGATCTGAATTTGAGTAAAATATTTCTCCCGAACCATTTCAGACACCGGTATCCGATAAAAAAAAATACGTTTCCGTTTGAAGGCTTCTATCACTGTCTATTCCTATAAATGTGTTTTCTATATATGGCATAGTCTCACTAAAATTCGAGTTCAATTCGAGTCGAATTTTTAACTTTCAAACGTGAATAATTATGGATACACAAGGATTTGAAGACTCAAATTTCGACGATGAGTTGTGCACACTTTTACTGATTATGGAAGCTAAAATAATTCCTGTTTCTGAAACTAAGGCATGATTATGATTATGATAGTGTAGGTGCTCCTTGTCGACTATTTTTCCTATACACATGTTTATTATGAATGACATATTAATCTATAAACATTACCTGATTATGAATATTCAAAATCAAAATAGAGAAATGATCTCACACAATGTCCTTAAAATTATTAAAAGTGTATTGTCATATCCAAGAAAAATATGAATTTATCTAAATATTTTGACAGCTGACGATTTGATTTCATTTGAAAACGCTAACCAGGCAACAGAAGAATGGGAAATAGAAATCAGTTATCTTAGTTTTGATAATCTTAAACCTAAGGTATATAGTCCTAGAATTATTTGTAATAATGTCATTAAGCTATCTGTTTAGCATATTTCAGACTTCTTGCTCTTTCCCAATAACTTATATTAATATAAACTGCATATCGGAATGAATTGAATTCTTCTCACCCCGAGGAAGATTTTGTTTTAGATTTATCTTGAAAACGCTTTGGGGACTATATGCCTTTTGACAATATATGATTTGGGTTACATAATCAAAAGTGGTCAGATCTAATAATAACAGACAAAATACATTATGTTATGGTAAACTACTGAAATACGAGAAGAAAAGTTGAATATAAGATGCAGAATTACCAAACTCTATATGCCCAACATAGCTTAAGACTCTAGCAAGCTCTTGCTTGCAATAATGAGCTATTCTTATTATTTTTTTTATTCCTTTTTAGACTGGTTCTAGAAATTTGGGTACTACGAAACCATCGGGTACAACTTGGTACAAAATAGTGACCCAATGGAAGTGAACCTTCAATGATCCTAAATGTAGCAATATCTGTTTCAGAGGGGTAACTATATACACTTCCCCTAACAAGTGAAATGGAGATAGATGATCTCAAACACCCTGAAAATATTTGGATCTAGGGTATATGGTACGAAAATACCAAATGCCATGCTACAATGTCAAATCAAAGTTTGTTTAGATGTGGTTGTTTATGTTTTTAATCGGTTGCTATACACAATGATCAAGCTAACAATGGTATAATCTGATAGACTTTAAATTATGTTAATTGAACAGTGAACTCTTTTCAATCTGACTATGATTAGAAAAAGGAACATTGTTCAATTTTAATCCTAATTAAATGGATTAGTAGAATTAAGGAATTAAAACTTGATTGCTTTATGTCTTTTTGAGATATATAACGAAAATTGTATTCAATTTCATCAGAATAACTTCAAGTCTTCTCTTGGTAAGTTAAAAATCAATGTTTGCAAATCCCTCGGGTCAATCTGGAAAAGCTTTTCATCGTTACTTTTGTACAGATGCGTTTTGTCCGTTACCAATCTGGCACTAATACGTCTGACTTCTGATGCCAAGGTGAACGTGTTCAATGTGACGTATCCCGTTGATACCAAAGACCAGTAAATATCATCTTGGTTTATCAAGTCCAATTCAAGAGTCGGTCAGACTCCCATTTCAATGTTTCTAGGATTTTGACAGGAACACATAACAGGAACGTATCTGCATTGGCAACGACAAAGTATGTTGTGAAGTTCTGAATGACATTTCATCGTTATTTAACACTTGCATTTCAGAAATTTACAAATAGAACATCAAAAATGGAAAACAGTCAGAATGTCAAGATTCCAGAAGTTGAAGATGTGTATGAAGCGCTCGGAGCTCTGGAATTATCTCAAAATAACGAAACGAGAAGAGTGACATTTGCTGAGGCAGAGGTTCAACTTACAACATCACCATTCGCTACACCAAGATTCAAGTCTAGACCAACAAATAGAAATGATAGGTAGGTCAGAGTGCTTCATTCCCGAAATCCAATGATGGAAAGTTTCATTACTTCCATATTAGCTATCCAAATGAGGATTGTTTGCCCAAAACACGTGTCGGCAGCAAGAGAAGTCAAAAGAGAAGGCACTCAATTGATGGGTATAATGTTGATCATCATGAATGCTTGTTTCTGGACAATTTTACACTTTTCAATTTTATTGAAATTTGAATAAATGGATGAAATATTTTCAGGAACAACAACTCAGCAGATGGCTCAGAGAGTATAAGTTCACCTCTAACTACCTATAGATTAAAACCTATATCAGAGAGAATCAGAGGCACCAATGTAAGTAATCACTCTTATTTCATAATTGTTATTTTTGGCAATGGGATTCTATGAAGGAAGAAAACGTAAAATTCCTGAATCTTATTCAAGAAAAAACACCTTTTTTTTCAATTTAGGTTCACGAGGATCCTTTCTATACCCCTTGGTATTGATCTTTCTTGGATTATCTGCGTACCTATTGGAATGAGGACGACAAATGACTGTTTCAAGGTCACCAGAATATAACACTCCGATTCATGATTTTTTCGATTATAAAGTCACTTAACTTCGAGATGTTCAGCTGATAGTAGACTTTGAGCTAATTGTTACTTCAATATAACCGCACAGGCTTCCCCAAATGACGGCATCGGTAGTTGGTTTACTGATTAATGAACCACATAAAAAGTCACCTGTCCGTTATATTTTAAAACTATGTGTCATGTTTTTATAGGTCTCTATAGGAGAATCTGGAGCTGTGTGTTTAGAATTATTCAAACAAAGTGGTCTCGACACATTGACTGAAATGTTTACAGTATCACAAGATGGATTAGAGGTAAGTTCCGTTCTCTCTATTTTCTATAATTTTTTCTTTAAAAAATATCAATTGCATTAAAGTATCTCTGAAAAAGCAAAGTGTCTTTTTGTGACTTGAACTAATTTAAATCCCTATTTCAGATTACTATTTGTCAGTTTTGTAACACAACTGAAGTAACGAATGATAGACGAGAAGAAGGTAGAAGAAAAGTTTACACGTTGGACAATTTACCAAAGAAATTCAATAAGAAATACGAATATTGTAGAAGGTATAATATTGATGATTGTTTCGTAGTAAACCATTTGATCTTAGGGAAAATGAATTGTGAATGGGTAGAAACACCAAAAGGTTCCGATCATTGCGGTCATCAACAATTAACCGCTTATGACAGTAGAATATGACATCTGCATCGTATGGTTTGGTAAATGCTATCTAGGATATTATTCATGATTAAATATGGTTAATTTGCAACAATTGTAGAGAGACCATCAAAGTATACACTCGATCTACGGTTTATTGTGATAGGAAAATTAACTTATTTGTATTGATATATATTTTTGAATATTTCAGATTTGTTAATCTTGTGAAGTCAAAGACACCGAAAGTAATCATTTATAATCAACAAGCTAAATGTATGTTGATGGAAAACTTTCCAGATCCAAATTTCATGGCCAAATTTTATAATGGTAAGAAACTTCTCCCATTTTTACGATTTTCCTTTTTTATTTAAAAGTCCATGTCTCTGGAATAAAAAAAAACTATCTGAACACAGAGAAAACCCCAATTGGATGTCGCTCTCTAGATCAATGATGTCAATGAAACGTTAAACAAATTATCTCGTTAATTGATGTGGTCTCCACCTAAAGATGACTAACTCCCATTTACTACTTTTTCTGTGTAATAACAGATTTCTATTTGATTTGTTTTTAAAGGACAAACATTTATTAGTACATGGCAAGGCATGAAGTTAGTCAACCAACAACATGGCAGTATTCTATCATTAAACTCTAACAGAATAGAAGAACAGTTCAGTACAGAAATTCTACAATTGGTCAAATTTGCTGAAAAGGTAAGTAACTATCGGAATTATTGGACACTAATCGTCGTCACATGATAATCAATAGACATAATTCTATATCCACATATTTCAATTTTCATGAAATGATTTCAGCTATTCAAAGAAGTCAATTTTCAGAGATGCATCAATTACACTTAAACACTTCAATGTTCAGGTCAATGGATGCCAAATCTGTACCAAAATCAATTTTATTTGTTTAGTTAGTTCGAAGTCTTTTATTGAATTTAGATGATTTGTTGATCTTGTTTCCCTGACATTTTGGTCCCTGCAGATCCTCGAAATTATGTTTTGATTGTTAAATATTTTCAGTGCCATAAACAATGTTTAGAATTAGAAGGATTATTGAAATCTAACGCCAGAAACTGTGAAGATATAGAGAAAATATTCCCTGTTATATTAGGGAGGTTAGTATCAGATCATGATATATATGATAACTTAGATTCCATTTGCACCATCCCAATTTTCTTTACGACGTGATGGTCCTTTTTATTAAAGATATTATTTTTTAAATGATCAAAGGGCTTCTCAGGTACACCTATGGTTTTTGCTGATACCCAAAGGTTCCCCTCTCTCATTTATAATATTCAATATTCTTTTGTTTCACGAATTTCAGAAAGAAATCACAGAACGGCAACAACGAAGCAGCGGTATCGCATTCTGGACACATAGCTGAAATTCTTAATAGACGTAATCATAGTGATTCTAGTGATTCGGATAGTGACAGCCATATCAATGACGATATCTGTTTATTAAGACAAGTGACACTGCCAAATATCGGGCATGCCAAACTGGTGAGTACAAAAAGCATGACATATTTATTAAAACAATATTCTAAACGGATTACTAGACAACTTTCCCTGTCCCGAATTTTGCCTGATATGCAATCATGTTCCCAACTCGAAGATCTCCTGCAGCTCTGGAAAGCACAAGGACTGAATCTACGATCCTTAGAATTAATATTATGTGGGAACCAAACGATGTCGTTGGTAGCTTATCTTATCACAAATTTAGCCATGTTGCTAACTCACTAATATTTGTGTGACTCTTACGGTTATGTGTTCTATTTCAGTTTTCTTCGGGAGATGTTAAAGTTGATTTCAAAGATGGTTGTCACATGAAATTCAATCCAACAGAAGAGTTTTTTACGTTCATTGATAATGATGGCGTTTGTCACCAGTAAGTGTTATGTCTGTAATTGGTATATAATGCACAAAGCATTAAAAATAATTTTTGAAAATATTAGCATCAGATATGGCCCATATGCGTTTTATTACAAGTCTGTGATAACGCATACCCTATTATTATTTATATATCAATCAGTGAAATATTTAATTAATCTCTCATTGTTTTCAGGTTCAATAGCCGACAGAAAGTTCCTGATATTGTGCGATGTAAAATAGTCTCAATTCCAAACATTTTACACCAATTGAATACACAAAATAACAACAATATCGATGTTTCACAGAATTCTAGTCACTCTACTTTACGCCCTCATTATTGATATCATCTGTACTGTAAAATATTTATGTAAATTATTTTCTATATTTATAATTAAAACGTTATTATGTATTTTTTTTCTTTTTTTGTCAAAGTGTCAGCGAGAACGCTTACCGCAATAAGAAAGATGATTATTTATATCTGTGTCGGTAGTGGTAGCAATGATCAAATCAAAAGTCTAGTTGATATAGCTATTAATTCGTCAGTTTTGTAACTTCGGGAAACTTAAACCTGCCAGCCCCCAACCTCCTCGAGTCAGCTTTGTTTAATATGTGGCAGGGTAAGCTTACTCTTTTAGACATATGATACCACTTTTCTAGATGAAATACTCACTTATGATTGATAATGTACTTAACCAAGTGAAAAGTTTATTAGTTGTTGTTTGGATTTCGTTTTGCGGTTCGGATCCTTAGTACTTGGTTTATTTATCCATGTGAAATCTCGACAAAAATGCACAGCGACTAACTCCGTAATATCAGTGTAAAATGTTCAAATTCAAGAATGTTTAAGAGAAGTGACAGGACGTACTGGTCAATGGACGGACATCATCAAAAATAAATGTGGATGTATGAAAGATCAGACAACTTTTAACAAAACAATTTTTATACGGAGTCAATGACAAATAAGCAACTCTTATTGGATATCATCAATATACAGGAGCAACCATGTTTCAACAGAATCCAGTTAAAACTATATCATATTCAGCACATTTCAAGGCCAATATGATTCAAATGGTCAAAGTTTACTACAGGTTGTTCTGTGAACAGTTTGTGCCTTAAACTACCCTTGCCATGTTATCTACATTACGAAGTTATTTTAATACTTTATTGCAATGACTCACTTAAAATAAAAAATAATATGTTACAAATTGAGCATTGAAATACCACAATATACACATACATAAATACAATTACTGATACATATACATGACTAGATCAACCTTGTCTGAAACTCTCTTACATCCAGTCTTAGAATATTCCTTGTTAGTACCAGGCACTGATAAAAATGATAATTCTTTAAGAATCTGATCCATGTTTGTGTCTGATATTTTGAGATTTTTCTGTTTTCCATCTTGACTAATACATTGCCTAACATGGGACTTCTCTAGTGGTAGAAATGGAATAAAACTGTCTATAAGATTCTTGGAATTAAAACTTGAAAACCAAGAATTGGAATCTGAAAAAACATCTTTAAAGTCAAAATCATGAGAGATTTCTGAATGAGTCTTTTCATTTGTAAAGACAAGTCTGTTAATTTCAGCACCTTTTGAGTTGCTAAGCAACATGAAGATTACAGGTGTATCAGAAGAGCTTTTATTTGATTGGTTAATAATAGCTGTTTGTATACCAGAGATGACTCCTGGTGTTGCTTTATCCATTTCATCAAATAGAAATATATTGATGTGACACTGAGTGATATTTGAGTCTATCCATTGTATAATTTGATTATAATAAACATCATCATCCCTGGCATGAGGGAAATGTAGAGGAACGAGGAACTTCACAAAAGATTTAGGTCTGAAAGTCTCTGCAATAATTCGACTGGCATAATTTTTACCAACACCTGTCCATCCATGCATTGAAAGAACTAAAGGCTTTGTCTTTGGAATGTCTTGATTTCTTTTAAGATAGTCTTTGAGAATTCCTGGAAGCACATTTACAGCTATTTCTTGTCCAAATATATTCTGTGTCAATTTGTCTAGGAGAGTTGTCTCCTCATAGTCATTGGAATCATAGCACTTTGAAATATAGTGAACTTGTATATAAATAGAAGTATAGACTGTCAATATAACTGTGGCACTAGTAAAAATAAATAAAAACATCATCCAACATCTATCACCACTCTTGTTACTGTTGTTTGATTTTGTTGTTCCACATAGAGGTCTGATAGAGTTCTTAGACTTGGAAACCTGTGGTTTCAAGTTGTCTGTTTGTTGACTTTGATCTTCATTAACATTGAGATTCGAGCCTACAAAAATAAAGGAAAATTTATTGAGAGGATAAGAAATATTTCAATTAAAAAAAAAAGATTAAAAAGTATTTGGAAACTTTTTGTTTGTATTGGGATACTGATAGCATTGAATTGCACCATTCTAATTTTCAGTCAGACGTCATCTACATAATTGTGTCTAGTTTTTATCTCATCAAACTCTACATCTCGCATCTTGTCAGTTAATAGAGCTCTTAGTAACATCACAGTTAATAAGAATGCGTCGGTTATATCTTACCTATTCTATTAGAATTATTATTGGTTTCATTCTTATGTTTTGGTCGTTGAACACAATCTGACTGTAATGGTATTGCTTGTTGATTGGCTGGAGAACTAACTGGAGTGTCTAAAGTTTGTAACATCGGTTGCCAGCCTTGATTTATTGTATTAGACAAAGGTTTATTGGGCAAATCTGGAGGCACTTGATGATATCTGGGAAAATCGTTGAAAGAATGTATGTTTCTAACATCTTCTGCAATAGGTTGATTAGTAAAACTGATAAATCTTGGGAAAAATTCAGGAGAATTTCTAGTTGCTTCATCCATTTCCATATCTTCTGTACTGGTGTTTTGACCTAGACTGATGTCCATAGCTTCAAAACTCTGGTTGTTGTTATTGCTGGTCCAAGTATCTTGATTATAATAAGCCATTTTATGTAGTTTCACCTTATATGATAATGTATAACACTCTTTATTGAATTAATACCATATATATGAAACTAAATTGTCAAAAAACTCAAAAGGGGTTTTCTAGCACTGGTCAAAGTTCAAAACAACTTAAATATTCTATGACTATTTAAATAGGCAAGTGATTTAAAATTGCTACTTTATGAGGACTATAATGTTAGTTCCCCACTACTGGTACCGTACTCTATTTCTGAACCACAGTTCCGAGTTAAAAGTTTTTTAATATAAATTTGATCTTATAAATTTACAATCTGGAATGGAAATTTTACTAGTAGGACTGGGGATATTGAACATCCAAAAGATATTCACTGTCTTCCTCCAGTTTTTCTTATATTATTGAATTTCACCTGTCACTCATCACTCAGTAAGAGGTAGGACTATCACTGAACAAAGTTCGCGGAAGCCAATACTGTTACACTGTGATCACAGCTTTATAATAAGATTTGTTTATTTCTTTAATCCCTTTTCTAATTTTCACGATAATGGGGGACAACTCTCTTTTTATTTGTGTCCTCTAGCACTCGGTATAGTCTTAAAAATTCTTGAAATTTAGGTTAGAATATTTTGATTTTTTTACATTAAGATTGTAGAATTTTATATTCTTTATCTAGATTGTAGACTTAATATCATTTTAAAATATTTTTGAAACTTTTTGATGTTTAAATCATCACCTTTTAGGTAATGCCTTGGACTCAATTTAACTGTAGCAAAGTATAACACAAGTTTGTTTATAGAAACCACAAAATGGCCGACGCTTCTCATAGAAATTAAAAAAAAAAAACTTTTTTTTCGCAGATTCTTCGATTTATTCCTAGAATTGTTGAATGATGCTTTGTTGCTTGAGATGAAGATGATTTCCTCAGTTTGAAGAAGGTAAATTGAGAGACTGACATTTGCATTATCTTACAAAGTCAAAGATTGAAAGATTCCTTTCTCTTACCGGTACTCTTATTATTTCTGACTTGGACAATTGTCTGAATTAGAACAATTAACAAGTTTTTTGAATTGTTTCCGTTGAATGTTTCACAGACAAAAAAAAAAACAAAAAAACAAGACAAAGTCAGAGCATTGCTAAAAGTACACTTACATCAACATTCACGAGTTCCAATTTCACTTTAACAAACTAAAATGTCAACATTTTTATAATTTTTGTCCAGATCATCTACACAGTAACACATTGTTTACAAGCTTATTTATCTGAGTGTCATGATAATGCCTTTTTCACTAGATGTAGCAAATTGATGATGTCACTTGGCACTAGCCTTTGTTTCATTTCTGCATCATGTAACGTCTTTTCACTCAGATCAGATGGAGCAACAGAAACACTAGCCTAGCTGGCAGAATAAGCCTGGCTGACACTGTTCAATGTTCATTATTATTTATTTCACTTTCAGAGTTTAAAATTTGGACCTCCAAAAGAAGTTGAAAGAATGGAGAAGTTTTATAATACACCAATATTTGGAGGTTATTCCCTACCTACACTAACTGAAGGCAGTATAGTGATCAGTGAGGCAGAGGAAATAAATGAGGTAAACTTATGTTTTAGAATAAAATGGAATAAAAGAAATAAGTTGATATAAACTTACAAGTTGCTAATTTATGACCAGATTCGTTGTTTGGTTGTAGTGATTAAGGCACTTTTGAACTTTAGAAGTGTCTTTTTTTTTCAATTTTAAAATCCAGCCAGACTCCCTTGGCCTCATTTTAACTTGGATTGTGCTAAGGTTTTAGTTATATTGATTTCCAAAGTTACTAGACATGCAATAAATATTACAAGATTCAATTTAAATACAGTAGAAATTTTTTCAGAAATAAATTTTGATGTGTTTCAGGTGAAGTCCCTTCATGAACAAGGAATACAGGCTACATCATCTCAAGAATACAATGAAGCTGTAGCTCTATATAATGAAGCTTTAGAAATAGATTCTACTAACCCTTCTGTTTTAGCAGCTAGAGCTTATGCTTATATTGAAATAGGAAATTATGCTGGGGCTTTACATGATGCTGAGGCTGCTTTAGCCATTGATCCACAGAATTCACAGGTTAGTACTGGTACATATGATACGGCCAAGACTGGAAGCTTATTTTCATATAAGAGTTTTATGCAGTATGCTATACTGGCTTTCTGCTTGGATATCACACACAATAATTGAAGTTATGAAAATAGTTAATTATAGATAAGCATGTTGTATGAGCACCGGAACATTTGCAGAGAAAGATTTTCTGTTACAATACAGGGCCTTGATATGATCTTGTGTGTGTAATCTCCCGACTGCTTCATAAGAAATAATATGATGATGTCTGTTATACAATTTTGTATTCAACCATTTCATTTAAGCCTTGGAACAAATCTCTTTTGAAATAGTATGAAACATGAATATAATTAACATGTTTCAGTTTCTGTTTTGATATTTCTAAGTTGACACTTATTGTTATTTTTATTACAGGTCAACTGTGTACTAGGCCTAGCTCTACATTATTTAGGCCAGAGTAGTGATGGTTTACTGTCATTATTAACTGGTTTAGAATTAGATCTAGAAGATGCCAGTCAAATCACTGATCATATTGTTTTATTAGTAACTGGTATCTGTAAACTAGAATCTCAAATTAGTGATGGACTCAGAGGTATAGTGACTTGACTTATTGTTATGTTAGTCTGATGAAAGGCAGATCAAGATAATTCTCTTTTCAATTTCCGGCCAGTTACTACAAAAGCAAGACTTCAAAAAAAGAATTTCTAGAAATGCATTTTAAACTGGCTTTTCTTCCTAAAGATTCTTTCTTGTGGTTATCTTACATATTGCTCGAGTTAGAATTGGTTTTGAAAACTCCTTATTAAACATAATGGGATTTTTGAAATGATAACATTGGAAATAGTTCTTCATGTGGCTTACATTGATTTAGTTGGTTTGATATGAAATAAGCTAATTATTCATGAGATCACAACCAAATTGATAAATTACACTGTATTAATTCTCTTTTAGAAATGGATAATTATAAAAAGCTGACAGAAGTAGGAGTTTTATTGTACCAAAACAAGAAATATGATCTCTGTATTCATGTTTTAGAAACTGCACAAAAACTTCAAACAAATCAGAAAGGAATAACTATGAGATTGTTATTGACTTTAGCTAATGCTTTCTCTGCCTGTAGAAAGATAGTGGAGGCTATAAATTGCTATATGGAATGCTATGGGGTGTCTTTAGCTACTCATGACACCTTGTATGAAACAAAATCTCTAGTGAATATAGCAACATTATATCTAGAGACTGGTGATACATATCAAGCTATTATTAACTATGAGAAATTACATCATTTAGAAGCCGAACTGATCACTGAACTCAATGGAGAAGTCAGCATGCCAGATTATTGGACTAAAGAGCTACAGTGTGGCCTACATCTTAATTTAAGTATTGCTTATAAAACTATTGGTAATATCCATTCAGCTGTGAACCATGCCAAGACCTATATGGCACTTCTTGAGAAATATGGATTTTCTGGAAAGATGCATGCTGAATCATATCACAATACAGGCATGTTAAATGAAATACTTGGGAACTATACTGAAGCTCTTGAAAGCTATAAGAAGTATTTGGCTTTATCTAAAAAAGAAGGAAAGAAAAAGTGTATTGGTCAGGCGTATGGATGTTTGGGTAGTGTGTATGCAGCTCTCAGGAACTGGCAATTAGCTGTAACCTATCACGAGCAACATATTAAGATAGCTAAAAAAGCACAAGATAAGAAGATGTTGATAAATGCATATGAAATGTTAGGTGATACATACATGTCTAAAGGTGATTATGAAACTGCTGTAACAACATTTGAAGCAATGCTTAATACCTGTATACGAACTGATTATAGAAATAAAGCTACAGCAATATGTAAACTAGGTAATGCATATAGAGCACAAGGTAAACATCAATATAGTATGTATTTCTATCAACAAGCTAGTGATCTTGCTGTAGATTTTGATTTTGGTGATATTCAGACAATGAGCCAATATAACATAGCCTGTATGAATCAAAACTCAACACAAATGGCAGATATTGAGCTGGCACGAAAATATTTTCTAAAACTGATTCCATATTTTGAAAAGAAGATCACAGAACATGATGAACAGGGAAGTTATTGTCCAGCAGAATATAAACAACAATTACAACAATGTTATGATGGAGTTATAAATGTATTAGCCAAAATAGGAAATAAAGAAGATTGTTTAGAATTCGCTGAGAGTTGTCGAAAACGATGTGTCACTCAGTTACCAAACTACTCCTCTGTCCCTGGACAGAATGTGTACAGGACATCAGAGAAATGGTCGTGTCAGAAGTTGGAAAGTGTTGTATCGGGACAGAGTGCCACTGTGTTATATTATTCTCTATTAGATTCTAATCTATTATTGTGGGTGCTACAACCAGCTGAAGGTTTAACTAGATTTTATACAAGACGAGCTCCTAAACATATAACTATGACTGAGAAGGTAAGCACTATAGTATTTTTTTTCTGAAGGCTAATTCTCAAAATCTTAACATAAAATAATTTTAGTGTTCCAGTCATCTAATTATTCAATCACTGAAATAGATTTTGAATTTAGTTACATTATTTAATCAGATTACAGTATTTCGTAAATTTGTTAAATTGATTTAAAATTTATTTTTAGGCTATTATTGGTATCAAAAAATTGGTATTTTATCTTCGTTAAGATTTTAAGAAAAAAGCCACTGGTTGTTGATCAATATCCATCGCTATAATTTCATGTCTGTAGAGATAAGATGTTTATGATGGAAGAATTATTCAGAGTATCTAAATAGATACAAGTCTCCATCATTTAGAAGATCTATACATGTAATTAACTTTTAAACAAAACAGGTGTATTCCAAATGCACTTCCAGTCAGAATAGTGCAATTTGTGTTACTTTCCTGCAACAAGTAATGATTGTCTTTATTTACAGATAGAGAATTTACTTCAACAACTGTTTACAGGAATGGATTATAAAAATAGATTGAATGAATGTGAAAATAGAGCTCTTCCTTCTGCTAATTCTCATATTGATGCCATTCGTGCCAAAAACCAAAAATTATCCAAAGGAACCAAATCAAATCAATCTGAAGTGACAAGAAAGACCTCTGAAGATGAAGAAGCCAGTAAAAGATCGGTAGAAAGACAACTGTATGATATCTTACTGTCACCAATAGAAGATATTCTCTCTAAACTACAACCAAATAGCAACCTAATCATTATCCCTGATAAACATCTAAACCATTGTCCTTTTAGTCTTCTTCAGAACTGGACATTAGTGCCCTTAGCTAACAGATTCACCATTACTTATCTCCCTTGTCTGCTCTTACTTGATAGAGTGTTAAGAAATGAGATTGAAGCTCTCCGCCTTCTTGATGAGTTGAAGTTCGAACGAAGTCAGTCACGTTGCGGTAGAGTGTCTAAACTTCTAAAATTACGATGTACAGGATCAGTTTATAGTGATACACCAGAAATGTCACGAGAAAACACCATGATCAATTTAAAATCTGTATCAAACCCAAGATTGTGTACATCTCAGAGTTCAGTGAAATTAGAGAAGGGGAACACTTCAGTCAGTCTAGGTATCAGTAGAGAGAACACCTTCCTGACTTTATCATCCAGGTTAGGACCAGATGGTACACAGGATGTGCCATCACTTTCAGTAGGTTTAGGACACCCGGTATCACCTGAGAAAATGATGTCAACTCATACCTTCACTACATTAACCAGTGAGACAGCTACTGGAACAGATATAGTTCAGTCATCTCAAGCTGTTACTCAGTTTGTTCAACTCAGCAGTCCAGATAAATGTTTAGTTATTGGTGCTCCTAAATTTAATTCAAGGTAAACTTGAAAAGTATTTATGATTTCTGAATATCATAGAGAAATATGAGAGAACATGGAATAATCATCTGTATGTAATCTTCTATTGACCTGGTGCCTGGTGTCAGTAATGTAACTTCTACAAACCAATCATATTTTCATGAGTATTGTGTATTTACAATCATCTAAGATATCTGACAGAGATTTAAATGTCTGCCTATTTGTATTGTAGCTTAGTATTAAATGGTAAAGAATGGAAACCACACAGTGATATGAATTCAGCTAAAAAAGAACTAAAGAATATTGCTAAATGTCTAGATATTGATCCTATTATTGGTGAAGATGCTACTAAAGATAGATTTCTACAAGAGATTCAAAAAGCTACTGTCATTCATATTGGTAAATAACTCTTTCATTTCATGCCTAGGTACATTGTAATATGTTGACCTGACAAAGAAAAATAAGAAGAATAAACTCACTAAAGTGATATGGTCCTGTCAAAATTAGCTATGGGTTCAAACATAGATGCAATGTTTACAATGAACAAAAATATTCATGTTGCAAAGAGTAATACATATTTACAATTTCAAAAGATCCATCAAGAATTACTGCGTTATTGCTCTTGTTTAAAACATCAATAATGATTTTGAACCGTATAAAGAAAAATAAGATTTGGTCAGACGATAATCTAATTGTGATTCATTTGTGTAGTTCAAATTCAATTCACAATACTTGAAGCCTCATAGTTATATAATATTTGTTATTTCAGCAACATTTGGTTGTTTAGAGAAAGGATATTTAGTAATGACACCTAATAGTAGAAATGAAGATAACCCATTACCAGAAGAAAGCTATTTAATAACACCAGAAGATATATTAAATATTAAACTTCAGGCTCAGTTAGTGGTATTAAATGTTGGATATAGTCCCACTAGACAACAGTATATTCATCCCAGCTTTATTCTACCTACTCTCTTTCTAGCTTCAGGTAGGACTTTTACTTTCTTTGTTTCTGTGAGGTTAGACTATAACCAAACCTAACTCTCAATACACATATTTCATTCCATAGGAAACTTTTGCAGTTCACTTTTTGATGAGACTTGTGGTTTGTCGTCAATATGTTTTTTGCTATAAGGTGTGCTCTTGATTTTGATTATTTTTAACACCAAATGGCATATGCTCTCATAAATTATCTATGTATGCCCCTAGCTTAAAGAAATGATAAATCTTGGTGATGATAGTTTTATGTTAAAATATATTTCAGGAGCTCAATGTGTATTGATAAATCAATGGCAGTTACCAGATGTAATAATGAATAAATTTTACCACCATTTCTATCTGGCATTACAAGATACAACCAGGCTATCACAAGCTGTAGCTTCTTCTATAGAGGTGTTAAAAACAGATGATAGGTTAGTCTTATCTGTCAACCAGTACAAAAATATTGAAATTTTCAGGGTAAAAACCTGTTTACCACCAAAATATAATATGTACATATATGTACAAAATCACAGGAACTTTTAACAATGTAATAACTTCAGTAATTGGCATAGGAGGTTTGTATGTTGGTTGAAATTTAATGTGGGGGTAATTTTAAGGTTCAAATTGGGTTTCTTAATAAGATAAAACAGTTCCCCATGGAATATGATATTTAAAACTCTTTCTGTCAGGATACCATGTGGAATTATAAATGACCTGGCAACAATAGTCATGTTAACCCATGTAACTTTAATTCCCCGAACACATTCATTCCTTGTATTTACATAGATAGTTGCAATGTTATAAATTGTTAAAGGTGTACTTGTATCAATATATTAAATATTATGATCAATTTCAGATGTAACCATGTTTGTTTATGGTGTCCGTTTATATTGGTTGGTAAAGATATAACTATCAATATTAAAACTATTAAACAAGCTATGTTAAACCAGTATATAGATAGAGTAGAGAATACAGTACAAGATGAAACTTGTCAACAATATCTTAATTTACCATCATCTATAACACCTAGTTAGTACATTTCATTCTTAATTTTAACAATATGCTCAGTCTATTATCATATGACAATGAAAGTTGAGTTGAAGCAATCAGATTTCATAGCATAGTTGAAATATCCAATATCAGAAAATCCAAATAACTGTTAGACTTAAACTCCATTCCACTTCAAATTGAGGTGTTGACTCACTTTTTTGATGTCATATAGATTAGAATAGCGTTATTTGCCTATAGCTTTTTTAATCATTATTTGTAATTGGATTTCTTTTCAAATACTGAACTATTTATTTTCCAGTTGCCAGTTCAGAAGAAAATAAAGAGAAGTTACAAAGAATATTAATAAAACTATTGTCTCATTGTCCTCATCAGTTATCTGTTTTACATGACTTATTAGAATTGGTCAGTATTGATATAAGTAATTAATTTACTAATTAATTGGAAATAATTTATTAATTAATTTGTCAGTATTATTAAGTCATTTTGAGCTTACATCTTAGCAAAAAACATTGAATAGTCTGGGCCCAACTCAACATATAGGGATCACTGAAATGTAACTGGTTAATAAAGACTAAATTTAAATGTATATCAGTAGTCTTTTGTAAATGTGTTTTCAGTTGGATGCAGCTTTAAAGCGTCTACATACAGAGGAGAATAATAAACTAACTTCCAGTCTGACTGACAATATCATAAAGAGTAATGGTGGATTAGAATTATTAAAATTATTAGGTTTTCATTTCCAAGCTAAAGGTTACGAGCTAGATAAACCATATATTATATATCCACATTGGAACCATGATAGTCTGTTGATTCCTGCTTATGATTCTATACGATCTTTAACAGGTATTGTCTTACTTTATATACTGTTATAAGTTCCATTTACATGACTAATTGATGTGCTAGTTTAGTTTTATGATCATGGTTTATTAGAATTTAGAGCAATCTACATTGGTTAGGTAATTGGATGTCAGTATTGTAGCTTAAACTGATATAGTTAGAACAGACTGTGAAACTTTTCAAATGAGTCCAAGATTTTGTAAGCAAGTGACAATTTAAAGGCCAATTGGTTTGTTTTACTTATTGTGAAGTTCTTTTTTCTAGATCAAATGCTCGATCAAAGAATACACATTTTCCTTTTTTTTCAGATTTGTCTTCCAGTCCAAGATGTTGTCAAGTTATGTCTTATATATTCCCATTGAAACAAGACAATATATCGTTAATGGTGGATCTGGTAAGTTTAATACCTTCTTTGCTTGATTGAAAAGGTGTGCTTTGGGCCCAAGTTGGGGGAAAGGGGGATAATTTGATCTAAGTGGAAGACTAAAGGGGGATAATATGATATAATTTGAAGACTAAAGGGGAATAATATGATATAATTTGAAGACCAAAGGGGAATAATTTGAAGACTAAAGGGAGATAATTTGATGACTAAAGGGGAATAATTTGATGACTAAAGGGGAATAATTTGAAGACTAAAGGGAGATAATTTGAAGACTAAAGGAGAATAATTTATAGACTAAAGGGGAATAATTTGAAGATTAAAGGGAGATAATTTGATGACTAAAGGGGAATAAAGGGAGATAATTTGAAGACTAAAGAGGAATAAGTTTAAGACTAAGGGGAGATAATTTGAAGACTAAAGGGAGATAATTTGAAGACTAAAGGGAGATAATTTGAAGACTAAAGGGGAATAATTTGATGACTAAAGGGGAATAATTTGATGACTAAAGGGGAATAATTTGAAGACTAAAGGAGAATAATTTATAGACTAAAGGGGAATAATTTGAAGATTAAAGGGAGATAATTTGATGACTAAAGGGGAATAAAGGGAGATAATTTGAAGACTAAAGAGGAATAAGTTTAAGACTAAGGGGAGATAATTTGAAGACTAAAGGGAGATAATTTGAAGACTAAAGGGAGATAATTTGAAGACTAAAGGGGAATAATATGCTATAATTTGAAGACTAAAGGGGAATAATATGATATAATTTGAAGACTAAATTTACTCTCACTCTTGTTTCAGCTCTGTTTAACCAAACATGCCAGTGATATACAATTAAAAGTTTGTGATTTGTCTGTTCGTCTATTATGGCAGAATAAGCAGATTCGAAAACTTCTAATTGAGACAGGATTCCATCAAATTGGATATTTATTGAATTTCAACCAGACGGCATTAAACAGAAAGTTATTGACTGGATTGTTACAGTTATTATTAGCTATTAGTTGTTATAAAAGTCAAGTATTACTGTATAGACTAGATGTTAGTTTATTGGGACATACAGTAGGTTTACAGGTAGGTTGTGTTTATGTATCAAATAAGATGAAATGGAGTTTATATGTCCTACTTTTCTGCACCAGATTAGACTAACAAAGATGGGCAAAGTCATACAGTGCGAAATGATTTCAATTTCCATCTGTGAAGGCATCTATAATGTGCACAGCCTGAAGCACACATGGCCTATGTTTATTGTCTAATCCAAACAACCAGATGCTCTTTTTTATGTTGACCTCTCTGACTGGCATCAATCACGGGGCAACTGGATAAGAAAATCTGAATGGTTTTATCTTGATGGATATTGCCCTTGAGTAATATTGAGTATATATATTGTTAATAAGTGACAAAATATTAGTTAATCCTTGTTACACAGTGAAAAGATATAAACTTACTCCAGAAAATATCTGTCCAGATAATTGTTTAATTATAAATACGTGTATTTTCATCCTGAGATATTTTTCAGCCTCCATTTTATGTTTCAGACTTATAATACATCAACAGAAATTAAAAATCTTCCATCTTTAACACCATTAATACTGCCTAGAAATCAGGTAATACTTTAAATACTTCCAGACTCTTTTGCATTCGACAATTCTCAGTTTCTGTAAGCTGAATCTAACACAGCAATTAACGGTAAATTTCGATGTGTCTTTTTGGGCAAGACTCCTCATTTCCGGTATTAAGCAGTGATTTGTCTACTAATTGCAACCTAAATATAGTCCTTAAATTCAGATACTTTGGGAGATATTTCTGACACACACTTATGTATTTGATGCTATATTGTGACTATTGGTTATCCAAATACATCTTATCAGTTAAAATGTTTTCTTTTTATTGACTTTGTTTACAAACACTTGTAGTCGTGAACAACCTGCCTCTAATATTTAAAATATCAGAATCATGTGATCACGATGTGACAATATTGACATAGTTCCGGTAAAGAGAAATGGCCGTTCATTGATATGTTGCGGGAGTGCTTGCGTAACTTTCACTGAGGGAGTTTGGCACTCTTATGGCAGTGGAATAGCTAAGTCGGTAGTGAGTTTGGACAATTAAAAGCTGAGGCTTCTCAAGGTAGGCTGATTCCCCGACCACTGCTTCCCAATAATGTTCAAAACATATCATTGGATGGAATAATCCGGTTAGACACAATTGTGGATTTGTAATATTAAAATGATTGTTTATTTTAGTTGAGAATGAGTACACCATGGTTTAGTAGAACAGAAAGTTTCAGTGAAATGGAAGAGAAAATATGTCTAGCAAGAAGGTATTTTTTTTATTGAAAAAGTTTACTCTGAATTATTTTGAGTATATGAGGATAAAGAATTTAGTATAATTTGTGATTTGAGAATATGTCAATGTTCCCAGTGTCTTCTGTTATTGAACAATTAAAATGAAATGAATGGAGTTTTATGTCCTACTTCTGTTATTGAAGTCATAGAAGTGTGATCATTAAGCAGAAAGTAATGATAATACATTTTGTTTTCAGTAAATCCGAGTTAGATGAAGAATATGATGAAAATAAACAACAAGTTAAAGATTGGCACAAATCTTCAGTTGTAGCTCAGGTAAATATAAAAATTGATTTCCTAATGATAAGCTTTACTATATATTAATCACAGGAAGTCTATCTTTAAACAATAACGAGAATTTTTCAAGTTCCCTAGTAATAGTAATGATATTTGTCTATCAATGTTTTTTATGTCATGTTGTATTTTGACTCAACAATATGCCATAGGCCTACATCTCCATTTCTTATTTTGCTCAAATAGTAAGTAACCCATATTGAACTCAAAGTTGTGTAGAGGTAAAGATTAGAATATTGTATAAAATTATTTCAATATGATATTTAATATTTATTTATGAACCATGCTAGCCAAGGATATAGTGGTAAGCTATCTTAGTGTTACATTCTTATATGATTTATTGTCCTATATTCCATTCTTTCTAGTTTCCATTGAAATATTGTTTTCAGTTTCTTTCTGTTATAATGGATTCAATTGTAAAGTTCCTGACTAAGTTCTCAGTTAGAATGTTTTATATATAGGTGACAGATGCCTTTTTTTGTTTTTCCGTTTTTGTAATTTTCAATAATTAATTTGGTAATAGACATATTATATTTTGTCAATTCTGTGAACTTTTGGTGAAATACTCATTGCATATCAGGGTTTTTTTTTTTTGCTCTGTTTTAATTGTATGTCACGTGTGCTACAGGCTGTGCAAATTAAATATCCCTTGACATTTGGAAATAAACAGACCTATCCTGTCACACTTTTCCTCATGACACACTGCATGATGTTACCAGTCTTCATAAGCATCAAAAGAAGCAGAAATGCAGGATATACAAGTATATATGAACTAATACTGTTCTAATACTATTGTTACAGGCCAATGAAATGTTAGAAGAAGTAGGTCAACCAGTTAGTAGAGAAAGTAAAATAAAAGTAGTACATGGTTCTGGTGGATTAAAAGATATAATACCAATAGAGAAAAAACATCATTTATTAAATAGGGAGATAGATCAGAGAAGAGATTACGCACATTTTGTTTATAATCAACGTTTAAATAATGTTAATAGCCGATATCGTAATGATGTCATGAAACTTTACCTACCATATATCAAATCAAATTAACAAAACTCTTGTCATGTCAATCACTGGGACTTAAAAGGAAATGTAAAGAGGTTTTATAAAAGGTTTATGTGTATAGGGACAATGATAGCTTCAATTTGCACCATTGCTATTTTAAAGTCAGTACCATGTGGGTTAAAATGTAATTTGTAAAAATTAGAACGTTTATGAGTCAGATAAAACACTTCCCCTTAGGTTCTCATGATATTTCAAACCCTTTCCCTCGGAAAATCCCTTTGGATAAAGGTTTTAAATAGCAAAACCCGGCCCAGCCGTGTTTTACCCTATACATAATGGGTGTTGGGTGTCCTTTATTAGGGAAAACCAGCACATTCAATTGAATATGGTTTTGATATATTTCGCTTGTTTATTGTTGTTTGTGTTTTCCGATTATTTGCGCTATTTTGACGCACCAAACTTTTTAATTCTAATTTATTTATTGGGTTATGAAAAATATTTTATATATATTATTTTGTGGTAAAGTGTTTACTTAAGAATCTGTGATATTTACATTTGTTTTCAATAAAAACGTTTTCCTTAGTAAAATCTTTTAACGTTCTTTATTCTCCATTAATATGAATTGTTAAAACCCCTAGCGCCAGAAGCGCTACTTGATCGCTATCAGATCTCGCCGTCTTTCTACTCCCCTGCATAAAGACCCGTGACACTCCTTCCAGAACGTCATCATATCAGTACTTCATGGCCTAATTGACATTGGAGCACTACTTGATAGCCAAGATCGGATCACCTTAGGTTTCTCCAAGAAACTCGGTTTCTCAGTCCTTTGCGCTTTGTGACGATCTGGCGTACTCCTCTACTGCCAAGAGTAAAACTGAGCAGAACGCCACCGGTTTTTATAGGATCTCGCCTCTATCGGATCGTCTAAAGCGCAAACGGATTTTCATAGGTCTCCATGATCAGATCCAGCTTGAGCGCCATAGATCGCAGTTATCGCCTTCGTAGCACCAATACAGCCCATGTATAGCATCTTACTGGCCTAACTGGATCGCCAACGCAGCAAAAACTGATCACACAAGGTCGCAACATGTTAAGCGAATTGGGTGGCGACCAAGGACCATGAAGTCGCTATCGGATCTTATAGATCGTTACTGGAGCGGTATCTTAGCGAGCACCGTTTTCCCCATGAAGGTGCAGGATTTGAGATCAGAATAAGAAAAGGAATAGCTCGAAGATAGCATTTATTGTAGAAAAAGGTTAGAAAATCTTCGGAAACATTTGTACAGTTTAACAAATTTCCGGATAGTTGAAACATGCCATGTCACAACTTTTTATGTATTTATTTGCAATGCATTTTTCAACAATTGTTCATATTTGTCTGCGTCTATGTCTAGTACAATGTTGACATTTTCCTTTTTACCCATCACACCTATTCTGTCCACAACTAAAGAGCCTCTAGAATGAGTACCATGTAATTCAACCGTACAGTAATAATCTCCAGACTTTGTCTTGATGGTATTATCTATAGCACAAGCCATACACAATTCATCACACATGATATATCTATCCCAACATTTCTCTTGACATTTTTTAACCATTTTCGCATCCAGTGTGTTCAGTAATTTAACAATAGATGTAGAAACCGATCTTAGTTCGTGATATTTTTCCTGTAAAATACATTAAAAAAAAACACAAAAATATCACAGTAGATATAAATATTGCTTGTACCACAAATTTGATTTTTTAAAATTTGATATCTGTCAGAATGTACCAAATCAATTCAAATGTTAATAATGTTCTTGGAGGAGAACTCTCTCGGACGATCCATAGCGGGTGGGCTTACGCCTAGGCACTGCCATAGAGCTGCTGCATTTTGAATTTTAATCTGGACAGTTGACCCTCCCCCCTCCCATTAAGATAGTCTAACCCTTATTTATACCCCCAGTTTCAGAAGGCTTTTTGTCAACGTTCAGCTGATATACTTAAAGAGCATAACATGTACATGTAAACCCAGGTTTCGATGAAATAACCTGACTATATATAAACTCACCCATGGAAATGAACATTCCAAACAAAGTTCCCAACACACCATAGTAATTGGGCAACCTAAATCATTTAGTACGATATGAGCAGCTTCTGGGTCATAATTGAAATTAAATTCAGCACAAGGAGTAATGTTACCTACACCTATAAAAGACGTGTTTATGTAGTAAACTATGTATCAATCCTTAAAAGGACTAATAATTCAATAAAGTATGACTTCTGGTATTAAATACCAAGGGAGGATATAGGCCGTCATAGGGTCGTGAAAATTTTTACCGTAAAAGATGTAATAGTATTGACAAGTATTTAAATTTATATTAAACAAAAAATCCCCCCCCCCCCCTTTTTTTTAGAATGGATTGAAAAAAAAATTGGCGGTGGCCCCTCCAAAGTTCTACAGCCGCCACTGAAGTGAAGGTAAAAGATAAAGAACGTGAAAGATAATGTATGGATCTCTTGATCTATCATTTAATCAGTATTATATACACGTAGCCTACCCACCTTTATAATTTCCACCCATTATAAAACAGGATTTCAGTCGTTTACCAAAATCAGGATCTAATCTAACAGCTAATGATAAATTGGTCAGAGGTCCTAACGCTACAAGAGTTATCTTTCCTGAAATGTCATGAAAATGGTGATCTGAAAATTGTACGTGGGTAGATGAAATAATATACCATATACAATAGTTTTGGAGGGGGCCCTAATTGAACCCCCATTTTTAACAAATCTAAAAACGTTTTCCCCCGAAATATGTGTCACAATGCATCAAATCAATTCAAATTTTCTCGGGAGTACCCCTCAAACACTGCATCTGAGAAGCCTACACAGTTGCCGCATTTTCCATTCAGCCTTGAGTCGGCCTGCCCCTTGATTGTATCCTCAGAATATAAGGAGGCTGGTACCGCCAACCAAAAAAGCCACAACCTTTTCTTCATTTTTACCTTCATGCTCCTTGGTGATATCCACTAAAGCTTGAGCGGCACATTTCTTTTGTACCAAGTTGAAATCAGGAGGGTTCTCATCTGGAACATCACCAAATCCATCAATCCCATGGTAATTAAGTTCAACTGGCGTTTCTTTTGAAATCAATAGTGCTTTCGAACCCTTATAGACTGGAATCTGCATGATAATAAATAAAGAGTTTGTGCAACAAAATGATATAGAATGCCTTAAAATTATTATTTGGCTGATACCATGTAGAACTCGATATGTCCTGTAGATTTTCAACTAAAATAGGACATTTTAAAGACCAAAGCCTGCATAGATCTACTTTTTCCTGTTTTATAAGCAGACCATATCCATTTCAATATAAGCTTACATATTTGTGATGAATATATAGCTATGTTGATTCCTCGAAAGAGTGTCGGGCGGTCCAAGCCAGTCGAAGAGTTGAGTCAAGTGTTCTGGGAGGTTGAGCAAGCCTTGCCTAGCTAGCGACATCCGCCACAATACTTATTACAGTGGAGCTTCAATGCAATAGTCTTTGGACTCCAGCCAAAGCTTAGATTGATCTCTGGAGACATTCTCGGACCCTCGGCCTCTTGGTATGTAATAGAAATTCGAAATTAACAATATTATCTTTGTGAATTTTCCAAACGGGTTGCCGAGTAAGTAATAGCATTCTTTTAAACAAATAAAACAAAGTTTTTGCAATGGTGAAAATCACTAAAACATCTAGACTTTATATACACCACTTCCAAAAACATATATCCAAAACTTGTTCGTAGGGCAGATTTTGATATCGAATCACTAGAAATTTATCTAGAAAACGTGCCTAAGTCTTTCGAAAAGCATCACATTGTTTGAACAATAATGTAAAGTTTTTCTACCTCTAACTGATCGGCCGCTTTCAGCAAGCGCAAAACGTTTTTTGTTACTTGATGAACATTGGTATTACCAGAAACTGTTGTGATTCCAAGTACAGTTATATTTGGTGATGCTAGTGCAATCAGAATAGCTTGAGCATCATCTAGTCCAGCATCCGTATCTATCAGAAACAACTCACCACCAGACGTCATCTTAATTACTAGATCTAAACAAATATATTATGGGATTATTAACAGGTTTTCTAAATTGTTTATATGTATTAGGGACACTTGTAGCATCAATTCGCATCATTCCAATTCCCGGTCGTCTGTGGTTAATGCAATATCACTTCAACTAAGTGTAGGCTATTGCCATGTTTTAACATTGGGAATTTTAAGCTTGTTATGATGGTAATAGGCACGTTGCCTTGATATTGCTTTTTTGGAAAGGCTATTTTGTTCGGGGCAGTACTTGTACAATTTTTATTCGATGACTTTCATATTTTCAGGGTTGGACGACGAGATCTTGAAGTATATCTGTGAGAATTTTGAAAGAGATCAGTTAACCAACATATGACATACTATGCGTCGACCTTTAGTACGTTACTTTGTGGGCAATTACCTTGGTAATGTGGGGAAGGCCACTTGGAAAGAATATATTATCACACAGAAAGCTCAAGAAATTCACTAGGATGTAGAACATTGGCGGAGAAGGCATGTAACTTAAGAAGCGAATTTTAGAAAATTAGTATTTGATAACTTGATTGCCTATGCGCAATGCATCATTAGGTGCTTCCAATCTTAACTGAATGTCTTAATCCAATATAAATCTCGTCAACGATCTTTAAGAGAGATTTTTCATCGACCTGGCTTGCAGAGTGATTAGTTGGAAGTATATGTGCTTGGATTTTCTTATATAATGGCCGATTGGTGAAAATAGAATGGCCGAAACCTGCGTTTCTCGAAAACATACGACGATAAAATTAAATTTAAAAATATAGATAAAAAGCTGGTTCAATTCTGCGTTTAACTATGTACAATATGTTTTTGGGAGTAAATTTTATACATTCGGAAGGGACAAATAAAGAAGTGGAGATGGCGGTTTCGCGAATTTAGACAAGATCGCGTTTCGATTGATTCCAATGCTTAGGAGTGATTTTATTCGGATTATGGAAATCTTTGTCAGACTGCAACTTGTTTCAATACCTCTTAAAAGGCCTCGTTGTCGAGACCACTACGCTTTTCACATAAGCTAATACTTTTTCAGACATATATGTACTCACTCCACTAAAACATTTTATGCAAATGATTGAATTGAATGTAGTCCATGCTATTTTTAAAAATCGTCTTTCTCTCTCACTTTTGGGGGTTTTGCATGAGTAATTTTTGGTCTGGATTTGGAATTTGATGTCTGAAATTGCATTATCTTTAAGATTTGGTGAGATCATGAGAGACCTAAAGGCGGAAGGCTAATTCTAAAAATTGTCGTTTTGTGAACTGCCAAACTCTAGCGGAAGAGTATAACCGGTAGTAGTCTACTTTCAATTTTAATAGCTCAAAATTTTCATGGTCATCATCATGTATTGAATTTTTTTAGGAGACATTAAGGATTGGCCAGGCTTTCATATTTGACATATTGGAAAGCTTTCAACGAGATTTCTGGAAAAAAGTTGTAGAAGGTTGAATTTCGTATTTTAACGAATATATGCATATGCATATGCAATTATGCAAAATATGCATGGCTCATAGAGTTATATATAGAAACTATATATAACTTATATATAGAAACTATATATAACTCTATGGCCACATCAATTGAAGGCCAGCCAGTGCGCTTGCGCGAAAATGACGTCAAAAAGGGAATTCCCAAATCCTCCTATTGTATGATATCACTGGTTTTCCGTAGAATTGTAGCTCAAGTAAACAGTATTAAATCACGGTCTATTCCTTATTAATATCTTAATTAATATCTGTTAACATACCAATATACAATTAATTTCTTTCTTCGGAGTGTGATAACCTTTATTCTAAACCGGAAGTAAGATAGGAATGCAGTACATATATGGAGAACAATCTAAGACAAAAGTATAATTTATGGAAAACTATTTCAGAAAAATTAGAAATAATAAGAGAGTGGCGCTGAACCAATCAGTTTTTATTGAACTCGCGAACGATTATCAGCACGTTCATGATACAAATTTAATCGCCCTTAGTTAAATAAATGACCATCGGCATAACCGAGTTTACTTCACAATAAGTCAATTCGGTATTATTCGTGCGTGCGCAACATGGCTCATACCTTGATGAGCACTTTATCTGAAGTGTTCCAATGTTGTTAGCGTGTATGCGTGGCTCACAAGCTTGCTAGTTTGAGCACTCTTGCATGGTACGATGATACCACATATGCGGAATCATCCGAGGTGGCTACATAGCCAAACCTCAACCTATGAGCTTGTTTGCGATTTCATCATCCACTGGAAGCGAACGTTAACTTGTCATCTACCAACCTACCTACCAGTATCAGCACTGCACTGATGAGGCCCAGAGGGCCGAAACAATTCTGTTTGCAGTTAAATTGACAGTTATCCATTTATCATTTGGAACGGAGTTTTCTCAGTTCACGGCTTATCTTATCACGATTCTGGCGATTGTAAATGCAGTAAACCCTTTGTACAAGATCCTTTTCCATAGACTTTTCCATCGACGTTTTTCCCGAAGCGGAGGTAGGGATTTAGCGTTTTCCACATGCGCACAGATGATACCGAATTGGCTTATAATCCCAATAAGCTGATTATTGAACAGTTAATTCTTCCAATGGAATAAAATTTTCTTCAGATCTTTCTGTTTGTTGTCAGAAAATTTCAAATGCTGGAAGAATGATATGTTTATCTTCATTCCTATAATCTTAGAACGAATTCTCGAAATGTGTATAGGCTAATTGTTGTTAATGTTGCCCATGTATTGTAGGAAAATCGTTGTAGGCTATTAATTTAAATGCACACTTTGTTATGTGTTTGGGTCGCAACCTATATTATTACAAATGATTATTTAATTATCTTTGATACAGTGATTATGACTTTATTTCAGCCCCTATATCATGATAAGATATATTCTATTGGTCTTTGATAAGTGAACTGTAAGAAATATAATTATGTATTTTAATTGGATCGTGAATAGTCTGTGATTTAAAGGGACAGCTTCGCCATCCGTTTGACCAATGGTACCGTAGTCTCAGAAATGGGTGTAACCTGACCAGTTATAGTGTTCACATCTATATGTCTAAATTTAAGTCCATGTGTGTTCAGAATTATCCGCTTTTGAGAGATTAAGTCTTTTCTTGATACTCTGCCATATGTAGAAAAGACAGTGAAGTTTCTAGTTTAAAGTATATTTGAGAGGAATATGCCATTTTCGTTCAGTTGTAGTATTTTTGAGGACTATTTTACATATATTTAAGACATAAATAAACCCTCGAAAATGTCGAATCATGTCATTAGAGTGCTACAAGATTATCCATGCTAAAACTCTTAACCATGAAATATCAATATCAGAACTGTACTACCCAAGTATATATTCAGAGACTGTAAGGTTCCAAGGTGGAGAGAGTTGTCATAGATCATCCTTTGTCTAATCTATGAATGTGACTAATGTAAAAAATTGTTATGTCCTAATTGACTACGAATGACCTTCATTATCTAACTTTTACCTATATTAGTAAAGATACGCCCTCAGGCAGCCTTGATTTTGTATAAAAATATTTGGCAGTACAGTAGGCTAACACTCACCAATATGAAATATTCAACCTTCAGTCATACACTTCTTTTGAACGCGTTTTCAAGAACAAGGACAATAACTCATACTAAATATTTTCCATTCTTCTGATTTTCAATAGGGTTCATCCTTGGGTGATAACAAACACTCACACCAAGTTTCGTCAAAATACGTCAAGAATTGAGTCTTATAGAATTTTTACGAGCAATTGTGGACGGACGGACATGGGTCACGCCAATTTCATGTGGCCGTATATAATGAAGTATTAGTCATTTGTCCAACTAAAATCAGATCATAATCGCATTAAAGTTATATAAATCATTATATTCTATTATAATCCATTCATGAGGACATATACTTTAAATTCCATTTGTTTTCATAGTTACCATAGCAACCAATGGCATGCCAGTCAATGACTGTACAGACCTACTACTATACACTGCGTAATATATACCAGCTGAAGATATAATATAGCAATGAACGAACATATCGTGTGCTATATGGCTAGGGCGTGTTCTAATTTCAGCCACTCACGGCGTTCAATAAAGGATTAAGGTGCTCTATTCAAATCTTAACGAGATTTAGTATTTACATAACAAGTATACCATAGTTCGCGCATGCCAATTACATGAATACTTTACCTATCATAGTTACTAATGTATCAATGGTGGATCTCTTGATTACAGTGTAAAAATGGTGAAAATGTATATTTAGTGAACGAACGTACGGAATATAGAGGAATATAAATGTAAATAGTTTTATGGACTGACTTGTTGATGTACAAACTGTAAAGAAGTGCCTTAGAAATGAAGTCGACAGTGAAAATGTCGTGGTTATTGTTGTTGTTGACATTAGTAACAAGTTTTGACATGATAACAGGTTAGTTGATTTATATCTAAATATCTTATTTATTGGATAACCAGTCAAATCAGATGAAATTTTTACAAATTGGAACAAGATATTGAATTTCTTTTACTTCTGCAATATTAAATTGCGAAACGAAATCCAGTGCGATGACGTCATTGATCAAGAACTCCAGGGACATGTTGAAAGGAGATAAGTCAGCGATAGGTCACTTTGTTTATCTTTGTTATCAAGTCAATGAATGTATAGACAAACAAATACCGTACAATCGTAAACGTTGTGCTGCTATAGGTATAACTATAAATATAGGCTAACCCGTTTGATTCATTCACTCGCGAAACAGACCATGCTTACTCTTTTCGAAACATTTGATGGCACTTATCTTTGGAGGAGTGCTACTTTTACTCTCGATTTTGTCATAGCCTACATTGGACGAAACTTTGATTAACGGAATTGTTTTCCTTGTATATGTATGTTAAATAAAAAGTGCACATTCTTTATGAGATGCTCGCTGGGACGTTCCTTTTCGAAGAAATACACATTGAAACGCTACCCTTTTCAAAATATGACTCACTTTGGCACAGATGAGCCACCATATTTAGCAGTTCGCCTTGACCATTCTTTCATATAAGGGCATACAAATAAATGAAGACATTTGAAAAAGGAATAGTAAAAATGAAAAATTCTACCATGACCTGACGATGGACATATAATATATAGATTTCATATATCATAGATAAGCGGATGAATTGACGCAGCAATATAAACTCCTATTTTCATTATTCTTTTAATGCATTTATTCTGTATTCTCTGCCCCCTCAAGATTTTGTGCTTGTACGTCTTCATAACTTTAGATTCCTTTCCTCTAACCAAAACTATGATTTTGTATGACAACATCATAGTTTATGCTTAATAAGGAACACTCGGACATTATACATTAGCCAAATAAGGAACAGTCGAAACTACATAAATATTATATTATATTAGCTTAATAAGGATCAGCTGGACCTTCGTTACACTAGTATTATAAGAAACAATCGGAACTAGCTATAGCTATAATATTACTTTGTTGGGCCTTCTTTACATTACCCTTTTAAAGAACAGTTGGATCTAATTTTATTACATTGGCCTCATAAGGAACAAGCAGCATTTGCACCGTAGTAGACTTTCCAAGCACGATTTCATTTCATTATTTGAGAACAGTTCGATGTAAAAAAAAAAAAAGTCTCAAGTAACGTTTATTTGATAGGTCAACTGGTGATTCAAGATATCAGACTAGCTGGAGGCAATAACACCGCTGGTAGAGTTGAGGTACAAATAAACGGTGTTTGGGGAACAGTTTGTGATGACGCTTGGGATGAACTTGATGCTGCAGTTGTTTGTCGGTTCTTGGGATTAAAGTAAGTACATGTGTAGGAATGTCATACACAATCAGACATATCCTGTAAAAGCATATCCTACTAGGGCGGTGCCAGTTGGGTTCAGAAGGAGCATTTGATTTTTATACGATTTTGCCAAGAAATATGTGTCAAAATGCACTAAATCAATTTAATTTTCAATCATTTTCTTTAGGGAGAACCCTTTCAAAAATAGTAATAGTAACTTGTCACGTTACAACCATCCTAATCTCTATTTCAGTAACGGTGGTAAAGCGACGACAGGGGCACAATTTGGACAAGGTGTTGGCACTATATATTTAGATGATGTGTCGTGTCGAGGAGATGAAACCAATCTTGATGAATGTTTAATGAATCCCAGTATAGGCAATGTACAATGTACCCACGCAGAAGATGCAGGAGTCGAGTGCTACGGCTCCGGAGTAACTCCACGAGTTACTACAACAATCGGGCCGCAACCAAATAACTGTAAGTTTAAGGACATGTTTATAGTAGTTGGCTTGTTGAATTTGTTTAAATGCGATAAAAAAAAATCTATAATGCTATATCATACTAACAAAATCAATGTACTTTATTGTAATTTTCTTGTGAATAGTCACGATATTGTCATTACCAATATGGTTGCGCCCCTAAGAAATATTTAGCCCCCTTCCAAGATCATGCTCAGTTGCTGTAGGGTGTATTGAGACGTGTTTCAATGAAAGCACTGACCAAGATCACAGAGCAATAGATAAGCTTATTAATTATGTGAAAATTAGTTAATCATTGGTATGATTTTAGCTAAAAAATACACAAACACGTTTGATAACAAGGAATCTCCTCCCTCTGTTCGAGACTAGGATTATGATAGCTTTGACAATGTATGTATTTCCCGACCGCCCTTTCCCTCTGGCTATCTACGGACCTTCAACGATCTATCTATATTTGACTGGTCATATTAGGTACACAACTAGTACAAGACGTACGCCTGATGGCACCGCAGGGTAATGCTGGAATAGGTGTAGTAGAAGTTAATAACGGTGGTATTTGGGGAACAGTTTGTGATGACGAATGGGATGAACTCGATGCCAGAGTTGTCTGTCGTATGTTATGTTACAAGTAAGTTGTGGATTATTTCAAACATTTTAGATCTGGAGGCCGCATCACAAAGCGTTGTCAGATTTTAAGGGGCCCTCAAATTAAAGCGTTTATCAGATGCGTATGGTTATGAATAAGAATAGTGGTCAAAAGTTTCCAACACTACCTCTTAGGATGACCAACAATTTTTTGTGTGTAACATTTTGTTCCATTAATGAAATAATTTGTTTTCAGTACGGTGTATTCACGACCTGGAGCTCCGGAAAAAATAATTAAAAATGTTGTGGGAAGTGCTATAACTGTGGATGAAATAAGGTGTACCGGTAACGAGATTAGAATCCAAGATTGTCCATTTACTCGTGGTAATGGAGATTGTGGTCCGACTGAAAAAGCCAGTGTTACATGTGTTGATATGGATTCAAAGGCACCAGATCGTAAGTATTTACGATGTGCTATCAATAGTATTATTATTACTACCAAATCCACAGTGCAAAATTATCCAATCGAACCAATCGATCTAACAACTACAACGAATAACAACGACATACCTAGTTTGCGATATCAGCATCAGCTTAAAGCGGACGTTAAACCTTTATCTACCAGCAACTACCTAGTCTGCGATATCAGTTTCTTCTGGAAGCAGACGTTAAACTTGTCATCTACCAGCTACTACATGCATCTGGTCTGTGTTATCAGCTTATTCTGGAAGCGAACGTTAACTACTATCCAGCTAACCAGTGATGTAGGATCATATGTTGGAAACCCACAGTTATCTTGGCTGGTGAGAACAAGTTTGCTTCCAGTTAACTGATATCGCACACGAGGTAGTTGTTGGAAGTCAACGTTGTGGTAATTGGATTTAGGATCATTATAAGTTGTATGGTTCAATACGGTCGGTATGTTAGTCGAGTAATCTGCATTCAGGTCAAATTGGCATTCACATTATACACTGATATCTGAAAGACAGATGGTATCTGCACAGACCATTACTAATGGTTGGTTACGGATTAGGAGCACATGAGTCTTTGTGGATTGTAACAAAACATAACACCAATACCAAAAATCTTGTGCCAAAAATGATGATTAAATATCTCCTATACATATATTACTAAGGCTATTCTATTTTTATATTGCAGCTCCAGTACCTACATTGCTTTGTGAAAACGGAATTTTACAAGCATTTTTTAATAGATCGCTAGATGAATTTTTAGAAGAGAAACATTTAACAGTTGATAATACCAACTGTACTCTTACTAAGGCTACTAATGGCACGTATGTTTCTATTAGTATACCATTTGATGGTTGTAACACAAATGTTACTGTAAGTTACTGTCGTTATTTTTCTACCTGTTGTTATTAAACCTGACATAGCAAAATTAGTCAAGGTTACCATTAAGCTTGATTTTGGCAAAGCTTGAAAGCCAAGCATGTCTGAACTAACAAAGCATTGATAAGAAACATCATAGAGCATAAGAGCAATAATTGATACACCGTTTTAAGGCGGAGATCACTCCGCAAATTCAGCCAAAACCTGCTCTGTTTGGAACTGGGTCACTGTGACTCATTTTGATATGTTACAATATGTTCTTTATTGTAGTGTAAAACTGTGATGTTTAGAAATATAGCAATTTTATTGGTTAACATTTTTAACTTTAAATATAAAAATTTAGCTTTTAACGATTGACCAATCAATAAGATGAATGGAACATTTAAACTGTTCAGATTGCGTGAAATCTTCCATGAGCGTTTCTGTTCGATTAAGTTCATCTGAACTGACCCATTTTTACTCATTTTTTGATATTCAATTGCAAGTTACAAAATACGAAATACCATGTTGAATAAGTAGAAAGATTTTGTCAGTAAGATTTCCATATTTTTTAATTTATTTTTAGTATAACAGCACACATATCACCTATTTTAATACCATACAGTACGGTGTGACCCATTATGATGGCAATAGAGTTAGAGTAAATTCATACCCTATTACAGTGTTTTGTGAAATGCCAAGAAAATTAAATGCAAGTAAACCGATTGAACCCGTCACGATACCTGTAACGAAGAAGGCTGAAGGCGAATTTTTCATAAACATGACGTTTTACCAAAATAACAGTTTTACCAATGCTGTTACCCAATACCCTCTAAGGATGCCGCTAGGAGAATGGCTAAATGTCGCCTTACAGTTGACATCCGTGGATTCTAAATTGAAATTGGTGGTTCCAGATTGTGTAGCTACGCCTTCTAGCGATCCAAACGATCCTGTTCGATATCCATTGTTTCAAAAAAAGTGAGTATAAAATTCGTTATACGGTTTTCTTGATCGATTTGCAGATGGAAACAAGTTCTCAAGGATGAGAGTCAAAACGATAATTGATCTACATGTATATAGAATATTCGATGTTAATCTCTGACATCGTTTCATATTTTCCTCAACAATTAAAGCACAAGAATTTTTCCGAAAGTCATACATTTTTCATTTCCACAAAAATAATACACTGCGGGAACTTAGATAATTGCCTAAGATTTGTTGTAGTACCCCATAAGAGTATTAAATGATTGAAAGGTCTCCTGAATATAGGTTTGTGACTATAGGCTTGATCTCTTCTGTATAAACTTTTGTAAATGTAACATTTCAGCATCAATTAATATTGGTATCTCTCTTAAATTGTCGATTTTTTCAAATATGGTGACATTTTCGATTTTTTTTAATATTATGTATCATCATTCTGCACTTAAAAGACATTTTCAAATTTCAAGTGTGTTCGTATTGATAAATTCGAATTGTACATACACTTACAGGTCTCTTTTCGTTTTCAGTTGTCCAAATGAACCAACCATTGGATTATATCCACTATCTCAAATCAAGTTTGGATACCGATATCAACCATTTATGTTCATCAATAGAACAAGTGTCTTTATTCACTGTGGTGCCTTTGTCTGTTTATTAGAAGAAAACACCGCTGAATGTGATCGAAGTTGTAATACCACGAAACCTACAGCTTCGAATGGACGTCGTAAGAGAGAAACAACACGACAAAAATATTATATACAAAGTGACCCTTTGGTCGTGTATAAACCGAACAATGTAGAAACGTCAATAGAAAGAATCGGAGGGAAGCCTCTTACTTCCAGTAAGTGTAATTCTATTTGTTTGCTATTTCTTGTAGGATACCTAGGTGACACAATATGCAAATCATTTCTGTTCAATGAACGAAGGGGTTAAATTATGAGGGGAGGAAAGAGAAACATAATATAGTCATTAATGAATGTAAAATGGTTAAGATATTATTCGTAATAAAATTGAAATCAACAATGAACAGCTTCGACAAAATATATCCTCGTTTAAGACAGGAGAAGACTGGGTATCAGAGATTAATAATCAATATTTTTAAAAAATATATACATTACGGATTTTATCTATTTTAGGCACTACCATATCCATACCATTGTCAACCGAAATTCAAGAAAAACTGGCAAAAACAACTTCTGAGAAACAAGCAACAACAACTCCATCCACTACCAGACCTACGTATGGTACCAAAGTAACAATGACAACAGTCAACGAAATGGGTGAGAAAGTCACGACCACATCTACTGGTATTCGTAAAATCGGGGATGATACCACCACAGCAAGTCCGCAAGCGGTCACAACGACAGTGACTCCAGCACCTCCAAGTGTTGTGCCACCCACTACTTCACGAAAGACAACGCCTCTAGAGGGCGTGTGGATCGAATATCCACGTAGAGAAACCACACACACTACTGCAAGATCGAAGTTACAGTATGTGAAAACAGTAGATGAGGATAATTCAAGAAGACTAAGGTTTGGAATAAATAGTGCTAGTGGTGCTACATCAAAGACTGTAGTCTTATTTAGTGGTGTAGTTTTATATTTTAGTCTATTTTGTTAATTTTTATGAGAAGCAGCAAATAATAGTTATTATAGGTTACATTTTTTAGGATAATCTCATTAATGTTAATGCGGAAATATTTCCGAAACGAAAGATTTAAATATAATATGCCTGAATGAGCAAATCTTTAAAGGCTGTGTCTTGCCTAGTTCTATATAAATTTAAATTCCTATTTATTGTTTAAAGGAATGTTTTGAAGAAAGTTAGCTTCATTATTGCTATGGATGATAAAAATACATATATTTGTGATCTCTACCCCTAAATATCGCTAAAGGATTAATATATTTATGTAGAATATAGATACGTATATGTATTATAATGGAGAGCTATAATTGTTGAGAATAACTAGGCAAAAAGATATTGGAAATCCGGGATCAAGTCCTTTATACACGTTTTTAATGACTGAAACATTAGTTATAATACCCGTACATATTATTCCTATGATATGCAATTGTATTGTATATTTTATAATTTGTTTTATTACGTTTCATCTTCATAGATATAGCTATGAATAGCTAATTTTACGTTGTGATTCGATTTTTAAAGTTCAATGACATTTTAAGTTTATTTTTATAAATCTGTATGCAGTAAAGGTTATATCTCTTTGAAAAAATCAATAGATTGGGGCACCTTTTTTTATTTAACTATGTGCTACAGTTATAAGCGTTTAAAAAAAATACCGAGGTATCTAATTTAAATGCAGGCTATACACAAAAGATATTTAAAAATTAAAGGCCTGATGAAAAAATCTGTTATATATGTGGTTTTGTTTTGTATATGATATAAGTAAATATTGTTTTACATTCCGTCCTGTTTCATATTCTCACCTCATTGTATATATCTCATAATAAACTATTCATACAATTGTTATTCTTATCAGCTTTATATTTATTCCAAGGGTCTGAAGTCTGGCTGCGGAAACACCGTAGATTTTTCACTTACTCATTGTAGGCTAGACGAATAATACCTTAGATAATTTACTTCTGGTAAAATTAAGTAATAATGGGGAGAATATCTCTCAAAGGAGACAATAGAGGAATCTCTAAGCACAACTTTTGCTGTTTAAAGATATTTAGCCCACATCAGTAGCAAAAAATCAACATAGATTTTCTTTCGGACATATTTGATATTTTCAGGGGTTGATTTGGGTCTTGAATATATATAAATTTTCTTCAGAAGTACTACAATGTACAAAATTAGCACAATTCCTCCAAAAATACCTCAAACTAGGAATTTCTCTATCCTTTTCTATAATCCCTTTTTTATATGGCAGTCCCAAGAAAAGACGAGTGGAATTTTCTACTTTCTAACACCGATAATTCTGGACAAATATAAATGTGAAGGCTTAAATTTCGACGGTGAGCTATTAAAAGTGTCTGATTAGCTGATATTTAGGCCTACGATTGGTCAAACATGAACTGGCTCAATGGTGAACTGTCGCTTTTAACACCATTCTGACCAGGAAACATTGATGGAAACAATAATTTGTGTTAGGTTACCCAGTTTTTATACAGCAAGTATTTCTCTTGGGGAGAAGACATCTCATTTCTGTGGGTTGAGCTCTTTTACATCGCTGTATTTTGTCTCGCATAGAGGTTATTAATGTCTTGCAGTAGGAAATATAGGCTATTAGCCCAGTCATGCATTGAGCTTAGGCTATTGAGTTATAAATGAAAACTGTGAGCATAGGGGTGAGCTATAGTTTGGGTAAGATAATGTTAATGTATTTACCGAAGTACTTTGATGAATTATCATTAACAAACTGTTTCGTATCTTCAAATAAGCATACTATAACATATTACTGTAGTCTGGTTTTTGTTTTAACGGTGGGGGTTATTAATGAGAGTTATTTCCCTTGGAGGCAGTGAATATAAATTATTAGAGAATAAAACTCATCACTCATGAAGGAAAAAAGAAGAAAAACAGAAATGAAACCTGAGCTTTCGTGAATGAAGGACAGCGGGACAGCAGAGGAGGAAGCAGGTTCTGTTTCGACACATTAAGTGGGTCAGAAGGGTAGGTAAGATTTGTTCCTCATTTTTCTATGTTACCTGTCTATTTAGAAAAAAGAAATGCGGTCAAACATGAATAGGCATATCATCAGAAAATACTAGCCTAGCCACTGTCTGTGTAACGTTCACAGAACAGACAACTGGAAACTGAATCATTATTTGATGCCAAGTGCCCGGGTTCTATTTTAACAAAGCATTATAGTGTAAATCACTTAAATGCATTCAACTTTTATAGATTCACCAAATCTTCGTGCACAAAGCATAATATTTAAGATTATACACCACACTTGAAATATGAAATTTGCTTTCAATTATCAATTAATCTTGATCAAAATTGACAATTATCTTGAAATATGTTAAACTTAATCAAATCAATGAGTTTAATTCATCGTGGGTTATCTGAAATCTGTTAACATCTGCTGGGGTGGGGGGGCCTTGCCTCAGAGGGACACCTCCCGTTTTTGACCTCCCCTCAGGCATTTTCTGTACGGTATATCTTTATTCATAGTTTCAAAAAGCTATATATGAGCTTGCCTCACATCAAGAAATGCAGTAAACGCTTTTTTCTCATTAGTATCAAGAGAAGTCTATCCCTTGAAAATTAGGCTAGGTGTAGGTCAAACAAATTGATTCTTGGTACTGGTTGGTACTGGAAAAAAACACATTCAATAGGTTATAATAAATCTGGTCAGACTTATAAATAATATATGACCCTATATTTATTGAATATTGGTCACATTAAACTATAAATATGATAGTAATGAGAATGCTTGATTACCCTTGAAAATATCATAGCTTCCAGTATTGATTATTGACATAATTATTTCTATTATTTAATTAGTTCAAATTAGGCCTTTGTAAATTGTTAAAATATCTATATTTAGTTATTAAAATACCCTGTGAAATAACACATATGATTGGCTACTGCAGGTATGTTAAATGTCAAATTAATAAATCTTCCTGTTACTGTAAGCTTATATGAGATTTTGGCAAATATCCTCAGTTTGAATAAAGGTAGCCTACATTTACAGTACATTATGATATGCATGTACGTGTATATTTAAAGGGATGGTACACAGCCTTTGTATAACCTTTTGTATTGGCAAGGAAATGTATTAGTTACTCCAGACAATATCATTTTATTATAAGAGAATTTTAGAAGAGTTACATACAATAAATCATATCATACTGTTTTAAATGTCAATGATAGGTTGAAGTATTGCATTGTTGTCAAAAACGAATTTTAAAAAGAACATTAGATGAGCTAATTTGTGTGAAAGAAAATTTAAACCAGCATAAACCAATCGGCTGTCTTTATATAAATCAATGTTATCTGTCATTAAAATTTTTGGCAACTGTTAAATCAAGCTTGCTCGACAAGGAAAATAAAACAGGAAAGCTTTGTAACTAATATTGAATCTGTAGCTTAGTTTAAAGAAAGTTCAGGAAGAAGATTAATTGATTGCTAGTGTGAATTTTATTGTGACTAAGAAGCCTAGTCATATTGTCCTAGTTTCAATTTGAAGGTATAAAATCCACTATTATCAATTAATGCCTGCTACAGATAATACCAGGAGATAAGATAACAACTTCTGTTTATGTATTTAGGTGATTAAAGGAAAATAGTTCTTGTGTTTGTCTGATTAGGTAAACAAATAGATTTAAAAGTACCTTTTGAGTGGTACATATAGGAAAGGGGAAAGAGAGGACTTGGTAGTCTGTGATATCAGACTGGAACTGGAAGCAGACTGTAACTTGTCATCTACCAACCAACAAGGAGACTGTCCATAATACAGGCGTCTAATTTCGCGAGCTACTAAACAAAGAGATTATTTCAACCAATTTTTCGTTTTTACAAGGATGCAGCAATCAAATTATTGAGTTCAAAATCTGATGGATTATTTAACTTATTGTTTGTTTCAACAATGTATTTTGAAATGATACAAAAATGAAGTAAAATGTGATATGGAGCACCTGCAGTTAAATCAGAATTGATGAGACTTAGGTCACAAAATGTATTTAACTAAATGTTTTCTTATTGCAGGTTGAAGATGGATAGATATAGTATTATTTATACACTTACAATATTATGTTTGGCTTTAAACCATGCAGCAGGGTATAAACATGTTATTTTTATGCATGGTATATTTTCTGGTCCATCAGAAATCATTGCAATTCAAGAATGGTTGAAAACTGTAAGTATTGATATGTTATTTTGAAATGGTTAACAGGATGATATGTGGTATGTTCTTCCATTTTAGCACCTTTGATCATCGGTGATCTATAACAAAATGGTGAATCGCTAAAATTGACTGGGGAACCTCTTGTGAAAAATTGTATATAATGTGCATCCCCAGTTTGGCAAGTCCTTTTAACAGTAAAATACCAGTACTGCGCATTATACAAGGAAATATGCGGTATTGAAGATAATTTTACCTGTAGTTATATCTCCTTGGTAATCTCCTAAAGATTGTTTTCATCGTATGCCATATAGTATTTTCTTGGTCCTTTGACAGTTTGAAATCGAAAAAGTTGGCTAAGGACCAGCTGGTAGAAAGGATCCTTGTAAACCTAAGTTGTTGTCCTTGAAATAAATGTTTTTTTCTTTCTTTTCTTTCATTTCATGTCCGCAATATTATGGGAATTTATTTCAGGATCACCCTGGTACCAACATTACTGCCATTAATCTCTATGATGATTTGAAGAGTTTAGTAACACCAATGTGGAAACAAGTAGATAAGATTTCTCTGAAAGTTCAACAAATAATGAAAGAAAATCATGATGGTGTCCATTTACTGTGTTATTCACAAGGTATAATAGCATTTTTCTTTTTTTAAAAGAATTATTTAAGGATGAAATGTTGGTCTCAAAAGCATAATTTCTGTGTAAACACAATTCATTATGTGATAAACTAAAATAAATAACGGTCATTTATGTAGGTATGTATTTATAGAGCAATGATTTAGTTACTAATTATTTGAGACCAACGTTTATATTTAATATTTGAAGTCAGATAGTTATTTTAAACAAACTTCATTTTTTTAGATTAGTCGTTATGGGACAAACTACAGTTTATCGAAAAATAGATATGTTGATTAGCGTAACTGAGTCAAAGAAGATGGTGTTATTAGAAATTTAAATATTATTATTTATTCATTTAGATGGACAAATAATATTATTATTTATTTAGCTAGGTGGACTGATAATATTATTATTTATTTATCTTGGCGGAATAATAATATTATTATTTATTTATCTAGTTTGACTAATAATATTATTATTTATTTAGCTAGGTGGACTGATAATATTATTATTTATTTATCTTGGTGGACTAATAATATTATTATTTATTTATCTAGGTGGATTAATATTATCATTATTTATTTATCTAGTTTGATTAATACTATTATTATTTATTTATCTTGGCGGAATAATAATATTATTATTTATTTATATAAGTGGATTAATAATATTATTATTTTTTTAGCTAGGTGGACTGATAATATTATTATTTATTTATCTTGGTGGACTAATAATATTATTATTTATCTAGCAAGGTGGATTAATAATATTATTATTTATTTAGCTAGGTGGATTAATAATATTATTATTTATTTATCTAGGTGGACTGATAATATTATTATTTATTTAGCTAGGTGGATTAATATTATTATTGTTTATTTATCTAGTTTGATAATATTATTATTTATTTATCTTGGCGGAATAATAATATTATTATTTATTTATATAAGTGGATTAATAATATTATTATTTATTTATCTAGTTTGACTAATAATATTATTATTTATTTATCTAGTTTAGCTAATAATATGATTATTTATTTATCTAGTTTGACTAATAATATTATTATTTATTTAGCTAGGTGGATTAATAATATTATTATTTATTTATCTAGGTGGATTAATATTATTATTATTTATTTATCTAGTTTGACTAATAATATTATTATTTATTTATCTAGTTTGATTAATAATATTATTAATTATTTATCTTGGTAGAATGATAATGTTATTATTTATTTATCTAGTTTGACTAATAATATTATTATTCATTTATATGGACTGATAATAATATTATTTGTTTATCTAGTTTGACTAATTATATTATTATTTATTTAGCTAGGTGGACTGATAATATTATTATTTATTTATCTTGGCGGAATAATAATAATAATATTATTATTTATTTATCTTGGCGGAATAATAATATTATTATTTATCTATATAAGTGGATTAATAATACTATTATTTATTTAGCTAGGTGGACTGATAATATTATCATTTATTTATCTTGGTGGACTAATAATAATATTATTTATTTAGCTAGGTGGATTAATAATATTATTTATTTATTTATCTAGGTGGATTAATATTATAATTATTTATTTTTCTAGTTTGATTAATAATATTATTATTTA